CAAAAAACTTAATTAAATCGTCAAGTTATATTATGTCTGTTTTGGGTACCGTTCGCCAACAAAAACAATTTTCAATTATTAACCCTAAAATAAAAGAAATTGTTGGATATTTACACACTCGCGCGTAAAGGCAATTTTTTAAATATATTTAGAAATTTGATCAAATATCGCAAATCTTGACCAAGACCAGAGTTGGCAAGATATTATGTTTAAAAAATAAAAATAAGAATTTATTATCAAATCCGAGTCGGATAACTTTTAATAAAATGATAGTTAGCGTGTCAGCAAGCGTTCCGAGATGTCACATACAGAAGGTTGATAATTATTAAGCATTGTTTTATTTGCACTTACTGATTATGGAAATAATTAGCAGTTGGAATTCATACCCATTCTTCTTTAGGATATTTTAGTCAAGTTCAGACAATAAATGTTCAATTAATAATTCGAAGGTTGGATCATACTCGACAATAATTAGACCCAAATTCGTACTCAGCTTTCTTTATGTCTAGTGACGATCAGCATTCAAGGTCACTTACTCCCTTACGGACCTCAAAACATTTGTTAAAAAACAAACACATTTTAAAAGAGGATTTGTTTTGTACGAATAAGTAACGTGCGGTCGCTTAAAAACTGTAATAAAATCGGATTCTAATTTCCCGTCGAGCCATTTATGTCAACCACCCGCCTAAAATATGGGATTATGTGGCTGAGGCTAAATTTCAACTTGAAAACAATTTGAAAGAATGTAAAATTATGTGGAAGGTGCCCTTCTGTCACGACAGGTTTATAACATTGTAGTTTTTCAAATTACAGGTACCGATTGGTATTGTAGGAGTTTTTCTTTTAAACAAGAGCTAGGTATATTAATTGAATGAGAATCGGTTCAGTGTCCTTACAGTCAGGGTTGTGTTAAAATGTTCGAGGTCATCTCTTGGCGTCGCGTAACTAACAGTCCGATATGAAAAGAATGGGTAGGTATGTACTGTACTTTTAGTAGTTTTTGCTTTCTTCCTACGATGGTGATTTAATTGTACTCATATTTATTTTCAAAATTTCGTATTGGTGATGAGGGATGAGGGGACTTTCATGAGGTGTACAATTTAATTTTTTTTCTTACTGCACCAAGAAATTTTCAGTTTGTGCCATTTACTGCCACCGCACTGTACACAAACACACTGGAAGTCGAAAGACGCCGAGGAATTTAGGAATTTATAAGTTTAACAAAATGTTCCCCCGCAATTTCGTACACTCGATATTAATGGATATACAGGGCGATTCAAATTCGAGGGCCAACATGGGGATTTCGGGAACTGTAAAGGATAGATGGGTAGTTTAAATTTGGTAAAGTTGCGTCTTTTGATGCTTAACAAAATGCAGTTTTGAAACTTAAAAAATTCCAACTACTTTCGGAGATATCCGGTAAAAGCCGAAACCGTTTTTATTTTTTACTGAAGTTATTTAAAAAGATATTTCGAAATAAATGATACATTATTATGGCCACTTTTGTCCCTTTACAAGATGCTACTTTTAAATTTTAAGTTTGACGTTTCGTCTCCAGTCAACCGTCATCAACTTTGTTTTTTCTTCTGGAATTTTTTTTTACTTTTTGTGTCATTTGATGGAGAATTTTTTTCTGATTTCAAAAATGTAAACATCACTATCTTTTAATCATAAATAGCGCTATTAATTCGTAAAAACGCCACAAAGTTTTCTAGGCAAAAAAGAAAATATTTTAATAATTTAAAAAAATTGTGATGTTTATATTTTTTAACTCGCTTTTGAATTCTCTATCAAATGACACAAAAAGTAAAAATTACTTCCGTAAGAAAAAACAAAGTTGATGATGGTCAACCGGAGACGAAACGTCGGATTTAAAAAAAGTGGCCATAATAATTTATTTCGAAATATCTTTTTAAATCTTTTTAAATAACAGTAAAAAATAAAAACGATTTTGCAACATTTCGGTGTTTTCCAGATATCTCCGAAAATAGTGAGAATTTTTTAAGTTTCAAAACTGCATTTTATTAAGCATCAAAATACGCAACTTTGACAAATTTATACTACTTATCTATTTCTTACAGTTCCCGAGATCCCCATGATGGCCGTCGAATTTGAGTCAGCCTGTATAATAACGGGGAAACCCAGCGTTCATAATGTCAATGTGTAAACACATCGCCACGGTACGACGCAAGTGATTTGACGCATATGTCGATCGCGAAATAGCAGAGTGCGACATCAACGAAAAAAGAAGTTTTAAAAAGAAATCCTATAATATCATTTTAATCTAAACCGTCCGGGGACACACAGAGGCACATAAAAAAAGGTCATCCAAATCCGGGAGTTCAGTCACAATGCATGTGCAGAAGAATGTTATATAAATATAATGAAAATTAAAACATATATAACCATACTCTTGCGTTTTATTAAAACAATGCACACAAATAGGAATGCATCCGGCTAAACGAGTGCCGGCAAGTAGTAGGCCATAAATTCATGTAGATTTTATTTTGTTTATTGTATTCATGGAACCAATCAATAAAAATGGTTCCCAAAAAAATGGCAGAGCGTCGCAAAACCGCAAGTCTCTATCTTTAAAAACAGCTGAGATACACTGCAATCTGCGCGTATGATTTTATAATTATACAATTTTCTTAGTGTGGATTTTTATGATGCGACCCGCAGCATTCAATTGTTTTTATTTCAGAAAACAAATGAGTAACGAAAAACAATTGAATTTTTTTAAATGGCAGTACACCTTTTGATTAGGCTCATTTGATAAGAGATTTTTTTTTCTATTTTCGATGATATAACATGTTAATACCATTATTCAAGAAAATTTTTCAAAAAGACTTATTTATAATTACATCAACATACCATTAATCCAGATATCCTACATCAAAATAAAACAAATGAACGTGTGCGTTTCTTATTCCTTGAACAAAATTAGCAGTAAAATGGTTTTGGTTGGTGGAGAAGTAAGGAATTGAAATACGCCTATTTGGAGGTTTTGAGATCATTTTTTCTGATTTCTAAGATAGTTTACCTAGAAGCACCGACCACCCACACTTTTACACTATATCATCTTTACTTCCCCGAGAATTCCACACCACAAGAACGTGAAGGTAAATAACGGACAGTCAAAAATGAGTGGCGGTCAAGTCACCTTTGGAAGTTCAAGTTAAGTACGACTTCCCATGTAAACAAAAATTCCAAAGATGACTCGACGGCAACTCATTTTTGATCGCATGCGTTTGGCTCCGACCTTTTGAAACTGGTGAACATGCCTGATTTTATTACAAAATTTTGAATTGATCGCTAGCCGCTCTATTTCAACTTTAAAAATGCTTAGGTTACGAGATCGTAATATCTGTCCGTCCATGAGAATGTATGAGCACACAGCGAGATTGTCGCCAAAATTTAGTTTAAATTTTGTACATTGGAAGCTATGAGCATAATTTGATCCTTAGCCCATTAAACTGTGTAGATTTCATAATGCGAGTAATTTCTGTATGCGTCTTGCGATCTAGCTCCTCAACATAAAGACTGATGCCCTGTAAGATAATTGTGTTGGTCATACGTAACTATACAATTTAATTTCGGTGGCCGGTGTGGTAGGAGTTATTGCAAATCCAACAAAAGTAACTGGATTTTCGACATCTCGTGCAACTCTTATTAATAACTCATAAAAAAATTTACTGCCAATTCGTTTAATCTACCAATGAAATGATTGCCATTCTTATGCAACGCTTCTATTTAATGACAAAACAGTAACGCAACTGCATGTCGTTTAATAACATTTTAATCGCTGTTTAAAATCGGAAGCGAATTTAATTAAATGTTACGATACACTATCGTACAGGTAGTTGGCTGTAATCTTTTATGAAGTATCAAAGGGTGTTGGAACGTATAGGTATATGCATGCGAAATATTTATAGGTGGCGATGGCCTTCCCTACATGCATACTACCAAAAAAACCTTACGCCTACGTAAGACTGTAGACGACTTGTTATTCCTTAAAAATCTTTTACATTTACTGCCAACCATGATATTATGTATTTTTCGTACCTATAGGGTAAATTAAGTAGGTCAAGGTTTTACGTTTGCAACCCCATCTTCCACCGAGTGAGTTTTAACCTACCTACTGATAAGACTTGTGCGTGCAGTTGAACGAGGAAAAGCGATCATGATGTTTATACAGTTTGGCACAATTACACATCGCATACTAGACCTAATACAAAGACCTTCACCTAAAAAAACGAATTGTATGTCGAATTTGAGTTTTAGTTTAAGTGTGAAGCTAGAAATGTGTTGAGATTATGCAAATAATCGACCTTCCCATGTACAATCAGAAAATCTGTTATTTTAAATAAGGTCGTCGAAATAGAATTGAACGAATGGCGCGGACTTGGGGAAATGCAACAGCGTCGCATCGTGGACAAAGGTGAAGGGGACTCAAGAGGTAATTTTTTCTCCTGCCAAATTGTAATTTAACTTTGACTTTCGTACGTGGAAAGCACTTCCGCCTATTACTTAAATTTAATCTAATTTATTATACTCATAATAGAAAAGACGATTGAAATCGGAAAGAAAGAAGAAAATTGTCTGCAAAATCCACGTGAAGCCAAGGTACGGACTTTGCTGCACGTGGCTCTTAGTGCGCAATTTATTATTGGATATCAGTTTTCTCAATCATTTAGGACGTATTTTGCGGAACGTTCCCGAATATCAAATGAAATGTGCCGGCACTATTAACTACCGCTTATTTGCTTGTTAGTGTGTTTTATTAAAACCCAAACAAAAGCGTAATCACTCCGTTAAACACGGGATTTATAAATTTGCCGAAGGTTAAAGTTCAAGTTTAAACAAATTGTAAAATGGAGCGTCAGCGGACGTAGTCCTGGAAACAGCTCCCACCCTCTGACGTTAATGTGACGCACAGCGTCCCGACGCTACAACGTGACCTTGCCTCGAGGAAAACAGTCAATAGCATGTGACATTGACAATCAATTCGTTAATCATTTTTGCTTCAACAATGGCAAAACGTGCGCGATTTCATTTTGTAGGTAATCATCTTGTAATTAACGAAATGCGCAATTTGTTAATGTTATTGCATAATACGCGCAATTTAGTAGTGCAATATGTAGGTGTAGGTACCTCTGCAATTCTCAATTTTTGTTTTGCCGTTACAGAATCTTGAAAACGTGGTGTACCTACCAGGGAAAAACTTATTTTCTTTGTCCAGAACAAAGTATGAAAGGTATTCATTCTGTGCATAGGATTTTGCTAGATATTATGAAACCAATGCCAATTTTAGATTTGCAAAATATTCGTAGCTCCAGGTTACCGCAGAGAAAATAGCCTAATTCAAAATATATTGCTTGTTGTTCCTCTACACTTTTGTTGTTTGTTTGTATCCAAATTGGAAGTTTACATGCAGCTCTTGGGCCGAACTTGTCCACAGCTTCGACCTATAAGGTATGTACGTTAGCCAAATAACGCCATGTTCCTAATAACGCCAGACGTCCTCTTTTGGAAAACCACGTAAGCAATACAAAAAATTGCCAGTGTGGCATTGTAGGTTCATACCCAAGAAGACTGTCAGCCATTAAAACCTTCTTTATAGATGAAACAAGTGTCACCACATGAGATGCATGATTTTGGCGGCAATAACCACCATTCGTCATTGCATCTTTGATGCAAGATATTTGATGTTCAAACACTCTAATAATTAGATTTGTTCATACCCGCGTGGTGTTTGGTAAGTTTATGTTATATCTAGTTAATAGTTCCAATTAAAACAAAAACATTTTTGTAAAATCAGTAATGCAGATTTTAGGTTAAGTGCGCCTAATAACGCCAACAATCTTCTACTGGCGTGATTAGGAGCCAATCTGCAATTAAAGAGTGTTCTTGGTCTTCCAACCAAGTAAATCGGAAGAAAAAGAGAAAACCTGCAGCTAAGGAGAGTTTGGTATTGTTTTGTTTGCCAAAAAGGCCGGATCTGCGATATGCGCCTTTGTGTCTTTTGCAACCGTTAAGTACACGAGGAATGTGTAGGATTACCCAAAAAAGACAAATTTTCATATGTTTGTATTGATTTTGAACGTTAGTTAAATTTCAATAAATGTTTACCCTATATATTTTGTCCTCTTTTAAGAAATATCGCAGTTGGCGTTATTAGGAACAGGATGTTCTTATAATAACGCCAACTGCAGCTTGCTGGATAAAATGAAATTTTTTTAGTTTAAAAACTCAAAAAATAATTCCTCACAATTAATTTTGTTCTAATATGTTGGCAAGTATTAATTACCAAGATACAGAATATTTTGGAAAATATTTACAAAGCTGTGGTAGGTCGAACCTTAGTATGGCGTTATTTGGGTCACATACCTTACTCCAATTTGGGATAAAATTAATCCACTTCATCTTGCACTAGAAATAGTCTACAAAGTCCATAGACCAGCTAAGCGAATTACCAAATTAACCAACTTCAATTTCAAAAAAGCAGATTTTCTTAAAATGTACGTCCTTTTTCCTGATATTAATTGGAAGGAGTCTCTTATCCTGAAGTAGATCAGTCTTTATGCAAAACCAATTGTTGCCCCTCTGCTAATGGTTGCAACTCTCCACGAATTTTTAAGTGGGGCAAGGAGTCAAATGACCAAAAATGTATCTGTCTATGTGGTTGCAGAACTTCTAATGGGTATATGTTTCAATAGAAGGAGCCAATGTGGTAGGTCTTGGCGGGATGCCGATATTTGTCGAAATATGTCATTCATCAATAAATAATTTTTGCGATTTATATACAAATGCAGTTGAAACTCATATGAAATTGAGTACTATTATAAACTCCATTTTGTGACGTTCGCCATATTGGATTTAAAATGGCGACATTTAATTGTTTGTGCATCGCCACGAATAAAAGTTCCTTCTAATCGGTTGAGATTTAACAGGTTTTTACAAAAAAATGAATGCCAGCTGTCAACTAATATTAATTTCGACTTGAATATCGTTTGAATCTACTTTTTAGGGGAATTTTTTGAAAGAAAAAAATTCCCCTGATGTGTGTTTTGTCCGTCTGTCTGTCTGTTCCCCGTCTAATTCGAGAACGAAAAGAGATGGCAATGTCAAACCTTCGCCAATCGATTTCTACGAGTTCAAGGCTCAATGCTATTGAATATGAACCGGATCAAAAGTCTGGTTTCCGAATACGAGCCGAGTGGCAAAAAACTCCCCTACTGAAAATAGTATGCGATTCTTTGTATCTTGTCGCCTTACTAGGCATGGCTAAACATGATTTTGATAATTGGATTTATTGCCGAATTTTTGATAACATAATGGCTAATTCGTATATCATTAGATGAGAAGAAAAATCTAAAAAAAACCTTATTCCCATGTCAATTTCCCATTAAAACTGATGTGCGATTTAATATGTTAGGGATTTTGCATCATTCAATCGGGTTGGAAAAAATGACTATGAAAACATTTACACAACATAGTAGGTAAGTAAAAATCACTTGTATATATGTATATCGAGTAAGACGGAAGTCTGCAGTTTGCAGTGGCGTAACCAGGAATATTGGTTTGGGAGAGGCTGAGGTGCGAACGTTGTAGATGTAGAAGGCGGTGAATTGTTAAAGGGATTCACGATAGCGGCCCTCTTTCATGTCCACGAGAGCTAAAGCCCCAATAACCCCTCTCTCCTCCCGGCTGCTCCCCTGACAATTTGACATAAAAACTGAGCAACTCATGCTGTTGTTATTAGGGATATATGAGTAAGAAAATATGTTTTGAGGTACCCTGTTACTGCAGGAGTCCTCCCCCCTCTCAAATCGGCAACCTATCGATTTTGAAAAACGTTTGCAATGACAAAAGTTATTATCAATAGAAAAATTGTCCTTAAAACTTGAAGGCGTTATAAGAAATTCAGGCAATAGGAATTGGATTTGTTTAAATGTCTCCTATCACGCAGTCGATAAACTACATATTTTCCGAGTGTGTATATTTTGAAATCGTAGGAGAAATAGGTAATCAGACTCGTGCGCTATATTTTGTTGTTTTAATGATTGGAAAAAATTCCGTTGGTCCCTACAAACAGATTGGGTTTAAAAATAAGTTTATTATTATATATTGTACTGCCAAGGACTTGCGATAAATAATAATATTCCCGGTTACAGTTCAACTAATTTAATATTTTCCTTTGTGAATGATATTCCATCTTTTACTAATCAGGTAGGCATATAATTGTTATTCCTAAGTGATATCGCCCCTAATTTTATTCTAGAATTTATAGTTAACCAAAAGCTAAGTTGTAGTGTAGTTAGGCCGTTTGAACCGAAAAATTTAAGCGAAACTTAGCTTAAGTGCAGCTTAAAAGCTATGGTAACGATTATTGAGACAATGCTTGCCATGGATTTTAAGCTCCGCTTAAATTTGTCGGTGCAAAGGGCCATTAGTGTACTACAATAAAGATGTCGTACTTAATCATATTGTTTTGTAACGTCGCATTAACCTTGGCAGTTTTAAATTAAATACACAAATAATAGGTAAACATTTTTAAACAGTTTCATTAGGTGCAACCTTGGCGTTCCCCGAGTTAACCCACAATAACAAGTTGGCTAGGAAATATCACTCGCTTCACATATTAAAGGGAAAACCTAACACTTATTTCCACCTTTTTCATTTACATTCGTTCATCCGAAATGCAACCTTCGAATGCGCCGTTTTAATCCATGACTTCCGTATTCATCTTTCGCTAAAACACTCATAGTCGAAGAAAATCGCCGCGCTATACAGAGTGGCCCAACGAGAAGTATACAGAGGGCTTTTAGGGTATTAAATTTAGAAATTTCGAAAAATCCTCGAACACGTCAATTTTGTATTCGAGGGGGACAACTTTTGTAATACAAATCACGAACCCAAGTCTTCACCCCTCCACGTAGGGAGCTTAACCCCTAAAATTTTAAATGGAATCCTATGGCAAATGGCACATTATTTGAAAGCCAATTTAGTCGTGATTACTAATCTGCTTTGCTTTTTAATTGATTCGTTTCGGAGAACTGACAGGTTCACTTAAGTTTAACAAACAAATTGAAGCGTCAAAATTTTAATACAAGGTGACTTAGATCGCATTTGTTTTGGTTTTTTTAGAAAAAACCATTTCAAATGCGAATTATCTCCGAAACGAATCAATAGAATTTAAAAAGCAAAGCAGATTAGTAATCACGACTAAATTGGCTTTCAAATAATGTGCCATTTGCCATAGGATTCCATTTAAAATTTTAGGGGTTAAGCTCCCTACGTAGAGGGGGTTCATGATTTGTATTCCAAAAGTTATCCCCCTCGAATACAAAATTTATTTTTTTACACGTTTGACATTTTAAAGGATGATAGTTGTAAACAGTTCCAAATTAGACCTATCCTAAATTTTTACGGTTATTCGATTAATTTTCATTAGCACGTTGCTATTCTTGAAGCTTAAAAGTTATTTGATCATGCGGTTCGTTTAAATGAGAAACAAAGAATTGAAGTCCTGCAAGAATAGCTACGTACTAATGAAAATTAATCGTATAAAACGACAGAAATCTGACATTCGACAGCTAGGTCTAACGTGGAACTGTTTACGACTGTCATGTTTTAAAATGTCAAATGTTGACATTTTTTTGTGTCCCACTTTATACTAAAAAAATAAGAACACGACAGGATAAACGACGCTTTTTGCGTTACTTTTGAGACGCACTGTATGTATTACTGACAGGAAAACTTGTACCTATAGTGTTATGATCAGTGTCCGAATAACGCGGGTGACTATTTATGTTGAAAAATAGGATGATGTATCACTGAAAAGTAAAAAGGTTTTCCTCGTTTTAGTTTATTGCCCTAAATTGTGAATCAAGACGAAGATCTTTTGTGCAGGAAGAATGTGTCCTTTGGAGTTTTACCGTGCTCTAATTGTTTATTTTGTTTTCCTAAACCCCACCATGTAAAGTTGCGTGCGATTATTTGACGCAGTAAGTGTGATATTTCCATGAAGCAAATGGAAAAAGTAGGTAGCTCTAAACGGCACAATAAGTCTTACACTATGTCAGTATATGTGAGTAATTATTTAATTAATGTTGGCCTAAGAATTCATTACAAATGTACTAGGAACATGAAAAAAATATTCGTTTTCCTTGCAATGCCAAAATAAAAATAAATTATTCTTGGAACAATTGCTTCGTGACGTAACATTTGCGTTTCCTGGTATTAACATCGGAAATCGCGCGAATTTTTGCTAAAATTAAATGTACACGAAATTCAAGTGCAGTTGTTCTAGAGTGTTTCGTGAATTTTTAGATAATTTAACCTACTACTAATCTATTTATTATTTGTAGCTATATTTTAGCGATTGATTTAGATTTTCCGTCACCGTTTATCATAACAAACCTCATCACCCTGTCGTTTTCCCGGGCTCTGCGAAAATCCCGCTCGTGGACGGTCAAGGACAACCGAATTATATAGAAACGGGAAGGGTAGAATGCGCGCAAAGGGCGAGTGTGGGAGTACACCTACTCTACTTCTCAGAAGGTACTACGCAGACTTGTTCCGTTTTAATAAGAGACGGTTTATTTATTAGGGGATAAAATTATGAATAGTGGAGTACAACCTACGTGCCGTTCTACGGCAATCACGAATCTTGTATATAAAGCTCTTATCTCGTTGCAAAATTCCCCGATAAATTTCAATGTCAGTCCCACCATTATCAGTATAGATTATTCTCGGAAATCAAGTGTCGCAGTTACCTACCTTATTCGTCACAAATGCTTAATGACTGATAATGGAGTCTTAGGTGTAAGGTGTAATAATTCGCCAAGGTTACAATTACCATTTTAGTGACGCCCTTCCCTATAAATATATTCAATCCCTACTTATATTTAGTTACATGCAATGTTGGAATGAAAGGGAAAAATGAAAATCGTCCTTAACTGAAGCTTTTGGCAAAACAGGTTGGCGTATCGAAAATTAAACAGGGCTGATTTTGTTTCAGAACGCATCGCCCCAAAGCAATAAGGAGCTGACACGAATTGTTAATGAAAATGGCTTTTAGGTGTCTTATAGGTCATCTTATAATGCAGTTTCTAGTTTTTTATCTTCCCGTATCGTACCATTCTGTGGGAACTTCGACCTGAATATCTGACAGTAGGAGAGATCCTCTCGGTTATATTCTCCTCTGGGATAACCCAATTTTTACATTTTTATAAAAATCGAAAATGCTAAAACTTCAGGACGATGTTCGTTAAATTTAAAACGAAGAGGAAATAAGTATAAATTTAGTTACATGACTAGAGTATGGTTCAGGCCGTCCATTTTTAAAGAGTTCTTTAAGATATCAAAATTTTGAAAATATTTAGGAAGATTTATTTCGGGATTGTTTTACATTCATTTCTCAACAAAACATCCACGGATAACTAGATCTTGCTGAATCGTCATGATGTCTATGATGGAAATGCATTCAAATGAATTTCTGTTTTGTCCCCTATCTCATTCCATAAAAATCCAGGATGGGTGTCCATAACAAATACGAAAGTACAATGCGATCAAATATGAGTTGCTATCGAGTCACCTTTGGAATTTTTGTTTACATGGGAATTCATATTTAACTTGAACTTCCAAACGCGACTCGACAGCAACTCATTTTTGATCGCCCGTTAGTAGCATAGTGTAGTAGTAGCATGTAGCTTCTACATCTAGCGTGCTATGGAAATATTGATTACAGATTCAGATTTTCCTACAAAAAGTGCCCGTAAAAGGTGCTAATCGGAACCGTCCATTTTCGATCGTTAAAACTAATGTATAAAAATGAAAACGATATTTGACAATTTTAATAATTGTTTAGTCACAAAAATGGGCAACTTTGCCCCCATTTAACCTATACACTATATCTCTCACCGTTACGGAGGAAGACGATCGAAATTGAGAGCCATTGGATATTACAAAATTGCCGATGATTAATAAACGCCCATTTAAACTGTCCGGCGTTTTACGAATAATTCGCCCCGTTAACGCGTATTTCAATTGCAATGTTCGGGCCTATGACGAGCTGCGTAAAGCCGTACTCCACAAATGGATAGTTACCGGGCGTAGGTGTAGAATGGCTATTTATATCAAAATTGGAAATATGGATGAAGAAACCGCGTCTTACCATTAACCACGATAAACATTAAAACAAAGTAGCTATCGCAATTGGCAACTTGGAATAAAACAATTATTATTTGTAAGACCTTGAATCTTAATTTTATTATCTAACGCGATTATTTTTCAAGGTGCTTTCGAATGAAGGGTAAATATATGTTAATTTAGCACCCGTAAGTATGAGATACACGGATCTATGTTTTATGTAACCTGGGTGCCGCTTAAAAATACTTTGGCTCTCGGCATCCATGGCCAAGGCTATCTATCTAATTTAAATCTCTCGTTGTACATTTAATAATGAGGGCACATTTATTTGGCAAGTGAAATAACATCTATACACAAATTATTGCTCCTAACCTCTGTAAAAATAGAAAGAGGGCGTGTGTTAGAAGAGCGGAAATTGCAATCAAGGAATGGGTGACATCATGGTGCGTACACTTATGAACCCCATCATAATTTTTAAAATTGCAAGGGTATAACCTTGTTTTAATTAAAGCCGACCTTCTGACCAAAAATTTGACTTTAATGCAATGTAGGTACATATTTTATTACTTTATTTTCTTATTTAGATATCGTTCCTTGGGGTAATAAGGCAGTAACATAATCGTAATTGCCCACAGCCCAGATACAAGATCCTTTCAGTTTCACACGTTTAGTCAATTTTATATGACCTCCAATTGTACGGAAGTATTTGCAATTGAATTGCGGTATAAATTAGGGATCAAGGTCGTAACTAACTATCTGTACAATTGATTTAATAAGATCTTAGGTCACCCAATCCCTTGTCGCTTATACGCTTATCTGTTAGTACTGCTCGCGATTAATCACTCTAAAGACCAAGTTTATCTAATTAAAAGCTGATTTTGCAAATTACGCCCGTCATTATTAGGCAACGCATACATTATTGGATAATAAAACGCGTACAGCGCCCTTTTGACATTTCCCAATCCTTACCTACTTCGAAAGTACAACATTGTCAACTTGTGTAATAAGTCAATGAAAAGTTGGAAATTAAGAAATACGCTATTTTTCAAGGGTACTAATTATAACCGCTATAAATATTTTTACAGTTAGTTATTTCTGCCGGCGCCAAATTGTGTATTGTCTCTTTTTGCTTCATCAGAAGTCAAGCAGTAAACAGTGACAGGAGAACGATTACTCTTGTTGTTGACCTTGTCGGTTATAAGCAATAGAATTCCGTTACTTACGCTTGGGCAAGGTCATGTTTACCGTCGCCGCGCCGTCGCACGTCGCGCGGTAGTGTTTAACTTAAATAGCTTTATCTAAAGTATGGCCGCAAGTGAGACAATTATATTGTACCACGGTTGTGTTACAAAAATCTTGGGACCTTGACTAAATACCATTGCTTAGATATGAATCGGTTAAATTTAATAACGAAATGACAAACTATTGGAGGCGCTTACTCTTAACATTTTTGTTCTAATACTTTTTCCTTATAAAACCTCATGTCTATTATGAATTGGGACAATCACAAAAATTACCTTCTTAAAGGTGCGTATTCATATCTAAAATTTAAAAAAAAGCACTGTGGTCTGTGCCCATCTGTATATTGGTCTTGCAAAATATCTCTGTTTAGATCCACGAATTCACTTATTCCACTTATTCGGAAAAATGTGAATAAACCACTAAAACAGTTATAGTTAATGGAAACTACTAATTTTGATCACAGAAGGTTACATTTGTAATTACCTGATCATTCAAATATGTAGGTAAGTATTTATAATCAAGCACAATATCAAGTAAAAGTGAATTTTCCTAAATTCTGTGTATGTAAATCAGTGGCGGATTTACAAATTTGCCCCCAGTAGGCTATGCCATCTTTGCCCCCAGTAGGCTATGCCATCTTTGCCGTCCCTACTAAATGACTGAAATTCGATACCCTAGTTCTCAATCACATTAATTACATTTATTCTGACAATGAAATTGCAATTTTATGATTTGTGCTCTATCCTGTTCAGTACATCAGCTTTTTCTCGGAGTATTGTGAACTATAGGGGATCGTTTTGTCATTTTCTAGATTATTTTTACAACTCACGATTTAGTGAAAATTACCCTATACTTAAATAGTTTTTGGGAAACTTTTGAGCTAAAAAACCTCTATGTACTAATTATAAATTACAAATATACTATTGCAACGCTAGGTATTGGAATATTAAAAAAAAAATAGTTTTAAGGCTTCGATACCAGTTTCTGTAACTGTTTAGAAGTCTGAAATAAATTATTATAATATACAAAAGAATATTTTACAGAGCATTTAGTAATTTTTCATGGTACAAGCGTTCGAACTTCGAGTATTCACTATACTATAACAGTGGCTATTACGATTACCGTTTTTTGGACATGTCAAAATTTCATCAAATATCGACGCTTTAGATCATTTTAAGCTACTTTCAAAGAATAATTTTTTTCCCATCTGTATGTATGTAACGGGCGAATAAAAATGAGTTGCTGTCGAGTCGCCTTTGGAAGTTCCAAGTTAAATACGATTTTCCATGTAAACAAAAATTTCAAAGGTGACTCGACAGCAGCTCAGTTTTGATCGCATAGTACGTAAGTTGGCAATTCTCCGCGATAACGGCTCGACGGATTTATCGTTAAAATTTTGGGAGCGTACCTTGAAATTGTCAAAAATGTTTTTTAAATGTCTGGTTTATGCTAAGAAGCTGCTCTCTGTCAAGAATTTGGCTGCACCTGACTTTCATTTTTATTATGGGGATCTCGCGTAAACCGTATAAGAGATAAACAGTCGCTTACCTAAGTGGGCAAATTTATGCAGAATTTTATGCTGATTAAATTTTCCGTTTTAAAGTTTAACAAACATTAACAAACCTTAGTGATTTTTTATCATCTTTCTAATATAACATTTTTAGGACTTGTGGGTTTCGAGTAAATCACATCGTTTCTTATGGACGCCATATTGAATTTTTACGTTACTCGATAGAGAAAAAAACTACAAAATCAGCGAAACCAAATACTTAGTATTTCAATCGAAAATTAATCTTGAATTTTATTTCCATTATACAATGTGTATTTCTTATAGCAATAATTCCATGGCTTGTTTGAAATAATTTAACACTTTTCCTTTGTTGTCTTGCATTACCATCAACACGGCCATGGAATTATTGCCAAAAGAAATACTTTGTAAACTTCAATGCAAAAATTCAAGAGTAATTTCCAATTGAAATACTAAAGTATTATTTGATATCGCCCGCCGATTTTGTAATCTTTTTCTCTACTAGAGTGTAAGAATCCAATATATACCTACTTATATCCATGAGAAATAAGAAAGTTGATGGAATTTATTCAAAACCTACAAGTCATAAAAATTTTATTTTAGCACCATCAGAAAGACGACAAAATAGTTATTTGTGTACCAAGGCTGTGAAATGATTGGCGTAAGCGTAAGGCGTAAGTAAGTTTTTATAGGCTCGATTTTAGGTTTGCAATTCATTAATGGTTCTCCTAAGGATCGTCTTTTGTTTTTGAGATATGACGTAAGCGATGATTTTTTTAATTATAATGAATTTGGAAAGACTATAAAATTATAAGACCAAATACACTGAAAAAGCGTGATATTGTATTTTGAAATATTCGAGATCTTGTTCGAGATGGCTTTTAAATTCGCTCTTTTTCAGTCAAAGTCAAATATCGCACAACTTAATTACGGAAAAATCATATAATAAAAACAGACAAACAAGCTGATGAAGAAGTGTCATCATTTTAACCGCAATTGATACATGGTTACTTGATTTTTTTTTAATTAAAACTTGGAAGTTTGCTTTTGGTTCTATACCTTTAAAAGCAATTACCTATCTCGAATATTTTAAAATATAGTGTCATACTTTTTTTTAGCGTATTTGGTCTTAAAATTTCATGCTCTTCCTAAATTGAGCATAAAAAATAGGATTATACCAATAAAAAAAATAGCTTACGTCATATCTCTAAAACAAAAGACGGTAAAATATGGATAAAAATTTTCGCTAATTGATAGCTGCTATGGTCTATGTTTGCCCGTTACTCATCATTTACAGTTGTGTTACGCGGCAAATAGGTTTTTGAAACATTTTTTAGTCATTAGCCAGTATGATTTATATTAGAAAAAACCGTTTTTTTTCAAGAACGTATAAAACTCATCTCGAAAAACTGAAATTTATTTGGCTTAGTTTCCGAGATCACACCTTAAAAAGCTCTGTACACTCTGTAATCTGTATAGGTAACGCCGAGTGTTAACAGTGATAATAGCCATTGATATAAGACATTATAGCAGAGATCGATAGATTCAATTACTGGACACCAACGAAATGAAAGTTATACCTACACTTTAGACATTGTGTAATGGTGGAATTTATCAACGCGTTCGATAATATACACGACATTCTAGGCGAGTGTTTGTTATTGCTTAAAAATAAAAACGCGTAAACCTATTATAATGAGTTCCGCATTAGTTATGTAAATTTAGGGACAGCGGTACGGAGGTGGATAAATAGACAACCTCCACAAGATGCACTTGAGTTCACAATCCATAGAGCATGTAGGTAATTGCAAATCCAGGTCATGACTACACGGGTCAAGGTAAAAACTATCCGATTATTGCGGTCGGCTGTGTATTCAAGGCTTTTGCTTCCATTTATTACTTATGCCGGCAAATTCGATATTTCTCTTCAATTTTCATAAAGTAGATAATATTAATGCATTATTATATGGCCGGTCGCATCAATTCGCAACAGAGAAAGAGAAAGTGAGTAAAAGAATGTAACCTACAAACACAATTGAGAAAAAGTTTCAATGTAAAAAGTGAAAGCATTTTTAAACAACAAAAGTTAATGATGTGGAAGTTGGCCTTTGTTCTGAACAATCGTAGAAATTTAGCGATTGCGATGATATTTACGGACGGGTATTGACCTAAAAATTTGGATTTAGTGAAAAGCGGTTTAGACGCACAACGTTATCGCCGATGTGTTTTTCTTATCTGTTGTATGGAATTGATAGCCAATTCAATCCAACCTGCAGCGACTGGGACCTATATACGTAGGTACGCGTAGGGGATTTTTGTAGAAGTTCCTGTTAAAAATTCACATATAAGTATAATTGATATCAGTGATTACTTTTAGAGTGCTAAAAATCACGGTAATCGTTGTGGCAATGACCAACTGACAAATTCTTTTTGTGGGAATATATTCACATTTTTCCAACAATCAATGAAAACGTTATTAAATCAAGGACTATTGAACGTCACATAAAAAAACTTTTTAAATATAAATAAATTCAATGACATTTCCGTGTAGGGAATGTAACGTAAATTGACGTCAAAAATATTATCAATTGTAAATTAGATGAGGGCAACCACTGTAATCCTGCTGGTTGAAGGAAGAAGAAGCAAAAGAGATTACGTTGAAGAGGCACGCATAAACTAATTCGAGAAGTCGAAGTAGGTAGGTCACTGTTATATTATATAAAGAAGACAAGTTCTGCTATTCTTAGCTGCGACCGTACTTTCACTTCCCGACCCGATCGTATGGACAAGCAGGTCTAACGTAAGTTTAGTTTAGATCAAATGGTTTCAAGCGAAGTCCACTTGCGCTTTGGAAATTATTAACAAGTGCTTCCGCCGAATCAATTTGCTACCTATTTGACGAGAGCTACGGAAAAAAAAACAGTCCAATCAAGCTTTAGTCCTCGTTGATATCCGGGTACGAAGGGCAAATTCGAGTCGAGGGCAAATTGTTTAAGATTGAACTATATTTACATAACAGGGACGAACCAAGGTTTATTTTTCATCAAGGACGATTTAATGAAGTGTAATTGCAAATTAAACACAAATTACTAGAATGTTCATTTGTTCGCTCGACATTTTTTGAAAAATATTTATGTGATTTGAAAGTGAGATTGAATAAAGGAGAAAATGAGACTAAAAACAAATTCTCGTTCCACTGTACTCCTACTCCACTTTTTAGTGACAAAAGGTATCATACCTACTTTCACTAAATATACAACTTTCATTACTTTTCTTCCTAACCTCATATTATTAGCTTAGAAAGAGGTCACGAAGGTTGAAATGGATTTCTCTTCGATTATTAGTAAGTACTTTTTTAGAAATAGTCTTTGGAATAAAATCGTTAATAGGTTACAGAGATTTGCAAAAGGAAATCGCGAGTTTTAAGGTCGAAGTTGCAAGACAAGGTGAATTCACTTTCCCAAACCAGGAAGCTTAACGATACGTTTTCAATATATGAAAGATCTTGACATTTCTCAAATAACACCTACGGTATCCATTAATTTTATTTAAAGCGAATGGAGACAAGGAGCCTCCACTGATATCTGATTTCCATTCCGGAAAGATGCTTCTATTTGTTCCCATTAACTTCTACAATTAAAAATTAACGTGTCCCAGATCGAATGGGATTTCATGGGTCACATTTTTCTTCTTAAAAATTAAAAATTTGAAAATTCTCGTCCGGTTGACAGTTATTTAAAATTTTCGCATTTTGATATGATAACATTCTTTTTCTGAAACTACTTTAGAAACAACTACTTTCGCTTTAAAAAGGGCGAAGAAAATGTCATATTTCTCTCTAGCGAGGAAAGTAAAAAACAATGGCTGATTTGGTGCATTAATAATCTTAATGATGACATTGTATCTAGATTGCTGTGTGTCAAACCCATACGATAATTTTTCAATTTTGATTGTAGTTTCAGAAAAAATTATGTGTAAAACTTGAGAAGAAAGTGTTTTTCAACTCTCGTTCAATTGACAATGTGTCAAACTTTGAACTCGAGTTGAAAATCTCCAATTTCTTCTCTATACACAAATATCTATTAAGCAATTATTGGTCATATTACCTACATCGTTCAAAAGAGACTAAACAAATTTCTTTAACTTTGAGTTACGCCCCAGTTACTGAAAGGGCTAGAAACAAACGACTGACGGCATCGATTTCTACGTTAAAAAGTTCCAGCAAATTGAAGGAATCGATCTCTCGGGAAAAACAAAAGACGGCAGCTTGCTTATTTCTGAACACGGCAATGGAATAACCAGGAAAAGAGAGGTCACGAGTACCTAAACAGTTTTCGTTTATCTGCGCTAATAAGAAAGTTACCCATTTAATCCCATTGAAATTGAATCACTGTACACAACAAATTTTGCGGAATTCTCCTCGGAATTCTCTCCATTTTCGTTGCCCGGCCAAGAATTGCGGCGGATTTTTTTTCGAATTTTCAAAAACTAATTTCAGATTTTCACGATAAAAAATCTCCAAATACCAAATTTCGTCGAAATCAGAATTTTTTCGTACCCCCCATTCAGGGGTGCACATTTTCGTGGTAGCAATTATGAACACATTTTCTTAAAATCGGAAAGGGAATACCCCAAAACCTATTCATTATTCAAAGATGTGCCGCATGCTACAACATCAAGAGAAAGACACCTTAATGTACTTTGGTGCAGCCGAGATTAAAGTTTCGTTACAAGTAAAGCGGCAAAGTCTGTGATCATTTGTGCCGCATCCAGTCTTACTTGTTGAGAAAAAATTAAAGAAGAAATGAAAATTTCACCACTTTTATGGGGGTGGCTCCTAAACGAGATACGTTAGACGCTACTGCTTGTTTTGAGCCCCTCTGCCTCCCAATATTTTTTTACATAATTATGTACTTCTCAGTCGAATGACATTACGAATTTTTTTATAAATCCGAAATGTTATTGTAAAATTATGCTCTTGCGGTCTAAAATGTTTTATTGAGAGTTGTCGATTAATTTTAATTACGGAAACTTTTTTTTAGGCAACGGATTGGTGTGGGTGCCAACTTTTCTAATATGTTATATGTATCAGAAAAGACCACTTCAGCTTCATCAACGCCCTAAATAATCAAGCGGCGCATTAAAATAAAATAATAAAGCAACGATTGAAGAATCCTTTTGGAAATGCGCAGTAGTATGCAGGTCGCCTGATGTGTAATTCGTAAAGTACCTACATAAATATAAACCTTTAAAAAGCAACGACCTTGGGAACGACCTTTACCTACCGTATTGATCGATCTAACAAAAGAGCAATATGTAAATATGCTAGCAATTATTTGTGTGGGGTATAAATACGCGCCCGTTCAAAAATAAACTTTTATTAAAATATCTACTTCAGCTCATTTCATTTTTACAGGCATCGCCATATACCTACCAATAAATATGTACATTTTAATCACCTACCTATGTATAGGTATATCGCGCGTGTGAAGAAGGTTACTACTCGCACCAGTTTTAATACGCAATTGGGAAAACGTACTAAAATATTGATGGAAAATCAAGTGCGACGCGGAACGTTTGTTAAGGTCAAGGTTGTTGGCAGCTATCGATTAGGGCGGTGTCTTAAATAGTCCCCAATGCCAAGGTCGACACTGGTCACGGTTAACGTGGCCTGGGGTCCGCTATTATAATCCTCATGGCAGGTATTGTAAATAATTATACGAACAAAATGAATTTATTATAAATCAAGGTTGGTATGATATGATATTAACATGTCATTGTGATATCATTTGTTTATCAAAACCTTTTGCGTTGTAAAGTCGGCGATAAAAATATAATTTAATTGAAGGTTGGTTGCTATACCACCATTGATTAAGGAGCAAACTTAATGAGACGATTGAGCCCTATTAAACAAAATTCGCCAATAATTTATGATTGCTTTGTTTTGCTCAGTATATGCGCCTTTCATTGTTTTTGGCGACTACTATCTAAATTTCTTTCAAATGTTAGGTACGCAAATTGTATTTTGTAATAAACGACTAGAAGTAGAGACGTCCTCGACCTTGCAGCCTGCCTGGTGCAGCTGCATCGATTCGCACAAGAGGTGACCCATATGACCTAATTGAGAAAAGATCTACTCAATAGGGAATAGACACATTACTTGCTAGATGATAACTAGAAATTCAGTTCGTTAACGAACAAAAATCAAACACGATGCAACAGGTTCGATGCGGTAGGCCGGTATTAATTTTAGGGTTTTGTTTATTGCCCTAAAAAGTAGTTGTACTTTTACTAGCCCTCCTATTTATAGTAACGCGGTAAAAATTGCAACGCTACTACAGTGATGTAATAACTGAACTCGTGAACTAAATAGACTAAATTTATGTAGATAATGATAAGAGGGACATGTTTATGAAGTACATACCTATTGAGTAACATTGTCCAACTGATTTTAAATTTATGCTACAGGGAAGTACATAGGTATTGCCAAACGCTAATGTCAGGGTTATTGTAAATATGAGCAAAGTTAGAATTATGTAAAATGGCCAACTTAAATCAAGGTTCTGTGACAACCTTATAATTTTTTGCCGGACGACCTTGATGAATTTTGCGACCACAAATATATAATTGTAGACAAAAAGATGAGCGAGGTGCCGAGTTACGTATGTGATATTTTTACCTACCCACCTACGACCTTTATGTAACCTTTGTATCGTAGATCTATATATTTAACGCCAAAGTAGCGGTGTTTGGAAAATTCATTTCCATCGCGATAATGCCGCGGTTACTAACGGAACATAAAATATACCTATACTCGCGGTTGGTACATATTTCTTGATAGTAGATACGTATGTACGTCGGTAGAACACTTTTTTTAGATATAAAATCGGGTCAACTTGCACAGTTCCAAAATGTTCAAGGTCGCAGTCTGGAGTTACCCTGAACATTTTTCCACTGAATTTGAAATAAAATGAACACGCTTTCCTTTGTATCATACAAGGCCAAGTTCAAGGTTGATATGAAAAACTGTGGTTTGGCGATACGCAATAACTTTCAGATACCGACAATGCTCTTTGCAAAATAGTCAGGAATTACGTGACCATTAACCACTAATCTCATTCCCGAAATTCAAAAAGCTATCGTGCTTTTATCATAGGACATTAAAATAATTTTATTCTCGAGGACTCCATCGAATCACTCTTGAGCTTCGACAAACCAAATTGCTCGCTACGTTTGCAAAAGTATAATTAGTAAGTATATAGGCACAGGGTGGTGACTTGCGCAACGCATCATAGGAATTTCAATGTAAAATTTATAACATGCGATTATTGGCTCCCCAAAAATGTAGAAAAAAATCTTTTACGCCAATCGTATTAAATTTCAATTTTTTTATATAAAGACGGAAAATTGGAAAAATAAAACCCGCATCTTTTTCAATAATCTGCGGTGCCATTGAATTTTCTAAAACAAAAAGATATCCAGTTATCAATTAGCAGCAGTTCGAAATGGATTTTATGATGGACTTGGTTTTGCAGTTAATGGTGACTTATTCGCAAATTTATTGTAAATTGTTATATTAGGACACCGTTTTTAGTAATTTGGTCTTTCTTTATGTTATGAATTGGTTCTTCTAAATATAATACTTTTTGATAGAATTTGATTTGTTTTATAGCGGACATTCCATGGCATGACGGATATTGGCGTAGTTTTTGTATTATAAAATTCCATGGCATCGCAGATTATTGAAAAAGATGGGGGTTTTATTTTTCCAATTTTCCGTCTTTATTATGCAAAAAATTGAAAACTAATACGGTTGATTGACGTAAAAAATTTTTTTCTACAAAAAACCTTAATACATTTTTGCTCTAAAGTAAGCCAACAATCGCATGTTATGAATTTTAAATTGAAATCCCTATGATGCGTTACGCAAGTCACCACCCTGTATATGAAAACACCCTTTTATCTATGATAATTGATATAGGAACAATTTGAGTCACATTACACAATTTCGAAAATCCGGTCTTACGCAACAATCACACGTCTCTTAAAAACGCTAAAGAAGATACATTTTTATCACCCGCACGTTAATAAGGGAGATATTGCATTGGGGTAAAAAATGACGCCCCACTTTTTTCACGAGAATACGCGTTTTGAATCAAACATTTGGATAATGTCGATCGGCTAAACGGCTAAATTGATTTAAATCAAATTTGGTACACAAATTCTTTGACTCAAGAGGGCAGAATCGCAGGTGTGTAGGTGGTATCTGTGCTAGCCACAGCAAATTTTTTAATTAATTAATCGAGACTGCAGTGTATCTCAGCTGTTTTTAAAGATAAAGACTTGCGGTTTTCGCGGCCATTTGCCACTTTTTCGTGAAACGTATGGTACGACAAACAGAACCAATCTAGCTAAGTTTGTTTCTAACATACAGGGTGAAAACGAAAAGTTTTTGAGGTTGGTATTTAGTAAATGTAACATCCTGTATATCTTAGCGTAAATTGCTTTTCATTCTTTTTCCTGATTAAGTACATTGATGTATCACAGCCTATACTTTTTTTTTAATGTTAGCGATGAAAATCAATACAAACCTTACTTTTTACTTTTTTAAATAGTAGGTCATGGATTCAGGGAGATTAGATTTTGTTTGTTTACCTATTTTGTGCATTGTAACTAAGGCAGCCGATGCCAATCAATAAACATGGCCGAAGGTAGAAACACATAATTTCAAAATTTTGAAAAATGGCGACAAAAAATATAGGACGATACGTCAAAGTAATCACGAAAAAGAATGCAAAAAATTGACGTTAAAATACAGGGTGTTGCATTTAAAAAATACCAAGTTTGGGTCGAATCTCAGAAACGATTGTCCCATTTTTTAATATCACTGGATTCTACGTAAAAATACCTAAAATAGGCAGTTTTTACCTTTTCTCTATCTTACATGGGTAGTCAAATATGACAAAAAGTCAAGCTTTCGTTTTTACCCTATATCTCAGATTTCAGAAACGGAGTTATTGGATTGATTCTGATGTTTGGGGTATTAAGCTTCACAAATAAAGTGGTACAGGGTCGCGAAAACCGCAAGTCTCTTATCTTTAAAAACATCTGAAATACACTGCAGTATCAAACAAAATAGGTCACACGGTATGTTTTCTTGGGCGCGTACTAATGATTTTATGATTATTTGTATTTTTTCGTTTTTTTCTATTATTATGTAATAAAAATTTTTTTTCTTATGTGAACTTTTTTATGATGTGGCTCGAAGCTATGAGTGGAAATCTTAAAATGGCCTTTGATGATAGATGAGTTTGACATTCCTGCTCTACAGCGATATGCTGTGATAAAGAATAGGTGAAGACGAATGTGAACTTGGTGTTTTCGCCCGCAATTTGACTGACCTAACTTTTGTGGTAGGTAATCTTTTAATATTGCATTTTATAATCAAAGGTGCTAATTAAATTGGTGCAAAGCAAAGAGGAGGTAATTAAACCAAAAAAACGAGTTGTTGAAAGTAAATCAGGAACTTATTGATGAACTTAGATCTAAAATACGCTTTTGGAAAGTTTCAAAGACTTGCCTAAAATAAGAAAGGGAGATGGTGATCAACCAAAAAAAAAACTTGGTACTGCGGTAGTGCCCAGTACAAATATTAAACCATTGAATGAACGCGCAAGTAAAAGAAAAGTTCAAGACCAGCAAGATGATACGGTATCAAATTTCGAGGTCAATAAACAAAATTTAATTTCAAATCAACAAAGCAAGGCTATAGATTTGCATTTTGAGAAGCTTAAATTAAGAGGAAACTATCCTCAATCATATTTGGATGCAGCGAAAAATAAAGTCAAATTCCACATAAAATTCCCAAAAAGCGTGGGCGTTCGTGGGACGAATTTATTCGGTAAATAAGTGTCGAGACAATGATTATATTCACAAATTGTAACCATGAAATTTATTCGGTCAGTAAAGTTAAAAAAACCGGGCGTTAGTATCGCGGCATGGAATAAATGGCTGTAGGCAACCAATATTACACCCGACAAAATAGAGCTGTTTTTACAATTGACTGTTACCACCCCGATACCATATCGTCTTTGCTATACAACTTTTCGTTGACATGTGTCGCTAATCAGAAAAATAAAGAAAAATTTGAAAACAACTGAGATATCACCGACAAACTGAAAACGTAAAATTTCATTTTCTTTTTTCCTAGCTTGAACGGAATGGACGGTTCCTATTGGTGCATTCAATGGAGATTTTTTTTCGGAGAATCTGAATCTTGTTATCAAAAACATGCTAGATGTAGAAGCTACATGCTACTCTACTTTATTTCTTATCGACGCGACGTCACATTAGAAAAGAAATCATTTGAATGCATCGTAGATCTTTTGTTGTGAAATGAATGTAAAACATATGATTTTGAAATTTTCCTTTTAAATTCATTATAGAGTGGGACAAATCCAATATGGCTGCTTCACATTTTCAGTTTTTCGGTGATATCTCCGTTATCGTTAAAATTTCAAATGCGTTTTTTAGTCATAAAAAGAGACAACTTTGCCTCCATTCAACCAAAACTGTATTTCTCATCGCGAGTCACGAATATGAACCATCCTGTACATAAGGAATTATCATTTGTTTAGTACACATAGGGATTATTACTCTTACGAGACTCGGAGCTGGTAAACATTTTGAGTTCCCTATCGTTTATTAAAAAAAATGTTAATTTCCAATATTATTCTTGGTTTGAGTACTTTCAGAGCGAGTGATTGTTTAGAATGTTAGATATACCTTAATTCAAGTACTACTGTTCACCTGCTAGTAGACTATTAAGAGTGTAAATTACATAGTGCAGAAGTAATTTAAGTTTTGGAAAGGTGATCTGATGACTTTTAACACTTAATTAATTTTGTTAAATATTTCACAAGATTTTTTTGTTTCCTAGTTTTCTACTTTTAGTTGTTTTCAAAAGCGGCCCGGGATATTATTGGAAGGTACGACACTGTCGCCTGTAATAAAGTGCCACTCTGGGCCCCCGCTACGCTCCGCCACTGGATGAGATACGTCAAAAGTACACGAGCGATTTGTTTCATTAAAATAATTTGGACATTATTTACGTCTGCAATGAATATTTCTACATTTGCTATTTTTATTCCAATGATCACGTGACCAGCACCGAAACGGAAAATCGACCCAACCTCTTGAATGCGTCCAAAACTGTCCACGATCACGTGTACTCTATTGCTGTTCTATTCTATTATAAATCACATTATAACATAACCTAACATTATATTTCACGTTTTCCATCCTCATCATAAATAAAACACCTTATTTATGCATCTTTATTATTTGTAAAGATGGGTAAAAAAACGAAGATTGGTAAAAATCGCAAAGATAAATTTTATCACTTGGCGAAGGAAACAGGTAAATTAATAAATAAAATAATAATTAATTTGCACATCGTCCCCTTTTTTAGGATTTCGATCTCGTGCTGCCTTTAAATTAATTCAATTGAACAGGAAATTTGGTTTTTTACAAAAATCCAGAGTATGCGTCGATTTGTGTGCGGCACCCGGAGGATGGATGCAAGTGGCGCAGCAAAACATGCCAGTTTCGAGTATAATTATCGGCGTGGACTTGTACCCGATTAAACCCGTTCCTGGTTGCATAAGTCTCATTGAGGACATAACGACGGAAAAATGTAGACTGAATTTAGCAAAAGAATTACAAAATTGGAAGGCAGATATTGTTCTAAACGATGGTTCTCCAAACTTGGGCAAAAATTGGTTACACGACGCTTACCAACAGTCTTGTCTCACTTTAAGTGCGGTCAAATTGGCGACACAATTTCTGCGGCCTGGAGGATGGTTCGTCACCAAATTGTTTAGATCGAAAGATTACAATTCGATAATGTGGGTTTTTAAGCAGTTATTTAAGAGGGTCCGAGCGACAAAACCACAAGCGTCACGTCTAGAGTCGGCCGAAATATTCGTCGTATGCGAATATTATCTCGCTCCCGATAAAATTGATTCTCGTTTCTTTGATATTAAACATGTCTTTGAGGAACTCGAAAATGAAACTAAACGGGAATTGAACGTTTTCCATCCGGAAAAAAAGAAAAAGGTGCGTGCCGAGGGATATCCTGCAAATGACTATACCCTGTACCACAAAGTGTCTGTTCGAGATTTTATCTTAAATCCAAACGGGTTAGAAGTGTTGCAAACTATGACTGAGGTAGGTTGTGACAATTAATACAATAACGTACTTTAAAATTGTTCATTTAGATCGTCGTAGATGACAAAGAGATTGCAAACCATGAGAAAACTACAAATGAGATCGTCGAGTGCTGCAAAGATATTAAAGTACTAGGACGTAAAGACTTGAAACGTTTGTTGACTTGGTGGAAAGAACTTCACGAGGAGTTTACTAAAGTAAAAAATGAGGATGAAGTAAAACCTTTAATAAAAGACGAATCGCATGAAGTTGACGAACTGGACGAAATTGATAGACAGCTCGCAGACATACAGGTTGGTGTGTTTATTTGTTTCGCAATGTTAAAATGTTACTCTTACAGTGTGAAGAACGGAAAGAACTCAAACGTAAAAGAAAGAAGGTTTTGAAAGAACGTCAAAAATTAAATGAACGTTTAAATTTAAAAATGGTCCATAAAGGCGATGACGGGCCAGTTTTAGAAGGGGACGATACCTTTTCGTTAAAGCAAATAACAAGCGATCAACAAATGTCGACCATTGTTGATCAAAATCCTGATATTATCATTGAGGCAGATCAGGAAGTTGATAAACCCTTAAAGAGATATACAAAATATACAAAGGATCAGGGTCACCTTTCCAGTAAAACATTTAATTATACAGAGTCCGAGTCTGAATTAGAGATGGAGTCGGACGAGGAATACGAAGACGATAACAACGTAGATGGATTAGGTTTAGAGCAGTCGGATGAGGACGATCAATCTAATGACGAAATTGAAGATGATGAAGCGCATCCACTAATAACCGACTTAGATGAAAATACAAAAGAAGTAAAACGCGCACAGAAAGCTCAATTGTGGTTTAAAAGAGATGTGTTTAAAGATCTTATTAACGACGAAGAGGAAGATGCCGATTTGGATCTGATGGTTAAAAGATTTAAAAAGGAAGGGGTAGCAGTTGTAGGTGAAACTGATGAAGACCACACAAAGAAAAATATTAAAGTAGATACTGCATATGACAGTGATGATACTTCCGATAGTTCCAGTGACTACGATGTCGAAAAAGAAATGGAGCAAAGTGAGAAGAAAAATGTGCATAATGGTACTTCGCATTCAGGTAAATCCCTAAGCTTGATTGATGCTCGATTTTATTCTGAATTCAACACATTTGTAATTTCCTCCGTTCTGTCAATTTTTCTCTAAAAATTGAGATATGCAAAGGTCTGTTCAAAAATTCGTATCCTTTAAACCGTTCAAGGCAAGTGGGTGCTTTTTTTATAATCGAATTCTTAAAGTCTTGAGTGACGTCATTTTAGAGTAGGAATTCTGGAAAATTACACAGGAACCATTTTGTCCTCTTAAATGGATTTGTTTAATATATTCATGCAATAACAACACAGTCTCCAGGGCTGCTACGATTTTTCAAAAATGTCACAAACTTCATTTTTTGAAAGACATTTTGTTATTAGGTGTGGTAGGCTTTGGAAGCAATTGTTTCATTTGAAATGCCATTTGAATCAAATGTTTTAAAACAGTGTTATCTTAGTCAGGTCATGAACCCTCAACAAAAATTCTTAGCAAAAGTTGATTGAGGGGATTTGTAGCCTTATAAATTTAGAAAGATGCAACTTATGACAACAAAAACTTTTTTGTATCGAGGAATAAAATGTTCCCAAATCAGCAGATATCCATAATAAAAAAAATCTTTTTTCTATTTCGATGTGGAAACAATACAGAAACCGTACTTGATTGGCCCAGTTTGCGTGCGTTTCTAGACAGAAATGATGCTGAAAGAAATAGAAACGTATTATTTTTTTTATTTTGTTGGATTGGTACCCCTCGCTTTTCTGCCGTCAACGGTATCCGTCAAAACAAAACTAAACATAACCTGTAAAGTGTAAATAACGTACGAGGAACTTGACCGATTGTATTAATTCCGATTAATTTTGAATATATACTCCAAAGGGTAGAACTTTTTTTATTTTTACTTAGCGTAGTAAAATATGCCGCCAGTACATTCTTGCTTACTTTTTGAACTCCCTTCTCGGCCAGCCAGTTTTCAAAAATTTTGTACTCCTCGTACTTTACTTTCGATTTTACAGGCAGTAAATTTAACGTCGCTTCATTGGCAATCTCTTGGATCTCTGGTGGGGTACAAGAGACGTGTTTGTCATCCGTATTCATCATAATCATAACTGCCGCAAAATGGAATTATGACCAAATAATTAAAAGTTTGAAGTTTGAAAATACAGGAATCAGGTTAGCCAACGTGAAAATAAATGAACTGTGTCTATTACCAACCTACACTGAATGATAGTTTAAAATTACCTAACAACGCCTAAAGGCAATATTTATAATTTGTATAATTTATTATATAAAATAAAGTCGAAATAGAAAAAATAGTATAAAGCACACGTGTCATTTGTCTACTTGTCGCACTCGGCTTTTGCCGCATTCGCCGCTACGCGGCTTATGCGGCAAACTACCTCGTGCGACAATCTTCGTCAAATGACACTTGTACTTTAATATACTATTTTAATCTAAGAAATTTTCTTTTCGTCATTCTCAGGAAATATGTACCTATATTTCAAATTGAACGCGTTGCATGTTCAAGTGTTTTGTCATTGTTCTATTATTCTCACCATAAAGCTAAACAAATCAAAAACAACACAGTACGGATAATGATCCATAAAGAAAATTGGCCAAATATTTAATTCGAATGATATTTCAAATGAAAACCAAAGCCTACCACATATAATGAAAAAATAAGAATATTTCTTTCAAAAAATGGCAAAAACTACCGCGTGCAGGCCTTAAAATACAAATCTACGTTCATTTCTGGCATCAGAAATAGTAGTTGCAATTTGACAAATCGCAGCACCCTTGAAAACTTTTTCAAGACGTTCAGCGGTCACTCAAAAAATTCCTTTGACTTTAAAGATTCTAACGAATGGACTACCCGGTTACGTGAATTATCCTGTATAAAAAGTTTTTTTATACTGCTACATCCAAAAAAGTTACTGTAAGATGTAATGGAAACTAGTAGTTGCTATTAAAAAAAATACGCCCCCCTTGACCATGCAAGGGTACAAGTTAGATTGGTAGCAAATGTCCTATTTTGGTTTTGATCTTTAACTATCTTCATGGTTGAGTGTCAAAAGTTTAAAAGAACCATAACGGCTTGTAAAATTTTTTTTAAATTTTTTTCGCATACACTGGCCAAAATGGCTTAAAAAACTCTACAAGCAAGTTTATTACAATTTTTTAGTGAGTTCCTTTGTTGAGAAGTTTTGAATTGAAAAGTTAAACTATTTATTTTATTTTTTTAAATATGCATTTTTCTCTAAAAGTGAGCATCAGAGTCAAAAATGTTAATTACAAAAAAGCTGTGTTTTGATGAGATCTATAAAAAAAAGCTTCTACTCTTTTTGCGTCAGGTTCAAAATAAAGGCGCTAGAGGGCATTTTCTGGATGTTATACTTAAAGTCCTAGATTACTAAAGTAACGCGAATAGCAGCCATTTTGGCTCAGTTTGGGAACCGCGAAATTTGAAATTGAACAATAGTTGGAAAGTATGTCTTTTGCAGTCGCTCTTCGATTGTGCGGATACTTTTGGATAGGGCAAGTTTTGTGAGCATATCAAGCCTTTAACGTCACAAGAAAAATATAGTTGCACTTATTGGCAAACCCTTTAAGTAGTATTAAATAATAACTGTTAGACTACCTTGTCTCATTATGTAATTTTATTAGATTAGTAGATTTGATTTATTTATTTATTATGCCTCTCTTGTTCTGGGCCCTCAATATATTTGTAGATAAATTTAACAGGGGTGATCCCCACCCCCTGTTATGAATCACTGCAAATTTTATTTGTAATATTTTTACATTTTACATTTACATTATTAGATGAAAAAGTAATTGCCCTCTATGAAAAAATTGACATTTGCAAATAATGAGATTCTTACTTTTCGTTCTCTGAATATAACCCTTTTGAAATTACTGTTACATCTGTTACCAACCCTATCACTAATTAAATCTTCTTTTTTTAAAAGTGAAGCAAAAATTATCTGAAGAGGAGCTAGCCCTTGGTACAATGATGATTAATAGTGCAAAAACCAAAAGGGATCTTACTGATGCCGCATGGAATCGCTATACCTTTAATGATAAAAATTTACCCGACTGGTTTGTGGAAGATGAAAAACGACACATGCAGAGACCCTTGCCAGTACCTAAGGTGATAATACTAATGCGAACTACCAGGTTTTTTATTAATACATTATAGGAGTTGGTAGACGAATACAAGAATAAGTTGCAAGAAATCAATACTAGGCCAATTAAGAAGGTTATTGAAGCAAAGGCTCGAAAGAAGAAGCGTGCGCTTAAAAAAATGGAAAGGGCTAAGAAGAAAATGGAAGTTCTCATGGAAAACGCAGACATTGGTGACAAAGAGAAAGCGAGACAATTGGCTCAGTACTATTGCACGCGCTATGTGATAAACATGCTTACATATTTTTTTGTAGGTTATATAAAAAGGCGAAGAGTACACCAAAGAAGGAAGTAAAATACGTAGTTTCGAAGAAATACATGGCCGCAAAGAAACCAAGAAGACCTGCCGGTATTAAAGGTCCCTACAAAATTGTCGACCCTCGTATGAAGAAAGACACAAGGGGTATAATGCGAAAGAAAAGCAAAGAAAAAAAAGGACCTAAAGGAAAGGGAAACAAACCGAGAGGGAAAGGTAAATAAAAATTAATTATTCTGACTGTAATGCAAAAAATAAATTTATTATTTTTGGTTACGTGGTTATTGAGTACTGACCTAAGTATTTGTTAATATTGTTAAGTTTTTGCATGACCAGCTAGTGATCGTTCTTCTACTCTGAGACGGTTCCACAGAATATGCAAGTACAAGGTATCTCAAAGAGATTCGTTTAAAATTTTGTCGATAGTTAACTCAACTAACTGTATTTAGAACGTTTGTTAGAAATGGAAAATCAGTAATGATTTTATTATGACCTAACATAACAATTTTGTGTGTTTCACAATCATGTTTTCGTTTGCACAGTTACTTTAAGTTACGGGGACTAACGGTATTCATTTCTACGATTTTGTTTTGGTTTCAAAAATAAAGGAAAGTAAACTGATGGAATTCGCCATTTTTCAGTTTTTCTCTCTAGAGAAAAAACAAAAGACGATAGCTTATTTCTGGTAATGCTAATGGAATAAGCATGAAAAAAGAGTCATGTCATTCAGCTTAAGAACGGAAGAATGACCAAGACTTCTGGATAGTCCAGTTTGCTTAGCAAATCCGTTTACTGTACAAAACATGCTGAAACTTTTTGTAAAAGTCGAAATTCTGTTAGCCGAGGGCATGCGTGATAGGAGCCTTTCTTGAAAGTGAAATAACTTTCAACTTTTCGATTCGCGATTCGAATCGAAAGAGAAACATTTCACTTTCAGAGCTAAGATTGAACATATTATGTTTCGTGTCATTTGATGTTAATTCTAATTTGTGTTGATGGAGGGTAAAAGCAGATTATTGAGTGAAATATTTTCTCGTGAAATCTTACCAATAATTGTTGGTGCTGAAATTAATTAATTAAGCAAGTTATAAAAGGCGTCAACAACCTATATCTTTTTAGGTTGGTACCAGTAAAATTGAAGTAAAACTACAACATATAAAGAACATCTGCCACTTCAAAGTTTTCGACTTTCATGAAATAACTTTCAGCATGTGCATGTAAAACGGGCTTTAATGTTAATATGAAGGACACTGATAGATATTGCAAAAAAGACCATTCCAAGCATCTACAGTCAATCTTACGTTAATAAATTGAAAGACTGAGCTACATGAAGGTTACCTAAAATAACCTACATTTTATTCGTTATTTGCACTATTCACTCCCCCCTCTTATAACCGCTAAAGACACATAATAAAGTACACCATGCATAAAAGTAAAAATCCTACCTTGGTGCCCTTCAGGAATCTGTAACAAACAGGAAAATTTCGTAAAAAATATGATAAAAATGTCACATTAATTAAAATATTTTATGTTTAATCTCAAAATACATAGGGACTAGTTGAACATAGACAGGGTCTTTCTGATTAACATGATAACATTTAAGGGGGCTTCTTCTTTTGGGTCCATTTTAAGAAAAAAAAATTTCCATGAACGTATGTCTTAACTTTTGAAATACAGGGTGTTAAAGTTTTAAGAAAAAAATGCGAAAACTTACCCTTTGGGCTTGTTAATTCAGTCTCTCCTAGGAAGATCCATAACAAATGTAGAGAGGTGTTGAAGACTGCTCCCCGACCTTCTTGTATCCATTGCCATGAACTGAAAATTGAAATATAATCAAATAAAATCAAGTGTTGATTAAATGTGTATACTGTAGAAGTCAAAATATTGATATTTTTTTTAAATAAACTTGCGTGCGTACGTATAGTCTCCTTGCAAGCGGTTGCGAATATTATCGCCACTATAGCGAATTTTCTTACCATCTATTTTACGGTAGAATTAAAATATATAATTTTACCCTTTTTTGGGAGTACCCTGTATACATTCAAACAACTCATAGTAAGTCATTCTCTTCTACGCCACTGATCGCAGCTGGTAATTTATTGATTTTGTTATCGATTTTTGACAACATGCGCGCAGTTTAAATTGTTAATCAAGTAAGTACCACAGCTTGATAGTAAGTAAGCTGTGTAAGTACTTACTGTAGTTTGGGTGATGATGGTAGCGCAAAAATTACAGACAAGGCCGAAAGAATTGAGAGAAAAATCGAAAGGATTGTGATACAAAAGTGTCGTGAGAGTCTCCAGCAAATTTCCCACGACATATACAGTACCTGATGGGTATCACTACCAAAAAAACAAACCACAGCCTGCCAGCTTAGTACCTACCCCCCAAGGAATTTTTTGTCAATGTCCTACAATTTAATTAACAGGTGAAGTAAAGTAAATGTGCTTTTGGAGTATCAACTCTTATCATCAGATAAATTGAATTTTCGAATGGAATCGTAGCACATTCTACGACAAAGCTGTGATCGTTTCAACGTGTTAAACGGTGATGAGAATCATCCCTTTCATCTACAACAGGTAATTATGTAGGTCAATAACGAGGTCAACAATAAACATCTACCTCTCGATCTACGTCATATCCCAAAAGTGCACGACTTGGTTGATTTGATTAAGCGTAACCTGATTATAAATCCATAGAAAGTTGTGCATAGATCGATCGGCCACCCGCAAGCATCTCGGTAAGCTGCTCGGCAAATCCCCGTGTACAAAGCAAGCTGTTCACACGCATCTGAGCACAACTCAGAACAAGCTCACAACCAAACATGGCAGATGTAGATGTTATTGCAGCTGTTCTCTTCGGTTTGACATACCTACTTTTATTGGAAAAAACAACAACGACGAATTGAAAAGAGACGATGAAGAGCTCGGAGAAGGTGGTGGACGATAAAAATTTATAGAAATCGCACCAAGCCTGTCAACGCATGTAAACAGGTACACGAGCGCAAACAGATTCATCCTTTGAACTGTGTCGAAAAACCGACACTAGTCCGGATCGGTGACGAGCACAGGCAAGCAGAGGCGAGCAACCCATTTACATGCTCGTGCCCGTTGAATGTCGCTTTGAACGGAAGCGTGTAAACGTAGCATAATGACTGTTTGTACTGACAAATTTAAGTAGGTCTTAAAATCCATGGCAACGATTATTGCGACGATGGTTTTAAGTAAATTTGTCACTACAAAATGGCCATGAAAGATTTAAAAACTTACCCCAAGTCAATGTATCCATGGAATGTTAGGCGTCCTGAACGAAAAAGAGGCCACGCAATGGAAAAATGCGACTTCAGTTTCTACTTCCACTAAATTTGTTTAAATAACAAGTTATACACAGCTCCGAAGCGAACGATGTGCTTTTCCGAGGTCGGTTTATAACTTTTAAGAGTTGATTTTTAATATATCGCAAACAATTCGTAATTTGAAAAACCGAATGCAAGGAACATCGAAACAACACGCAATCGCGAGTTCAAATTCAAAGGGGACGCCATCTTGATTCAAATCTTTAAACGGTTAAAAACACCGATTTATTTAACGATCGACCGAAACTAGCGACGTGCCACAATTTTCCGCGTGCTTAATTTTACTTTTGCGGGATTTATTTTATTACAACCGTTCATAATTTCAAAGAAAACGTAGAAAAACTAGGTAGGTACGCGTGTACACCGCGCAAGCGACTGCAACGAACTACCAGGTCACGTGATGATAAGACATATGACGTCATGGCACGTGACCGATTTCAAAACGCGTTCACAGTGGTCTGGCTTATTATTTCGCTTAATTTAGGAAAATTTTATTGAATAGAACTCGTTCCAATAGCCGTGATTTTTTCGAGTCCTAGCGCCGAAAATTGCCAACTCGAAATACATGCCTCGTATAAAAACAAGTTTTGAACATAAGAGAGACCGACCTATTCGAGTGCCTTTTGGAAATATGATGGTGTATCTTTAGGGAATATCAGTTCTTCTTTACAGGCCAGAACATATTTTATCAATTCATACCAAGTCACACTTAGGGTACGGTCCAAAATTTACTCCAGTTACTGTTTTTACCGAAAGTAATTTTGAGGCGGTTATAAAATTGCTGACATTTACTGCGAATGCTTCTTTAAAATCTTGCAACAATCAATACGCATGCATGAGATTTACTGCAAAATGCTCATGTTGCTTCTACCAATTTGGTGGTAACAGCTGAGTAAAGGTTGTAATAAACATAAACAATGCGATTGACACTGTGAATCAGAATATAAATGCACTACATTTTTTAAATAATGCTGCATCCTGACTAAGGGAACTTTCCTTCTACGCAAATTTGTTACTGCAATAAACTCCTGCTTTCTAATATATTTTGGATAACGTTATGCAGAACAATAAATTCATTAATGGCCCCCATTTCCGAATAACAGTAAACAAAATTTCACACCTCAATAGTATAATCATTCATGGGCTGTTTATAAAGTAAACAAACAAATGCGAGGTTAGAATTTGCTCATGATCCTGATGTTGAGCTAAAGATTGGTTAAAAATAAAATTTTACTGTAAGCATTTGTAGTAAAATATAATTTTAAACCGAGTTACTTCAATTGCAATGCTCCAAATGCACGTAAATTGTAGAGTAGAGTAAATTTTCGACCGTACCCTTAATCTGATTCTTGAGTTTACTTTGAAAACAATCACCTGTTGAAATGCAAGTGATAAGGAAATCAAGAGAGATTGTGGAAGAAGTGCCGCAATGGCTGAACGAATTGGGATGCGAATCCTGGTACCCGATAAGGGCCCTCCCTGTGCCTGTCGCATTTTGTAAAATGTTTACAACGAGAGTGCCTTTTTACTTGGTTTGCTTATGACTAGCTATCCTTGTTCGTAAAGATGGCAGGTGTCAGAGAAGAGATGTCAACAACGAGGGTATTTACAGTGAAGATCGGTTCCCAATCCTTGGCAGCAAGCCAAATGGAAGTGGTAAAGTTGGTAAGGTTCGTTTTAATTTGAAATTTACGATTTGAAATTGGAATTGTGTAGGTGGCCTTGCTACGGGTAAAGGTTTCGTCAAACTGATGCAGTGGAACTGTTTGTACAGCTAAGAAACGTAGGTCTAGCGCACAGAATGAAGTTTAACGAAGTAACGCAGAATTGACACTCTTCCCGGAAGTACCAGGATATACAATTAAATCGTCATAATCGTAGTATGAATGTTCTGCAAGTCAGTGATCATTTCTCGGCATTAAATGTTGAATTGAACGCAGCTAACATAACCTACTTCAACGGGTTAATATGAAGGGTAGCAAAATAACAAGAGCCCTATCGTGCCTGATAAATAAATCGGAAACTAAATATACCGCAGCAAGTTGTTTTATTATAAACCGTCGATACAAGTCGCAAGCAGGTGCTTACGTTCACCAGACGAAGCGCTACCCAAAGACAGCTAAATACTCTAGCAAGGTTTTTCTCACGAGTTGCTGTGTCGAGGTGTAAATACCACCGTAAGTCGACTCACAGTGATGTGTAGACCTCGACAGTGCTATCAAACACCCGTCTTTAGGTAGCGCTAATGAAGCACTTCGTCTGGTGAACGTAAGCATTATCGTAACCGTTACCACGAACCTTTTAAAGGTCTACAAACTTACCCCACATCAACATATCAATGAAATCTTAGGCGTCTTGATTCCAAACACGAAAAAGATACACAAAACGTTAAGTTTTAAACCCAAACAAACGAATTTAAAATAGAACGCCATCTTCTTGTTCTCCCGATAACATTTAACACGACATCGAAAAGACCGATTTGCGAACACTTCCCCGCCGGTTTTTGTTACTTTAAGCGTTGAATTTAACAACAAAATCAAAATTTACTTGCTCGCGTCCCGAGATCCTACACGCAAACGCCGATTTAAATTCGTACGAAAAGGAGAAGGGACGCTATAACTTTTTGTAGCTTGATATTACGTTTAAACACCGATTTACGTATGATGAACCGAAACGAACTATGTGCCAGAATTGTTCCCGTCTTTTATTTGACTTTTTTTAAGTTTATTTTAATATCGCACTTCGTAAATTAGCAGCCAACCGAAAAAATACAACACGCTTGGAACGACAGCAACGACATGTTGGTCACGTGACGAAGATAGTGATCATGACGTCACAGCTGCAAGACTCGCTCCGATTCGCCCGTTTCAAAAAATGGTCCATTCAAATGCATCCGGTTTTCTGTTTACTAGTTATTCTCGGAATTCTAAAACGATGGCAAATTTACTTCCCAAGATCTAAAAACTGTTGTTATGCAAAACTTTTTCACACAGAAATGGCGAAAGTAACTTCTCTGCTTGGTATACATACATCCATCATATACGTAGGCGAATGTCCGTGTCATTTAATCCAAAACGTAAACAAAGCAATTTCATGGAACCAAAATACGACCCAAACAAACGAAAGTTGTCCTAAATCGTGAAATGTGGAACTTTCCCATATTCCCGTGACACCCGGGCGTAAGGAACCCCCCACCCCCCCGAAACAAATTCAGTACATCAATCGTTAGATTTTTGTGCACTTTTGTGACTCCCGGTACTGCGTTCTTGTTTAAAAATATTGAGCCCTAAGGGCACCCATGACAATTTATTATAAAAGACCATCAAACCTTCCTTTCCCTACCCGTACCCCCACAGACTTGCGGTGTTATGGTTCGTGGTCCTTGAAATGAAAATTCAGCGTTCCTTTCCCTACACCTAGCATAACATTTTCGTACACTAGTGATGAGAAGATTCGTTGCTCTCGTTTGGGATAAAATTATTAATAAATAAATCTACGATCTCCCCAATATTTGAATGAGGAGGAATGGGAAGATCGTGGATTTATTACTTAATAATAATCATAAGATGTTCGTGCGCTGTGACTCCCAGTCCTACGTTCTTGAGGCTCTCCCTCAAAACGTGCTGCGTTAAAAAGTTGAATTTCCCTTTTGTAATGCGAGTATTTTGTGGAGAAAAGGTCAGGGGAAAGCGACGTAAGTTCTGGAAAAAGCAGTCATGGTGCTTCCAATAACTTAGAGCGAAAAGCTCGGTATCGTTGGTCCCGACCACAACAACTTTCCTCAGTTTTTAGCGATACCTGACTAGCTGTCTGTCAACCTCCTAGTGGTGCCCCCTCTGGTAACGATCTCAACGCTCCTAACGGAACTCTGATGAGATTGCCGAATGACAGTATGGCGAACCAAATCCAAGTCAGGGTGGAAGAGCTGACGCCGAGAGGACTGCCTGGCCAAGGGGGAACTTGGTCATTGGACAGTGAATTCTGGGAACCGGGCGCATCCCTCTCTCCCCGAAGACTCCTAATTCTTGGGTAACGAAAGTCTCAGGGGAGACAAGTGAAGTAAACCATGCTGTGGAGGGTCCACCCCACAAGTACATCTTTGTGGAGCCCTTTGTAAGCAGTTCAAAAAACAGGTATAGGTAATAATAAGTAGTGTAATTTCAGCACGATAATTATTATGTCAGTGGCATTTGCAATGACGCAGGGGTAAAACGTAGGAATCTGGATCCTTTTCTTGAAAGCAATGGAAAAAAGTTATAGAGAAGACAGTATATCCATTATTTGGGAACAGGCATAGAAAAGAGTGAATCCTAAAAATGTGTTTACTTAAACTGTGTTATTTTAAGTCGCAAAAGGGACACCACATCAAAAGGTGCCAGATCAATTTCAGACTTTGCAATTTTGTTATACGAATTTTAATGAATACAGCATTGGTACCATTGAAAACGATTTTCAGGTCAGTTTAATTGTAGCTCACATGATTCTTTTTGTTTTCTTTCTTGCAATTTTTTCCCCACGTCCACGCTACGCAGTCGTGTACCACAGGACAAGTTTTAGTACCCGATACAGACAAAGGAGTTGTGCGAAATTGCTTCCCTCATCACAGCATCCTGCATTTCATGTCAGGACAAATTAGGTGGAGTCGTGGAATACCTTTTCAAAAGTTCTTTCATCCATCCCAATGTAGTTAAATCGAGATTCCCATTGCAATTAAATTCAAAATTTCTAAAACTATAAATTCCAGGGCTTCTAGATTTTTTTCTCTAGGTACATGTTACTTATAAGCACCTTATCTGTATCTAGATACCTACACTGAAACAAATGTATCTTAAATTTAAAACTTCGATTCTTTAATGGCCATATGCACCCACCAATTTAAGCTGAGTTTAACTTAAAATCTATGACAGTCATGAATTTTAAGTCACACTTCAGCTTACATTTCTCAATGCAAACGGCTATAAGTTGCCATTTGTTGGTAACTAATTACCAGATAAAACTTGTTTAAATCATGCAGATCCCTTTCAAATTATGAATCATCTGACCCTTCTGCACAAGGTTAAAGTTGCAAGAATTATTTCTACATAAATCGATATGAAAATTGACCAGTTTTTAGATTTTTGTCAGTTCTGGGTATGTAATATAAAAGTAAACAAAGTAATTTGATTACAGCCTTTGGGCTGGGAATTTATTTTTTAAAATCACTCGAGTGGAGACACCACACTATAAAGAAAGATGTTTGTGCTTATACTAAACTTAAATTAATTAACAACTTTTCATTAAAATCACTTTACAGCTCTTCTTTAAGCAACGTGTATCTATTTTTAGAGGGTGCTAGCTTTTTGAAACTACTTTCAAGTGGTACGGCGGGCTTGGTTACTTTTTCAGTGGACTCCGGATCGGGTCCGTTGTGGTACTCTCTGTGTAATTTGCCTGAATACAAGTCTGCGATAAACTGCTTTAATTTTCCAGGAGTTTCTATGTCTTGGTAGTTTGGAAATAGGTACATATGTTTAAAACTATCGATGGCAATTAAGGGTAAATCGCTTTCTCCTTTTCCAAGGTGATGTAGTGGATGTGCGAATTTGATTCCATCTGCCGTTAGATAATTGATCGATGCTAGAATAAAATCGTACGTTGAGTGCGTGTATACAAATTTTTAATTAGTAACTACTTACATTTTTCGTTCAATAACTGGGTTTGCACGATCTCATTGAAACGTTTAATACTGTCTTTGTCATTTGGATGGTGAAATAATATGAGAAATGGTAATCCTTCCTCGGTTAACTCCTCCGCATTCTCAAAAGTTATTTCACGAACTAATGGAAGACACCTTTCAGAACACCATGCGTATAATTCACTAAAGTTCGTCATCTGTCCCATGTATGTTTCGTCCAAATCATTTGTTCTCTCGACATCGGGCCGATATACAATTATAGGTTGCTGCGGAGGATGCATTTGTTGCGATACCTCTCCAAATCCGACGTGAAATTGGCAGTCTTCTTTAAGGTTGGTTGCTACTTTCCGAAATGTATCGTACTCGACTCTTTCTTTTACATCAAAATATCCGATGATTATTCGTTTATTTTTGTCCAAATTAACCAAGTCCGTCAGACTTTTAAACTCAATTATGGGATCTTCTAATTGAGTTTTCATGTAAGTTACAAAAGCATCCGTGGATCTTTGGCCTCGGTATTCTCGTTTTGCGACTTGCCCATTTCTGACGATCTTCAATGTCGGATATTTAGTTATGTGAAATTGTGACGCTACGTCCGTCTCTTTATCGCAATCCACTTTTGCCAAAACTACCTTACCCGCTTGCGGAAATAACGATTTAATCTGATCGGCCGTCTCATCAAACGTAGGCATTAGAATGTTACTAAACCTACACCATTCTGCATAAAAGTTGATGAACACTAACTCGTTACTCGCTAAAACATAATAAGACGTTACGCTAATACGTACGGTACACATATTTAGTATGCAATTAACCTAAAGTTGATGCCAGAGTTTGCTGAGTTATTTGCACTGCTCCGCTATCAGTTGGATTGTAAATAACATGGGAGACCTAAAAAGTAGGTTTTCAAGTAACGTATGTAATAATTATTTAGATAGATAGATAGATCTACGTACCCATAAAGGATACAATATTTATACTAGACCGATTTAATTAAACTTTGCAAATGAGTACGTGGATCATAATGAATGGAGTTTTCATAACTTACCCAAATGTATAGTAAAAATATGTACCTAACGTTAACGGCTACTCTAAAACTATCCATACCTATCAATAAATTATAATTAACTATTTACAATAATAATTTGCGTGAATCTGTTCCGGTTCAACGCAACTCGATATCCATCAGTCATTTAATCACAAGTTGTTGGCTGACGGCTGTCATTTTATAAGAACCAGCAAATTTTTCGACGAAAAACGTTACATCGAATTCGTATACCTACATATACCTACCCGCGTGACATCTGTATTCATTTTCATTAATTTATTGTACAGACGAAAAAGATTAGATTAGAACGGTATTTTATTTCTTACTGCTGACAGGCCCCTTTATTGCTTTTGCTTTTTTAATTAGTCAACGAACAACTTTGAATAATAGGTATATTTATGGCCAAAAAACCAATTTCAACAAAAAATTCAAAGGGCTGTAACTTTTGATGATTATGGATTCTACAGGCCACATTCTATAAGAAAATATTTTTTTCCGGGCAAAAAAGGCAGTTATTTACCTTCCTTTTTTTACCAAAAATCGACTGCACCAAAGTTTCTCGGGAAAAAACTTTTTCTTATTAATTTGGGTGCGTAGAATCCAAAACGATTCGTACTTTTTCGATTAGACGTCTCCATCAAAAGTTATGGGCAAAAAAAATTCCTGTTTTTAAAATTCTTATTTTCGTCATTTCGTGAAAGGCAGGACGCAGGTACCTCACCTCAGTAGCAGTACTAAGTACCTGATACCTATTTGTTATTTTGGGCATCAATGTAGCGAATTGCCGATCGATGCCGAATAGCCAAATCATTGACTGCCAACACTGATCACTCACTACTGAATAGTGAATACTACAGAATATTTAGCTTTAGTGACTTTAGACTTTAACCAAAACCAAAATTGCTCTCTATATACGGTATACCTATATATTATTGCCTTTATTTTAAAGTGGACGGAGCGGATAGCGGAGTATTACCTAAATACCTAATAGCTATGATGATAACTCAATTCTTCTGGGGGAGGGGGGAATATATCCCCTTCATCCCCCCCCGTAATACGCCACTGAGTCCCACTGATTCGTAGGTACTCTAAAAGTATTTCTGGGTTACCTCGTTTTGTCCCTCTTACATATTTCCAGGTCTCTATTATTTACGGCTTTTCCCAGATCCATCCCTCAGCACTCTCTTGTTTTGGTTAATTTCCATTGTCGTTAGCCTTCTCAGTTGGGTCATTTTCAATTTTTATTCTAGGGCCTCTTAATTTGTTTTTATTCTCTAGCATTTCCATCTTATCTTTCCATGTACCCCGTTTTACTATGTTGTCTTCTCGTTCCCTTCCTACTTCCTTTAATGAGGATTTTATTTTTAATTTCCATTCGATAAAATTTCCTACTTCTAGTATAATAAAAAAAGATACAGTGACAAAAAGAGAATTCTGACATTATGAGAAAGCAAAGAGGATGGAAGAATAAGTGTTGAAACAAAGGTATCTATCAAGAAGTAAAACAAAATCAGATAGCCAATAAAATGCTAGTGGCCACATAAGGAATGGGGGACGAAAAGTAAATCCTAAATGAGCGGAAAATCTACTTTCAAGAGGTTCTAAATGGAAAAGGAAAAGAACACAGAGGCGAAAACTTAGAAACAACAGACCCACGCAGGTTCCATACCAGTTTTTTCTATTTCTTCACATAGGAATCACTGAAACATAAAAACCGGCGCATGATTATGGTATTTTTTAAAAAAAAAACGAAACAATCTATAAAACATTACTGTATATTTACTTCCTTTTCTCTTAACAGTAGTGTTATTTAATTAAAAATACAAATATATTTCATTTTAGTTAAAAAACTTCATGTAGAATTTACAAGATAAGTAGTTATGAAGATGGAATATGTACAACATCGTTCTTTACAAAGAATATGAAATGCGAAAAGAGCCATCTATCGGGCAGCTACGTAAGGCGATGTTTATGCCCTTTGAATTATGATTAATTGATTTACTCTCACATCCAAATACATATACTACTCTCGCCGGGAAAGATTGCCGGTCACAGCACACCTTGTGTCGATCTACAATCTATGTTTTTCTTAAGATGAGAGCGACTTCCGAAATAGAATCGTGCCAATGTTGAACGAAAAGTCTTTTTGTTCAACATTGACACGACACTATCCCGGAAGTCGCTCACATCTTTAGAAAAATATAGATTGTAGATCGGGATCAAGTGTTCTGTGACCGGCAATCTTTCCTGGCGAGAGGTTTAAGTAAAAATATGTCACAGGTATCTGTTTAAGAAATACATAATACTATGCGATCAAAAATGAGTTGCTGTCGAGTCGCCTTTGGAATTTTTCATTACACGGGAAATCGTACTTAGCTTGAACTTCCAAAGGCGACTCGACAGCAACTCATTTTTGATCGCCCGTTAAATTTACTACAGTGAACAAAAAATAGCTCCGATGGATTGTGTATAGGTATTGCCTACTTATATAAAGATGTAGAATAAACGGAAATGCACCTGCAGATTGTTATAAACGAATAACAGGGTAGGTAGGTACTTGCACTAATTTTGGAAGTTGTAAAATTTTAATTTTGGTATCTGATGATTAACTAGGTGTGGCAGGTTATTTTTGGTGAGTCACTAACGTAAGGTTTTTACGAACGTGCTTGCATCCAGTCATCCTAAACCTGATAGGTACTGAAGACATCTTTTTTTACACATAAAATACTTACAATGTAATACTTATTGCAATTACAAGCAATTAGTGCAAGTACAATTATTAGTATACTCTAATCTTAATACAATTGGGTTTACCTATAGCGCTGTTTAAATACTTTTATTTAAAATTTTAAACAATGCTAGTTACAAAAATGGAACCTGCATTTGATAAAAATGCGTACAAATGCTTAAACCACATATTGTTGTATAAAACTTTAACATTCCGTCATCCATTACTTATCTAAACATCACTTTGATTGTTTTAATCGTATATTTACATTCAGGAAAATGAAAATTACAGGCACTACTTTTACAGATCATTATGATCACAGTGATATGCCTCGGTACTTAGGCCGATTGTGCAAAATTGATTGAATTGTACTTAACTGAACTTAAGTTAAACCAACATGGCACAATCGTACTTTATAAGGAAAGCAAAAAATCGCTGTTCGCCTACAACTACCGAATAAATTACCTTCCAGATAATCCGACTCAAATTGATCTAAAATACCAAACGGCAAGCTGTGCAAATTAGAAAAGAATGAATAGCGCACCACATTTAAAAAAAAGGAAGTGGTGTCTGAAGTCGTAGGGTGTAGTTAAACTGGAAATATTTCAGATGAATAAACCTTATATATACGACTTCTTAGAAACTTATTTGTATCTCATATATAAAAAATTATCTCTGCTCATCGTTGGACAACATGTATATCAATTGCATATATCATATTTAAATTCGAACTCCCATCCATCAGGTTTACCGCAATTGACCCTAAGTGACTTTTATCCATGGACGTGAGAAAACCCCATAATTTTGTTAACCGGAACAGGTTTAGTGCCATTTTCCCCCCTCCATGAATAAGATTCTATTTTAGTATGTAATTAAAATGTTGATTGTCAGTTCACAAACCCGCCCATCTGTGGAAAATTTAAAGAACTTTAGATTCTAGTGATAAAAAAAGTAATTTACTAGCTTACCATGAAAAACCAACTAAAAATAATACTGGGCGCCGGGGGAAGAGGGACGATGGTACTGTTAACGGGAAAAGATGGCATTATTGTGGGGATACTAAAAATAATTCGCCTTTGTGCATACAGGGTGATTCCTATAGTACCTGCCACCGTTTGGGAGCGTGTAGGTGGTGCGTAGGGGAGTATTTTGATATAGGACATTTGGGGTCGGAAATCTAAAATAAGGGTGCCAGAGCCAAATTTACCTTCTGGAATTTCGCGCCTGTAGGTAGGCAACCCAACCGGCCGGCGGTGCACACGGAGCGATCTCAGGCGGCGATGTGTGGCTGACACTTGTCAGAATTTTGTTTAATTTAAACCCACGAAATCCCGTCTGCAACGACGCGTATCAAGTGAATAAACACTATGGCACGTTTTACTAACACGGAATACGCGGACATGCACTTCATGTACGGATTGGCAAATAGTAACGCACGAGCTGCACGACGAGCGTACGCTGAGCGGTATCCAAACCGTCAGTTACCCTGCAGACAGGTCTTTCAAGAAGTTCACTTCCGACTGTGCGAGACAGGGTAATTGCAGGTAAGCTGACGGAGGCTTAACTTTACACACAGATTCGTGATGCACATCGATACTTGGGTCATTTAAGCACCCATTTCGAAAAGTTTGTTTGTTTACACCGATCTCCTCCTATTTCGCAGCCCACTAGCGCCCGTGATCGCGATCGCCCGTTGGTAAATGCCTTACCATTTGCCAATCCGTACATGAAGTGCATGTCCGCGTATTCCGTGTTAGTAAAACGTGCCATAGAGTTTATTCACTTGATACGCGTCGTTGCAGACGGGATTTCGTGGGTTTAAACAAAATTCTGATCAAGTGTCAGCCACACATCGCCGCCTGAGATCGCTCCGTGTGCATCGCCGGCCGGTTGGGTTGCCTACCTACAGGCGCGAAATTCCAGAAGTTAAATTTGGCTCTGGCACCCTTATTTTAGATTTCCGACCCCAAGTGTCCTATATCAAAATACTCCCCTACGCACCACCTACACGCTCCCAAACGGTGGCAGGTACTATAGGAATCACCCTGTATATGCATGCAGTATGTATATGCAAATTTCATAGATACCTACTAGCATAATATACTATATTATGGTACTAGCCTACTACAATGCGATCAAAAATGAGTTGCTGTCGAGTTACCTTTGGAATTTTTGTTTACATGGGAAATCATACTTAAATTGAACTTCCAAATAAGGCGACTAGACAGCAACTCATTTTTGATCGCCCGTTATTATATTTCAACTTGAAGGTTTTTTTCCTTAACGTGTTTGTTTTGAAGTATGTATGTATGTTGATAATTATACTTCTTATTTATTTTATATTTAAGTTCTCATAATTTATAGATACCTATATTTTCTATTTTTATTGAAAAGCCAGCGTAGGTACTTGTTAATAAGTACACGTTACAAGGTTCATTTTTGTTTACTACAAGATAGGGAAAAAATAAACAATACAAGTACCTATTCGAAAAAAATTATACATATTTAGAAGTATATTTTTCACTTTGTGATATGAATCAAACTGTAGGTATCCATTACAAAAATCTGTTTCTAAAGACGTAATCTTTGTTGTTCCCGCAGTTCTATTATTTTAAGATTTAAAGGTAATGATATGTCCAGATTTGTAATTTTTATCTTTACAAAAATCTACATACACTGATGTGTGAGAAAAAACAAAGAAATTTGTTCCGTACAACCATTCCTTCTTATATCCGATAAAAACGGTAAATTGTTTTACAAAGGATGGATTTTGAAACGGTCTTTACGCCATAACCAATTAAGCCCGCATAGCAGAGTATAGATATCTAATCTTATGTGTAAACAAAAGTTATCGGCATTAAAAATACTTGATTTGTTTATATTTTTCAAAGCAATTGCCTAGATCTGTAAGAAAAGGCAAAAATAAGCGAGATTTATTTTCTCTCACCAGCCTAAACCCGCCCTACAGTCTTCAAGTCGCACCATTTTATTGTTAAAATTCATAAACTGTTTATACATAATTAATCGATTTTTTAACATGATATGTTGGTATCGACAAATTATAAAGATCTTTAAAAATAAGTTCAGTTTTACAGAAATTATATGCGTGAATTCGGTCCTTCCGTCCGTTTGAGAATTTGAAATCTCAATATTGATATCACGAACAGTCTCTTTGTTACATTCCGAGACGGCCCATCCCCCAGATTAATTATCTAATTCACCGTTTGAAAAATAATGAACATATTCTTCTTACAATATACCTACCTACTATATATAATAATAATGCAACATTTACCTAATTAGAATTTTGTACCTATGATTAAACAAAAAGCTATACTCGGCGATAGATAATTGTTAGAATTTATTGAAATATTGACAATATTTTTTGATTTATTTACTTCGTTTACGAATTATTGTATTGCCGTAATTTTGAAACGTCGTCCACATTGGATTTTAATGGCGAATATGTATTGGTTGCATTCCAGAAAAAAGGGCAAGTTTTCTGAATTTTAACATTATTTATCACACCTACGCTTTTATCATCAGCCTTAGTACTTTTATCACCCGTACTTTCATTCCATACTTTCTTAAACATATCATTCGGAAACGTGTGACTTTTCTTAATGTTAGTTTTACATAGTAAAGCGTAACCTACCTTATCCGGATCTAAACCTAACATTACCAGTACTTTATATGGATTGTCAGTTATATACTGATACAGTAAAGTATCGGTATCGGTTTGGGTTGTCGCGTCGAAAAACGACGCGATATCTTGATGATGAGGCGACCTGCGTATTATCGGATCCTCCCAACAAAACATTTCAGGAGGATGGGATGAACTTCGTGCCAATGTTCCATTGGAATTGGTTTCGTTATGGGGAAATCTTGTAATATTTGGATTTGAGTGGGCGGGATAACATTTAAATGTTTCCGATGTCGGTGTTGTCATTTCTTGAAGTGCTTGAATAGCGTTCCGTACCTAAACATTAGGATATTCATGCGTTACTAGTTTTTAATGCAATCGTGTCATTAAATTAACTAAGCACTACAAATTTCTAGGAACGTTATCTTTGAATAATTTTATCATTGAACTAATGTCTTGGAGGCCGAAGCCCCATTGTGATTCGACATTTAGCAAAGTTATGAAATCTAACATACCCGTGTGGCCATTGTTACACAGAAAAGACCTAGCATGTTCAATGTTTCGTTTTTAAAATTTGCTTTTGCGCGATACCATCTTTCCATATATTCTGACATCGCACGGCATTCTAGATTTTCTAAGTTTTGTACATATTGAATCACGAATTTGTCCATTTTTTCGGTACACCACCCGTATGCATAGGTATCTATATAGTTATGTTGTTGTACAGCTAATCGATTGTTTTTTTCAAATATATTAAAACAACATAGGCCTTGCATTTGAAAAACAAAAGTTGCATCGATTTCCGGTTTAATAGGAAGTGAAACCGGAAGTTCCAATGTGCAATCGGATACTGGCACATATAAAATTATATTAGCCAAATGTCTCATATGCCGCCAAATAACAGAGATATTGAGGTGACCAAAAAACAAGGCGACAGGAAAGCCACATAGTAGCATAATTTCACATTTATTGGCAGCTTCACTTCTTATTCGCTACTACTCTAGTACTACTCTAACGATGTGTCTACACGGTGTCCATTTTTCGAGTGCCACGGGATCTCGCTTACCTGAAGAGATAGAGAGTTGGTTAAATGGGGGCAAAGTTGCGAATTTTCGTGCTGAATAATAATCTGAAAAGAAATTAAAAATATCTTTAGTAGTTTTGAAAATATCGCAAAAAAACGTTATTCAGACACTTTAATTTTTCGGGAAGAGTGCTTTGGAAAAACAAAACGTTCTTTTATCGTGAACAAAAGTATGACAGTTTGATCCATCTGTCTGGTTAGAGCGTTGACAGGGAACTAGTTGAGTTGAGATTTTCATCTGAATATAATTGAACCTTCGTTTTGCAAGAAAATTATAATTCAAATTAGAACAAAATACCTACATAAGAATAAATAATATTTTCCCAATAAAACTAGCACAAACGTAAATGACACTAATTGAAATAAGTCAACCTTTTGTTCACAACAAAAGAACGTTTTGTTTTTCCAAAGCACTCTTCGCAGAAAATTAAAATTGTAATTTTAGGAAAAATGTGTTACTGAACCACCATGTGTGATATATCGTTGTAAAGAGAAAAAAAGACGTAATCTCAAAATGTCAAAATCGAAAACGGCGCCCATAAGAAAAATTAAAGTTGCCACCTGTTTCTCCGTCATCTTAAAAGTTATTGAAAACGGGATGCCATATTCGAAATCTCCATTAAAAAGTGTCTTAATAATGTGTTAATTAGAAATGTTTAAAACGATTAGTTTACTATGAAAAAATTAAAAACGAAAATCAGAAATTTTCTTTTTTTTGCGATATTTTCAAAACTATTGAAGATATTTTAAATTTATTTTCAGATTATTATTCAACACGAAAATTCGCAACTTTGCCCTCATTTAACCAAATGTTTATCTCTTAAGATAAGCGAGATCCCCATAGTGGCACTCGAAAAATGGACACCTGTATACTCTAACGATGTGTCTATAATATAAAAAAAACTCCTTTTATTCACTCCTAAACTATTAAACGTGTATAGGTATTAGTTAAAGACGATCAAGTATGTTATACTTGAAGCATCTCGTGACGGATGAGATGAATTTTATCCCGTGCAAAATATACAGTAATACCGAGCGGTAAGAAGTAGTTCCTTCAACAATGGTTTCGTGCATACCTCAGCGCTTAAAGCAGCAACATCTTGGTGCAAGGATATCACTTGGTTATCTAATCTCTCCACACTACTGCGTGTATTTTCTACATCGCTTCGTAATTCGCAGTTAAGCCCCTCCAAAGAATCGGATGTGATGCTACTGTTATGATTAGAAACAACTACACTCCTTTGTCTTTCTACTCTTTCTCTTAAAAACGCAAGGTGATTTGTTGCAACGCCTCCCATTCGTGGACGGTTTTTTATTGTGTTTTCATGATATTCTTGCAACCTGTTATCACAAAAAGTAAGATCGATAGTTGACCGATTTACCTACTACCTCAAGTTTAATTTGCCATGGCGAGGACTACTGTTGATCATATGTAAAGGAGAACGATTTGGAGACAAGGGAGAGGTTTCACTATCTTCGTGCATATTTTCATCATCTTCACTTATGGATGGTAACGTTAACGATGGGACGCCGTTAACGTCCGACTCTTGCTAAAAAAAACCGAGAAAAATATAGACCGATTTTCTAAGGCACTTCTTACCTCGGCTTCGTATCCTTCTCTTACATTAAAGGTGAGATCATGTTGGATGTCATTAGCAAATTCCTGCTGATACTCAGGATACAAACGTAACACTTCAATAAGGCCAGGCGTGTGTACGCATTTTAAATCACAATAGGTAAGAGCGCGAACATCGCTGCTAGATTTTATTATACAATCACTAGGAACCGAAGCACCACCGACATTTGCTCCAGGATTATTTGTACAAAATTGTAACTGAATACTGATATCACTTCCCACCAGATCTCCTTTTCCTAAAGTTACTGCTTAGTTTAAATGACATCAAATCGCACTCACCTAAAATTGCAACGACCATGTTGTTTTGAACAACCTCCATCGATCCATTGCAAATATAGTATATATAGTTAAGTGCGTCTCCTCGATGTATTAAATATTCCCCCGGCGCGCAAAAGTTCGTTCTGATATGAAGCGAAAGAAGTTTTAAACAGCCCTGAGAAGCACCCTCAAATATCGGGAGTTGCAATATTTCCCTGTGGAGATGCATAGACACGTCGCCGCGTAGTTCTTCAGGAAATTCCCTTAACGTCTACAATCAAACGGTATTATAGTTACCTTTAGATATACCTACACTCTTTCGTACATCTTGTATATCAATTCCATGGTTTAAAGACCACATTGTTTGAAAGTAATCTTGAATGCGTTGCTTTAATTCCTTTGGAATTTGGTGCAATGTTAAAAAGTCCTTTAAATCCCTCCATTTCGTTTGGTACAGTGAACGTCGCGAATACATTCGTTGTATTATAGCCGTCACATTCCCAAAAACTACCGCATGCATGAGCGCTAAATATAAAAATGTTACCATTGAACGGTCCAATTTTTTGCTAGTACCTCCAATCAGCATCGTGCATATGCTGAAAATTTTTTCGTTCGTTGTATTCGCACTAACATTACCAAAACCGACGCTGGTTAAACTTGAACATGTGAAATAAAGAGCGGTAACATAGGAATCAGCGTGGGAGACGTTTTCCACCGAGATTTTTAGTTTTTCGGCCAAATTGTGGATCCAACCTAAAAAATATGTATTTAAACATTTAATCTTTCTAGTTAGAAGTATGGGATTTAAGGATTGGGGCCAGAGTTTTAACTCGAGAACGAAAAGAGACACCTATGTCAAATCTTCGCCAATCGATTTCTACGGGGACCCAGTCAACTCGCCAAGGGCGACTCGCCACCGGACCACTCGCCACCGACCGACTCGCCAACGGGACAACTGCCCAACGCGACAACTCGCCAACGGGACAACTCGCCAATGCGACAACTCGCCAACGGACGACTCGCCACTGCGACGACTCGCCACTGCCACAACTCGCCAACGAAATATTTTTCCCTGTTTAATATGTCATACAAATGCATCCCACAAATGCAATAGTCAATTTCCCTAATTTTGTAAACAAAGTTTATCGAAAAATTGTAGTCAATATTTGAATGAAGACTCAACCGACTATATCTGTTTCTATTACTGCCATTTGATATAACGATGTCTTCTGCAAATTATTATTTGAACAGAAAATTTGACAATCACATCGTTATTTGAACGACACATTAAACAGGGAAAATATTTCGTTGGCGAAATGTCGCAGTGGCGAGTCGTCCGTTGGCGAGTTGTCGCATTGGCGAGTTGTCGCATTGGCGAGTTGCCGCGTTGGCGAGTTGTCCCGTTGGCGAGTCAGTCGGTGGCGAGTCGCCCTTGGCGAGTTGACGCGTACCGATTTCCACGAGTTCAAGGATCAGTGCTATTGAACATAAACCGAAATCGAGTTGATAGGCAAAAAAATTCAATGAGTAAGGCTCACAATCGATCACTTATGAACAATATTTTTTGATGACGTTTGTGGCGACGCGCCGGTTGCACATCCGGCAGCAAACTAAAGCGTGATGCACCCTCATTGGTCAAAACGGCCAACCCATGCGAGCGAAGCGTTCCTGACCGCAAGTCTTTAAAAGCGGAGCTCCGAACTCTACAAAGGGCAAAGGCATTTCCTGTTTGGGTGGTGCTTCAAGAAACAACCAGCTCTCCGCCTGCAGAAGCTGTTCGCCCTACCGGCTTCGCGTCGGGCCATGCTCCACCAACCAGAAGCTACGCATCCGCGCTCACTCCGACGACAGCGCCGGCCGCGTGCACTTTGGGTACCATTTTATACATAATATATGTCGCCTGATAAAACGTTATTCCACCAAAAGTTGTTAATGAAAAACTATTTACAGAATAGAGGATGTACACTACTTAGGCTATGCGTTTGAAAAAAAAACACAGTCTTACCCAAATCCCAATTGTTGTCATTTCTTTCTTTCTCTTTGTCGGCGATAACATACCATAAGCACGCTAACCAATGTGCAACTAACGTAAATGACAACATCAATAAAGTTAAAATCATTGCACTATACTGCGAATACCTATCCATCTTTTGCAACAAGCGAGCTAATCGCAATAATCTTGTTAACTTTATCAAATGCGTATGCGACGGCCCGCTCTTCTGTAATAAAAAAAAGGCTAACGTAAATAAAGCGTAAACGATGTATACCTCTCCGCCGTAGAGTGCGTACAGGAGATCGAATGGAAGCGCCGCAAATAAATCAACGATGAACCAGGTTCGCAAGTAATTAAGGGAAATCGCCTTCCAGTTTGATACAACTTCGCCTTTACTACTTACAAAAGTTGTTCGAAAATTTAAAAGTATGTCTGCAAACACAATTTTAATTATTGTTACAGGCCGTGTGTGTATATAAGCATTTGATGGGTGAACTAGCATAGCAGTACTCGTATGTGTCATTATAAACGTGCAAAATTTGAAGAGCTTTTTGAGTTGAAATTAAGTACATTCGGAGCAAGTTGTGTTGTAATAAAATCTATTCTCCACATCAATCTCCTAAAACTTATTCACGTCATAATCGTTACGCACCTCTACTCTATTTATGAACAACTTCTCTTTTTTTTATTGATCCAAGCCCTGCCACAGATATTATAAAGTACTTATAGGAATCCTTTTTTGTTATAAGTCTAGTACTGACTACAGATATAAATAGCATCTTACCTAAGAAAAATAATCCTTCAACCACGACATCCATAATGACCGAAGGTCTTCCAGAATTAACGAAACTTGCGTTATAGGGCACGACGACGGCAACATAAAAAGTTGCCATTAAAATTAACCAATCCCAGCAGGTTTTAAACGTTCCATAATGCGATAAAATAAACCTACTTTTTTTCGCAGATGTCGTTTTATATTCGGGAAGTGGAGCGGCGGTCGAACTCAGGAGATTCTGAAGTACATATTGAGAAAAGTTATAGAATAAAATATTCAAGCCGTTTGTTTGGGCGAGTAAAGATAAAGAAAGGACTTACTTACGTTATTAAGCTTAAGTTTGGTTTTAATTTTGTCTTGCTTGTAATGACCAGATAACTGATACAGAACGGCTCGAGATCTTCTTCGTCCATAATTTGAAGGAGGTGCTTCCGGATCCAAATCCCCATTTGCGTCTGCAAGGAGGCAAGAGTCAGCACCACGGAATCGTGCTCCAAGTACAGCAGCTGCACATAATTTCATAACTCGCGCACCAATTTTATTTAAAAGTACTATATATAATAACAAAGCAAATTAAAACTTTAATAAACACTATAAGTAGAAAGTCTGAAACTGTCCTTCGCATGTGTCGATAAATTTGAAATAATAAAAATCGTTTCCGAACTGTTTTTTTTTTTGGAAACTTTGTAGTGATACCAAATTTGTAGAAGATTTGCATAAAATAAGAATAATAACTTTTGTGTACGTGATACAAGGAGTGAAAACGTGTGATACATATAACGGGCTATCAAAAAAAGATTGACGTCGAGTCGCCTTTGGAAGTTCAAGTCAAATATGATTTCCTAAGTAAACAAAAATTCCAAAGGTGACTCGACAGCTTTTATTATGTTTTTTCTGTGATTTTTGGTGTCTGTTTCACAATTGTTTTGATATATTTAGACGTCAGGGCCACGCGACTTACGCACGGTGGGATGCGGCGCGGTTTTTTCGCTCACTTGAGTGAAGCTCGGCGCGGCGTATGAAACGAATGTGAGCGAAAAAGGCGATTCGCCGCGCCGCGTTTGTAAGTGCGCGTGGGCCTTAATACGTACTCAGAGCAAGTCATGCAATTTCTGTAGCACTGGAGATAATAATGTTGCAGTTTTAAATGAACACTGCAGGGAAGAATGCATGAAAAACACAAACAATAGCAGTATTAATCTGTCTTATAGATATCGACACCCATATACTGAATCTTTAACATTTTTAGTTGTATAACATCATTTAGATCGATTTATAGTGTAGGGAATAATAGTATCCAGAGTTTCCCTTAGGTAGGTACCATAAATATTAATAAAATTATTAAACATTGTACTTTGTATAACAATAACATATTCATATTGTTGCATCTTTAGTGTTTTGTGAATATAATTGGCGCTGATAATCAAATGAGATATAGATGTAAAGTTAAACATTAATGTAGAAAATAATGGAATCTACTATGAAAAAATAAGCTAATGGACTACATCGTACCGCTATCGTAAAGTTCGCTCTCGGATAATTCTGCCATTTTTGTATGAGTGATGTCTTTATGGGATGCCAAATATAACACCACTTCTCTCTTCTCATTTTTGATGGGGACAACGTCAAGCAAACACCAGAATGGAGTACCTACATCAAAAATTTATGCTTTAATTCTAGATAGGGATGGCGCATTGACAACAATCAAAGGTGAGTTTCTCAAAAAACCTTGGGACGTCTTTCGACTCATTTTATCCAATAACAATATACAAAACAGAAAAATGTTCTCTTCGCGAAGAGTTTTCACTATATAAAATATATGGCCCGCTCGAGCCCAAAATTGGCATGTCCGAATGATGTTTTCTCTGATTTATTTTCAATGCGCCAATCTGTATTGTAAGCACTTATTGACTATTGTAATGAGTAGCAATGGCCTGCGGCATCTGAAAAAGCATGAATTGACAGAAGGTTAAAATAATAGGTACCTAACTAAAAATATACGCTCCCGCCTTGGGCCCTAAGTACCTAAAAGTCCTTTCAATGTATGAAATATATTGTTGCAGTAAGCGCATACGCAAATTAAACGTTACTAAATATGAAATACCTACCCACTTACCATTTCGTTTATAAAATATAACTTCCAATTTTAGTTCATTTTTTGATTCTAAAGCTAGGTCTATTTGGGACTTGTGCTCTTCTTTTGTCTCCGGTCCGTGTAAAAACTTGCACGCGCATCCTTTTTGCATAATCTGAGCCCTCGTAAATCCAGTAAGTTCGCAAAATCCATCGGAACAATACACAATCGGATATAGTGTCGGTACTTGCGCATTACCAAGAACAAAGTTGCTATCTGAAGAGAGAAAAAAATTATAATAGCCTACCTAGATGTATTTGTTTCTAGGTATGAGAAATGGTAAACATCCACAACAAAAACAATAAAATAGTCCTAAAAAGGGCAACTTTCTGTCTTGTGTTTTAGAGTTTGTAGACAAAGGGGAACAGATCGTTGTAAATAATATTAAGTAAGTATTCAAATTATCTATGCTGATAATTCAAGGATGGCATAAATGGACAGCGTATTCTTTTATCAAAAGAGAAAAAAGAAGGAGAAAATGAAATGGTTATAAAATATGTAGTGCAACATATGTATATGTCAAACACAGGGTCAAAAATTGTTATTGATGGCAAAGCAATAAATCAAGGCTTGTATGCCAACCAATCCATTTCTGTTAATCATGACGAATTATAATGTAGGCCCATGTCTAAAATAGATGTTACATTTTTCCTGTACCCGTCGCCCCATAATTTTATCTGGATTCTTAGATTAAAAAGGCGCTACTTATCGATATTAGATAGAGCGTTTACTTTTATTTTACGAAAGTGTTTGCAATTTCCACGTTATAATTACATTAATTTGTAAAAAATTATGCGGGCACGAGATGATGAGTAATTTTAACATTTTAGTAAAGTTGCGATGTTCTAATTTCATTACAGTAACGAAGTAAATTCGTCATGGAAAGTAATTATGCCCATACCAACGGCGTTAAATGGAAATAAAAATTGAATCCTTATCATAACATTTTATCTGTCACTTACGCTAGGGGTGACCCTAGGAACAGTCTATTCGACAGCCACCGAGGTAATTTAAAAAGGATCTCGTATCATTAAAAAATAATAATTTTCAACTGTTTGTCTATACTACATTCTTTACAAGACGAGAAATCTGAGCGCAGTTAGGTGTAAATACTACCCATAGTTCGTAGTCTTTACTTAGCATAGTAACATGAAAGTCAAAATATTCTTTTAGTAGTTGAAGGCGAAATTTTTGCGATCAATAACTTCATTTTAAGCTAAAGTGATGGGTAACAAATTGTAATGTATTATTTACTCTTGCTTTTCGCCTAATGTGGCATAGGTCGGAAACGCGGACCTGAAATTTGTCGGCATTGGCGCATGATCGTCAGGAAACACATGGTAAGCTCGACGTGAGTAGGTACAACATCGAGAGATTCTCTAATTGGAATGGTCCAGAACATCGATTTTCTATACGCGGCAATTCATAGGTAATGCTTTCTAGAATTATAATTCGATTCGGATTAGAGTTGTCTTCGTGCGCAATAAACACTTTTGAATGCTGATGTCTTAGCTCAAGCTGATGATAAACGCTCAATAAGCACCCGCACTCGGAAAGTCATCACAAAACATTTATTCGTAGATAATGTGCAAGCACCGATGGTCGATGAGTAAGTACTTCGTTCGCCCTTACATTTTACCAACACGACTAAATGCTCATATCTATAAAGGGCGGTCCAACAGACAGTTGTTTTTTCAAGTGCCTTCATAATAACGAACGCACGGTCATTTGTCCGAACAGTTTTTTTTATTAGAAAAGTACATGCATGGGGTTTTTCGGAATACAATTTCATTCTTGCGTTTCGAACTCGGTGGTCAAAAGAGCGATTGTTTCGCGACTGGTGTGCAACCTTACTTATTAATTAGCAGTTTAAAAATCTAGTACGTCGTGTATCGAAATTCGTAAGAAAAACAGTTGACAGTTTTAGAAAAAGATGATTTTTTGATTTAAAAAAAATCGGGTCCTCCTCCAAACGTGCGTCAGCCCACTCCGAGAACTTTATGCGCCTCGAACGGTCAGTTGGCTTGATCTCTTGAATTGGACTTTTTAGGCCTTCAATGCAAAATGAGAGTGGTGCGACAAAGGTGGGCACGATGGCGAATCGAGGTGCCCGAATTGCCGGACGCATACCTACTAGAATATCATGGTTTACAATCCATCATCCATCCACTTTCACGCACTTTCTTCAGCTACTTGATTAGAACTTATCAAGAAGGCACATTACGTTGACCGTGTTTTGTTTTAATTTTCGCACTGTAGGTATACCTATCAGCAATCTCTTGTAAAGTTGCCATTATTTTCGTTTTTGTTTTGTTTTATCTTTCAATGTGCGTTATTTTTCCATCTTACAATTGCACATTTTTCATGAATTATTACCTACAGTTACCGTTAAAAAAATGTAGCTCTGAATTTATGTCGTAATTGGTGTACAGGTGGTTGGAGTAAATTGCTGGATGTGTTTCCTGACATAGGAAAATGCTTATTGTGGCCTCAACAAGTCAACGCACCCCAGGCATTACCTACAATTTAAGGGGCTCAGAACGGTTTATGTGATTATTCGCTCTCATATTGTACCACGTAGTGTACTTATTACATATAGAACTTGAGCTAGTATTGATTTTATCATGGTTACCTGCTGGAAATACTCTACAAAGTTTGTCAGAATTGGACCAACATTGGAATAGCAGTTCAGGATTTTCGGGGAAAGAACCCTATTGAGCCCTATTGAGTTTGAAATCGATCCGTCAAACCTTGACCAGACATAGTTGTTGGGAGTTGAACTTCTTGTTATGTGTTTATTTAGTTTTAAAATTACAGGCTCGTTTGCTATAAATAAAATATTGGAAGGGTGAAAAATTTTTCTACCTATACTATATTCCAAAAGTTTTATTCAAAATTAAATTTAACTTTTGCATGTGGAGGAGTATAGTATTAGCTGAGTGTTGTATCGTTTTACCTTTAAACAAACGAATTTATTCATTTTTGAATGCATAGTACTTATTTATATGCTCTTGTAATCACGAATCTGTGTCCCTGCGTCTTGATTTGTATAGATTTTTCACACTTGCTATATGTTGCAGTGTTCGAGCATACTTACATCTTGTAGGTTTTTTTCGAAATTGATTCACAAATCAATGACACGACTACAATTATACGTATTCGGACATTCGAGCGATTTGTTTAGCAGATTCTGTAAAATGGTTTTATCGTGTTTTTTCAGTTACTGGAATTTTACTCATTTGCTCTGAATTGCATTACCGAATACGGACATTTGTGTGAAATTTTAAATTCTCTAGCTAAATTACGAACATATGTGATTGGATTTTCATCTACGTACACTTCATTTCCTCAATCAAAACATGGCAAGTTATTTTATGAAAGTGAAATGACCAGTAACAATACTATGCGATCAAAAATGAGTTGCTGTCTAGTGACCTTTGGAATTTTTCATTTTTGTTTACAGTTTACATGGGAAATCGTATTGTGAACTTTCAAAGGTGACTCGACAGTAACTCATTTTTGATCGCCCATTACAACTATCAACATGACATTTTTTTGTGTTGTGAATTGCGCCTGTAATTAATGGAATTGGCTTATCAGGAATAAATGCCGCACACGTCCATTTCTTCTCTTTTATATTAATCTTAATTTTATAACTAATGCAGATAAGGACATTTATTGAAAAACAATTGAAAAATTTCAAATTCAAATTTTTGTTGTATGGCGTTCACGATTGTTTTAAACACGCAGTAGGCTAAGTCTTTTTGTTCTTGGTTTTGCTTCAAGTGCTGTCATTTGACATTATATTTTTAAATGGTTCATTATCTAAACAATCCAAATTTACTCGTCAAAATACAAACCTCTTGTGCTATTATAAGTGACAAATTACACTACTGCCTACTACAATGTCAAATTTTCATAGATAATCCAAATTTGAAACAAACGTGAACGGTATATAAAGTAGGTAAGGTTGGTTGCATATTTTAAGGGGCATTTAACGTGTAAATTTTAGAATTATTTTAAAATTTACACGTTAAATTTAACGGCATTTAACGTGTAAATTTTAGAATTATTTTAAAATTTACACGTTAAATGCCCCTTAAAATATGCAACCAACCTTACCTACTTTAGTTTATTTATACCGTTCACGTTTGTTTCAATTATTCAATGTTTCAATTATTGAAGTACAGGAGATTTGTATGTTCAGAATTGTATCAGTAAATCTTCAAGAAAAGGTTGACGGGCTTTACTTGCGTAAAACAGATCGCATTTCCACTGTATCAGCGTTGAAAAAAAGTGACGTTTTATACAGATGTACCTGTACACTCCTTAAACTTAGTAGCCGAATGAACTCCGCCAAACGCGTTCACTGTTGTAGGTAGCGTTATTAAATCTTAATTAATTAAGTGTCAAAGTTCATAACCGAAGATGTTCATTAAAGTTGCTATTAAGTTTGGTAGTGAAGCGTGGAATTATTCTACGATTTTCCCTAATTTGTAAATCCTTCATAAGTCCATTCATTCACATTTAAATTATATTATATTAGACACCCAAAATTTGAAATATGGGAAGCGTGCAGAGAAACGCCGAGCTATCATCGATTCATCAAAAACGTAACGTTCTCAATCAATTAATAATTATACATGGAAGCCCATATTATAATTATTACAATAAATCTACATCTTTAAAACTTTAAACTCAGTACACTGATAAGACGGATCGTGTATAGACAGTACACTCAAAAGCAAATATTATTAGCGGTAGATTCGATGGCTGATTTGTACAATGTACATTTTTAATGCTGACTACTTGATTTAATGGCCGATCCCCAATTTTAAAAGTAATGTAATATTGAACTGCGGAATTTTTTTTTAAAATTGAGAATTAGCACTACTTAGAGACAAATCGATGTGTCAATTAGCTCTAATTTACTGATAAATTGCCCTTCTATGATTTCTCCCAACCACTTACTTGTAAACTGACTTTTAACTTAGAACTTACGTGTTCCATCAAATCGAGTCGCAATCGTATCCAAGAATGTGTTTTGGGGCGCTAGAAGCCCCCTTCGAGCAGGCATGAGGCTTATGTCAAGGCGGAATCCACTTCTATAAAAAAAAGTTTAATTAACTTGTGATTTTTGAGATGCTTCACTTCAGAAAACAACTATCAACAAATCGCCAAAGTAAATAAATTTATGTAAGCTTTGTTTTAGCCGCTAGGTATATTATCAACATATTAATTTCACTGCCACATGAATTACTTAGTCCTAATTTTCTTGTTTAAGTCCTTCCCTCAGTACACATATCCTTTTTGTTTTTTTAGGTGTAGGTACCTAAACATTGTTGAATACATTATAATATTCACAAAGTAATATTAATTACTTTTTGGTAATAAACTAATAAAATTTCTGAGGATTTAGTAAAATTTCCCATCTGTATTCTTTTACTCTCCCCTTGTTGGTTTGTTACGACCCTATAGAAAGGGGATAGGTTCGCAAAAATTGTAATTTTTTCTAAATCATCGCATATTTCGATTTGTTTTACTTTTTCTAATACCTGAGTTTGTTATTTACGTAACGATTTGTTATCGCAATAAATCAATATGATAATATGAATACGCATACATTCATGTGATCTATAACGAAAGTTATAGGTATCTGAATGTATATATTAGACTGGCGCTTTTGTTTATTCAATACAATTTATTGCTATACAATTTGCAGTTATTTTCAGACGGGTGTGAGAAGAGAGTAGGTACAACATATACACAAATTTTTAGTTTATTATGATTTGCCGAAAATTTACGACTGCATAGTGTATAGGTGTAAAGGTCGTCTATTTCACCCTTCAATCGCTTAGGTCACAACTTTCTAATTCATTTTCAATTTAGTCGGTCAGTAGGCGCCCCGATTTGTCTTCAGCAAGCATCTAATATAGTAAGCGCGCAACAGGTAAAACGTACCCGATTATTGAATGATACGTGATGTCACTTACAAAGATATTAAACATAATAATCAGCATGATGTTCAGCTAAATCTCCCTCGTGCATTATTAATCACCAAGCCAAATGTGCTTCAATTTTTAATCACAACCACCTGTTAGTCGATAGTTCCGCACCACAACTCGCTACGTTACTTCATTAATTTTTTTCAGTTCTTCCGTTGCAGAAATAAATTAGTAACACCCTCGGAGACATGTTCCGGAAACGAACACAAATATTGTGTATAAACAACGTCGCGATCTATTATCAACCGTTCAAGTTATCACGACAAGTGAGGCTGGAAGTACCCGGGAATGCGTCCCGAGGGATGCGCTTGCGCTGGCGTTAGACGTGCCCTCATTCCCGGTTTCGCTGCAATGCAATCCTACAAGTTAGATAAAAAAAATGCTCCATAAATCTTACTAGCAGGCATTGAACCGATTTTCAGATTCACGATTGTAGAGAGAAAGGTTATTAATTATAATCTTACCTGAGGCAGAGTTCGCCAAACGATCCCGTCGCTTCTAATTGTTTCTTTGTAAACCAACAAATAGATCGTATAAGAGAGTGATACAGTTTTTCACTCAAATTATTGCAGCACGGCGTGCAAGAATACGACCCTTGCAGCTTCGACGAGGGTGCCCGTGTTTCGTATAGGGGTGCGATTATGCTGATCACAACTCCTCATTTTATGGTCTATTAACTTCCATGATTTCTAATCGTTTCAAAAGAGAAACGTTAAGTATCTAACTTTGTATTCAATTTAATAAAAACTAATAACAAAATTACAGAATTTATGTAAAAACCAAGCTTCTTATTCAACGTCGAAACGTAACAAAAGACAAAGACTGGCATTTTACAACTTGTCCCGTATAGGGTACCGAACTACCGACTGACTAGTGAGTACTGACACCACGATACACTCACATCGTGATTGACACCCACAGACCATGAAGAACAACCTACCACCGTCAGCTATCAGAGCTGTTGATGACCTTCTTTTTTGTATAGGTGCGCAGATGTGACTCATGCTGTTGTTTACTTGCAGTCGGTCAAGCTACAGTGGTCCACGCCTCCTTGGTAGGTACATGCCGCCCTATACCTAATACAGTACAAATTGGTATACAAATCATAATATTGTATCTATAAAGACCTTCATGTTATCAAGAAACACGATGCCCTGCGATTGAGAGGATCCTGGCAAGTCTTCGACCGCAAACCTATCATGGGCCAAGACATACGTGATCACGTATGGGCCACTATACTTTGCCAATCACTTTTTGATCTGACCCTCATTGCTGGTTATTTTCTTGATCACCCAACTTAAATGGCTCACCGACCAAAGTTTACCTCAATGTTTGCTTCCTCTCGAATCGTATCAAGATCAGCACGTTTAGCAGCTTTTACCGCTTTTCGTTATTTAGAACTGCATTTGCAACACCCACTGGAACGTACCCAAAAGAAGTAGTTCATGTGGGGATTTCATTGTAGCTGAATTCCTCGTGGAATTCGGACCCCATTGACACATGTTCGTCCCCCATGTACTCATTCTCCGTAGCATGCTAGTTGAGTAAGTAGGTATCGTGCTATCCTTTTCGTGTTGCCGTTCCGTTTACACATGTTTAAACGTTCTTGAAATCGTTTACGAGTACCCACCCCTTGTTCTTGACAATACTTTCGTAAATTGCACTGATGCTTTTAAAAAGACACATTTCGTGAAAGCGTGACTCACTACAATCAAATGCTGATTTCGTAAAGAGGCCCAAATGGTCGACATGTAACGTATCGAACGGCTCTTCAACTTTCTCAAATAAGTGAATTAATCCTGGACGTTTTCCGCCTGGTTCCTTTTTATAAAGGCATCGATAAACAACATTGGATGTACCTATTTTTCAAATACCGTCGCAACTCAGAAAACCGACAAAGTTTGGAAATTGCTGCCAAGAATTTTTCCACAGATCATCATCATGAAAATGCACAAGTCTGCATTTCAAAAAAAAGTTTAAAAAAATGTCCTAAACCTACAAATAACCTGATATGAAATCCGGTCGGCGTTGTGGGCATTCGGCGATGTGTCCCTGTTGTAGATACGTTTCGTTCCCGGATCGGAGTCGATTTTCTGTTCGGCACCAAAGCTTCGCGTGTTCAATATGCTAATTACTTAAATTGTTTCAATTTTGAGAATGTGTTGAGAGACAATTCGTTTTCGTGACGGAAATTAACGTGTGTGATTCGCAGTGTACGTGAGATGTGGAGTAGAGTAATATACGGTTTATTCATTAAATAAACAAAGCTATGGCTTAATAAAATTGGTAAAATATGTTCTGGCCTGTAAAGAAAGTTCGCCATCATATACCCAAAATCCACTCAAGTACGGTCCCTTATGTACAAAACACTCTTTTTATACGGAGCATGTATTTTCCCATTTTCGGGAAAATCATGGCTATTGGAACGAGTTCTATTCGTTAGAATTTTCCTATAATATTCACCTATATTAAGCGAAATGCATAGGTAACAAAAATAATGTCACATTTTAATGCGAGTGGACCATGTTTTGCAATCGTCACGTGCCATGACGTCATATGTCTTATCATCACGTGACCTAGTAGTGTCGTTGCAGTCGCTTGCGCGGTGTACACGCGTACCTACCGAGTTTTTCTACGTTTTCTTTGAAATTATGAACGGTTGTAATAAAATAAATCCCGCAAAAGTAAAATTAAGCACGCGGAAAATTGTGGCACGTCGCTAGTTTCGGTCGATCGTTAAATAAATCGGTGTTTTTAACCGTTTAAAGATTTGAATCAAGATGGCGTCCCCTTTGAATTTGAACTCGCGATTGCGTGTTGTTTCGGTGCACGGCCCGTGGTGTCGGCGTTACTTGCATTCAGTTTTTCAAATTACGAATTGTTTGCGATATCAAAAATCAACTCTTAAAGTTATAAACCGACTTCGGAAAGCATATCACTCGTTTCGGTGCGATGCATAATTTGTTATTTAAACATTATTAAACGAAAGTGGCGTGGTGCTTCTTTTTTGTTTTGGATCAAGGCAAGATTTCATGGATATATTGATTTTGGGTAAGTTTATAAAGCTTTTAAAGTTCCATCGTAGTTGTTACAAATAGCGTTAACTTTGAATATCTACCTGCCGAAATACCATCAGTTGATGCTTGATGATTTGAAAGTGTTGAGTATATTTAGTTTTCATTTCGGTACATCCGATTAATCGAAGTAATTATATCCGATTGTAAATAAGCTGAAGGTACATAAAGGTATAACGTAATTTGCACACAACACGATCGGGCATATCTATTTCGCTAACATCTACACTAATCGGATGGAATTTGATGGTACAAAGACACAAACTGCGAGCCAGTCAGTTACAGATTTGAAATTTCAATTCCTACAAGGTACTGGCTTTACTATACTTTCATTGGGTTGGGTCCCGAGCAATATGCAACACAGCCAAACTGTATTTTCGTTGTTCATGTGATTCTCGGTACCACAAGCGCACCCTTTACAAATTTTCTCCTAAAAATGAAGATCAAGACAGGAAATAATCAAGTAAAAATATCTGACTATAAAGTACAAATGTCATGTAACAATAATTTTTGCAAGAAAGACAGTGGCCAGGTTGCTTCGATAATATTTCCACTTCATGTCTCAATCTGCTTGTAATCATCTTTGAATTTTTCTCCCAAATCATTGCTGTACCTATTTGTTGCACCTCCGTCATTGGTATTTGATAAAATCATTGAATGATTCCGAAGTCAAAAGTGCTATCAACAAGTGGTTGAATTGCCGCAAATAAATAATAAACAAAACAATTGGGTTAGAAGCAAATGATCAGTAATCACCTGATCATATCGCGGTTCTTTTAATCATAGACGTTCTCCTTTTATTTATGATTTTGTTGGTCATCAGTGGCGTACGTGATTCTAGTAGAAAAATCTTTGACGCACACGCGATGTGCCAGTTGGACTATTCAAAGTATACAAAAATACCAGTTTCTTTAAGCTAAACCACAGCGAGTTCTTAGACTTGCAGATGTGTTGCACATTGACTCCCTCCATTGACTCCAGTTTCTTGTATCGCCTTTGGCATATTCTAGGAATTCCTCCAGGAATTCAGAGCCATGTACCTACTTGAAATGTTGATAACAACAAAATTCATCTTGATGGCATTAACAATTAACGTATACCTACTACACGACTACACCTACTTACAACAATGGTAATCAAATCAGGTACCTAAGCTAAATTTAAATTATCTTCAATTACTTATAACGTTTGAAGGTTATGTTTATTGCATATTTTGATGCTTAACAAAATGCAGTTTTGAAACTGAACAAAATCCGACTACTTTCGGAGATATCTCGAAAAAACTGAAATTTTGCAAAATCATTTTTATTTTTACCATTTTTATGGCCACTTTTCCCCTCTTCCTTTGCTAGGTATTCCTTAGGGCTGAACGTTTTTAGAGAGGATAGAGGATGTAACACCAGGGAATCTAGGGGGTTTGGAATACCCTCCAGTCATCTCCAGCGTACGAAAACGTTATGATAGATATGTAGAAAATCGAGTATGAAAAGGAATTCTGAATCTTTCCAGTATTCCATATCTCCCAGACCCCCCCGGTTCTACATTCTCCCCCAAAATATTTGGTGCTTTTAGCAGATATACTGAGGCTACTATTACTTTAGCTTTACCCTGTATGTCACAACTTAACTGTACAGTCAGATATCACGAGCACACAGGTGCACCAGCAGAAGAGCTTTAAGGTGACTATAGGAACACAAATTCTTAAGTACATGTTCTAGGTTTTTCTTGTCGTATATCAAAATAACGGTTTTGTGCCGCCAAGACCAGAAACCTTTGATTTAACAACCCAAGGTTCTTGAATGAGGGCAATGTCCTGCTTTACAGTGAAGTGTCTGCCTAAGGTCTATGGCTAGGATCAGACTCCATATTCACAAACTCCTCAAAATTTGAAGTAAGCTCGGGTGAACTGGCCACAAATTGCCTCAACTGTGATGCTTAACCGTAGCTTCTTGCATTTGCCCCTGTAGCAGCTGCTAGTGCTGTTGTGGTGATTGTACTTCAGGTTCGGAAGGTTTTTTTTTGGAGCTGTGGAAGCACCTCCATGGCTTGAGAAGTAATGGAACGATTTTTTGAGGGTATTATTTGCGCTCGAGATATAACTGCCCTGCTCCCTTTTTTGGGCTTCTCGCTTTGAACTTGCCAGCGCTCCTGAGGGTACCGTTTGATTTTTCAGCTTCGTTTGGATTATACCCAGCAGCCTATGAGTTTTTTGAACCGCTTACAAAGGGCTCTACAAAGATTTACTTGTGGGGTGGGCCCTTCACAGCATTGTTTAGTTCACTTGTCTCCCCTGAGGCTTTGTTATCCAAGAATTAGGAGTCTTCAGGGAGAGAGGGATGTGGTAACACTGTCTAAACTAGTGGTCTTCGTCAGAGGCCAATAAGGCCCTCTCGATGTCGGACAATCCTTGGTCAGTAATGGTTGGAGGTAGCGAGTCCTCCGTTACAGCTAGAGTGGTTTTTATATTAAGTCCAATACAACGCTCCCACGAGTATTAGGCTTTTCCACGGTCCCTGGCAGCTTCCCCTTGCAATCAGAAGGCTACTTGAAATTGAGAGGCGCCCAGTACCCAGAATTCACTGTCCAATGACCAAGTTCCCCCTTGGCCAGGTAGTCCTCTCGGCGTCAGCTCTTCCACCCTGACTTGGATTTGGTTCGCCATACTGTCATTCGGTAATCTCATCAGAGTTCCGTTAGGAGCATTGAGATCGTTACCAGGGGGGGCACCACTAGGAGGTTGACAGACGGCTAGTCAGGTATCGCTAAAAACTGAGGAAAGTTTTCGTGGTCGAGACCAACGATATCGTGCTTTTTGCTCTAAGTTACTGGAAGCATCATGACTGCTTCTTCCAGAACTTACGTCACTTTCCCCTGACCTTTACCCCCCAAAATACTCGCATTACAAAAGGAAAATTCAACTTTTTAAGGGAGCACGTTTTGAGGGAGAGCCTCAAGGACGTAGCACTGGGAGTCACAGCGCACGAACATCTTATGATTATTATTAAGTAATTAATCCACGATCTTCCCATTCATAAAAATATTGGGGAGATCGTAGATTTATTTATTAATAATTTTATCCCAAACGAGAGCAACGAATCTTCTCATCAAAATATCCATGAAAATATCTTATGGTAATTGTAGGAACAGTGAGCCATCCCCTCTAACGTACGAAAATGTTATGCTAGGTGTAGGGAAAGGAACGCTGAATTTTCATTTCCTGGGTAGGTATCCCAGACACCCCCCCCTTCTGCATTCTCCCCCAAAATATTTAACGGTTTTAGCACTTACACCGTAACGTTTAAGAAAGGACCACGAGCCATAACACCGCAAGTCTGTGGGGGTATGGGTAGGGAAAGGTCTTTTATATTAAAGTGTCATGGGTGCCCTTAGGACTGAATGTTTTTAAACAAGAACGCAGTACCGGGAGTCACAAAAATGCACAAAAATCTAACGATTGATGTACTGAATTTGTTTCAGGAGGGTGGGGGGTTCCTTACGCCCGGGTGTCACGGGAATATGGGAAAGTTCCACATTTCACGATTTAGGACAACTTTCGTTTGTTTGGGTCGTATTTTGGTTCCATGAAATTGCTTTGTTTACGTTTTGGATTAAATGACACGGACATTCGCCTACGTATATGATGGATGTATGTATACCAAGCAGAGAAGTTACTTTCGCCATTTCCGTGTGAAAACGTTTTGCATAGCAACCGTTTTTAGATCTTGGGAAGTAAATTTGCCATCGTTTTAGAATTCCGAGAATTACTAGTAAACAGAAAGCCGGATGCATTTGATTGGACCATTTTTTGAAACGGGCGAATCGTAGCGAGTCTTGCAGCTGTGACGTCATGATCACTATCTTCGTCACGTGATCAACTATGTCGCTGCTGTCGTTCCAAGCGTGTTGTATTTTTTCGGTTTGCTGCTAATTTACGAAGTGCGATATTAAAATAAACTTAAAAAAGGTCAAATAAAAGACGGGAACAATTCTGGAACATAGTTCGTTTCGGTTCATCATACGTAAATCGGTGTTTAAACGTAATATTAAACTACAAAAAGTTATAGCGTCCCTTCTCCTTTTCGTACGAATTTAAATCGGCGTTTGCGTGTAGGATCTCGAGACGCGAGCACGTAAATTTTGATTTTGTTGTTAAATTCAACGCTTAAAGTAACAAAAACCGGCGGGGAAGTGTTCGCAAATCGGTCTTTTCGATGTCGTGTTAAATGTTATCGGGAGAACAAGAAGATGGCGTTCTATTTTAAATTCGTTTGTTTGGGTTTAAAACTTAACGTTTTGTGTATCTTTTTCGTGTTTGGAATCAAGACGCCTAAGATTTCATTGATATGTTGATGTGGGGTAAGTTTGTAGACCTTTAAAAGGTTCGTGGTAACGGTTACGATAATGCTTACGTTCACCAGACGAAGTGCTTCATTAGCGCTACCTAAAGACGGGTGTTTGATAGCACTGTCGAGGTCTACACATCACTGTGAGTCGACTTACGGTGGTATTTACACCTCGACACAGCAACTCGTGAGAAAAACCTTGCTAGAGTATTTAGCTGTCTTTGGGTAGCGCTTCGTCTGGTGAACGTAAGCACCTGCTTGCGACTTGTATCGACGGTTTATAATAAAACAACTTGCTGCGGTATATTTAGTTTCCGATTTATTTATCAGGCACGATAGGGCTCTTGTTATTTTGCTACCCTTCATATTAACCCGTTGAAGTAGGTTATGTTAGCTGCGTTCAATTCAACATTTAATGCCGAGAAATGATCACTGACTTGCAGAACATTCATACTACGATTATGACGATTTAATTGTATATCCTGGTACTTCCGGGAAGAGTGTCAATTCTGCGTTACTTCGTTAAACTTCATTCTGTGCGCTAGACCTACGTTTCTTAGCTGTACAAACAGTTCCACTGCATCAGTTTGACGAAACCTTTACCCGTAGCAAGGCCACCTACACAATTCCAATTTCAAATCGTAAATTTCAAATTAAAACGAACCTTACCAACTTTACCACTTCCATTTGGCTTGCTGCCAAGGATTGGGAACCGATCTTCACTGTAAATACCCTCGTTGTTGACATCTCTTCTCTGACACCTGCCATCTTTACGAACAAGGATAGCTAGTCATAAGCAAACCAAGTAAAAAGGCACTCTCGTTGTAAACATTTTACAAAATGCGACAGGCACAGGGAGGGCCCTTATCGGGTACCAGGATTCGCATCCCAATTCGTTCAGCCATTGCGGCACTTCTTCCACAATCTCTCTTGATTTCCTTATCACTTGCATTTCAACAGGTGATTGTTTTCAAAGTAAACTCAAGAATCAGATTAAGGGTACGGTCGAAAATTTACTCTACTCTACAATTTACGTGCATTTGGAGCATTGCAATTGAAGTAACTCGGTTTAAAATTATATTTTACTACAAATGCTTACAGTAAAATTTTATTTTTAACCAATCTTTAGCTCAACATCAGGATCATGAGCAAATTCTAACCTCGCATTTGTTTGTTTACTTTATAAACAGCCCATGAATGATTATACTATTGAGGTGTGAAATTTTGTTTACTGTTATTCCGAAATGGGGGCCATTAATGAATTTATTGTTCTGCATAACGTTATCCAAAATATATTAGAAAGCAGTAGCTCCGATGATGAAGAGTTTATTGCAGTAACAAATTTGCGTAGAAGGAAAGTTCCCTTAGTCATGGATGCAGCATTATTTAGTGTCAGTCGCATTGTTTATGTTTACTACAACCTTTACTCAGTTTACTCAGCTTTTACCACCAAATTGGTAGAAGCAACATGAGCATTTTGCAGTAAATCTCATGCATGCGTATTGATTGTTGCAAGATTTTAAAGAAGCATTCGCAGTAAATGTCAGCAATTTTATAACCGCCACAAAATTACTTTCGGTAAAAACAGTAACTGGAGTAAATTTTGGACCGTACCCTAAGTGTGACTTATTAATTGATAAAATATGTTCTGGGCTGTAAAGAAGAAGATATTATGATACTGATATTGCCTAAAGATATGCCATTATATTTCCAAAAGGCACTCGAATAGGTTGGTCTCTCTTATGTTCAAAACTTGTTTTTATACGAGGCATGTATTTCGAGTTGGCAATTTTCGGCGCTAGGACTCGAAAAAATCACGGCTATTGGAACGAGTTCTATTCAATAAAATTTTCCTAAATTAAGCGAAATAATAAGCCAGACCACTGTGAACGCGTTTTGAAATCGGTCACGTGCCATGACGTCATGTCTTATCATCACGTGACCTGGTAGTTCGTTGCAGTCGCTTGCGCGGTGTACACGCGTACCTACCTAGTTTTTCTACGTTTTCTTTGAAATTATGAACGGTTGTAATAAAATAAATCCCGCAAAAGTAAAATTAAGCACGCGGAAAATTGTGGCACGTCGCTAGTTTCGGTCGATCGTTAAATAAATCGGTGTTTTTAACCGTTTAAAGATTTGAATCAAGATGGCGTCCCCTTTGAATTTGAACTCGCGATTGCGTGTTGTTTCGATGTTCCTTGCATTCGGTTTTTCAAATTACGAATTGTTTGCGATATATTAAAAATCAACTCTTAAAAGTTATAAACCGACCTCGGAAAAGCACATCGTTCGTTTCGGAGCTTATAAGTTGTTAGTTAAACAAATTTAGTGGAAGTAGAAACTGAAGTCGCATTTTTCAATTGCGTGGCCTCTTTTTCGATCAAGACGCCTAACATTCCATGGATACATTGACTTGGGGTAAGTTTTTAAATCTTTCATGGCCATTTTGTAGTGACAAATTTAAGCGGAGCTTAGCTTAAAACCATCGTCGCAATAATCGTTGCCATGGATTTTAAGTCCTACTTAAATTTGTCAGTACAAACAGTCATTACAGTTGCATCATGCTTGTTATATCGTATCGATAGGGTTAGTTTCGAAATGCTACGTAGGTACCATTGGGCTTATTAGTATTATGATGCCTTATGACACGTTTAAAACGATTGATTGATTTATTTACGTTTCATTTTCGTATGCATGCATGATAGGTACAACATAGGGTGGCCGATCGATCTATGCACAACTTTCTATGGATTTATAATCAGGTTACCCTTCGCTTAATCAAATCAATCAAGTCGTGCACTTTTGGGATATGAGGTAGATCGAGAGGTAGATGTTTATTATTGACCTCGTTATTGACCTACATAATTACCTGTTGTAGATGAAAGGGATGATTCTCATCGCCGTTTAAGACGTTGAAACGATCACAGCTTTGTCGTAGAATGTGCTGCGATTCCATTCGAATCCAATTTATCCGATGATAAGAGTTGATACTCCAAAAGCACATTTACTTTACTTCGCCTGTTACTTAAATTGTAGGACAAATTCCTTGGCGGGGGGGTAGGTACTAGGCAGGCTCGTGGTTTGTCTTTTTGGTAGTGATACCCATCAGGTACTGTATAGGTCGTGGGAAATTTGCTGGAGACTCTCACGACACTTTTGTATCCCAATCTTTTCGATTTTTCTCTCAATTCTTTCGGCCTTGTCTGTAATTTTTCCGCTGCCATCATCACCGTTTGTTACAATTCAAACTACAGTAAGTACTTACTTGATTAACAATTTAAACCGGTGCGCGCATGTTGTCAAAAATCGATAATAAAATCAATAAACCAGCTGCGATCAGTGGCGTAGAAGAGACTTACTATGAGTTGTGAATGTATACAGGGTACTCCCCAAAAAGGGTAAAATTATTTTAATTCTACCAGGATTTGCATCCCAATTCCTTCAGTCATTGTGGCACTTCTTCCACAATCTCTCTTGATTTCCTTATCACTTGCATTTCAACAGGTGATTGTTTTCAAAGTAGGTAAACTCATGCATCAAAAATCAGATTAATGGTATAAACAATGAACTGTATGTTAGACTTGCAGATGTGTTGCATATTGACTCCCTCGAACTGCGCAAACACAAGCGCGCTAAAATTTGAATTTGCGTACAACTGTGTAAAGATGTAAATAATTACACATAACCTGCAAACGTTATAATTGAACCTAAACTAAGTGTTTCAGAGTTAGAGTTGATTTTGTGGCTTAATTTAAATATTTTTGTTTTCCTACATTTGATTCAAGGAGCAGAATTGTCTGGGCGTAAGTGGAAGTATGGCACATAGAGCATCTTTACGTATTAAGAAACATCACTGTTCATTTGTTTTTAATAATGTAATACCAAATCAACTGTATCTCTTCGACAAAGTACATAAAAAAAATCATAGTTAAACTTTGTGGTGCAACTTACCTTAAATTTTATACTTACCCTTGCAAACAGACTAAAGAGCTCTCCCAAAACAAAGGTTCTCAATTCAAAATGATAAGATATAATGTGATGTTCTTTAAAAAAAAGGTACAACATTTTGAAATTTATATGCTACTTACTTAATTACCACACTGTATGTAAAATGTTAGATTAGGACACAAAAAGTCATTTTACACCTTACATTGCAAATAAAGTCATACAAATGCTCTCAATTATTATATGACAATTATAGTAGGTAAGGCCGGTTTCAGCTCACTTTTCATCTTGATTCAAGGTCATTCGATTCGGTTCTGTTTGTTTTAGTGGCCACGAAACAACATAATGAGGCAAATAAATTATTGGGTGTTTATTATTGAATATTACCACAGGAAAATTAATTGTTCCATGAAATAATTTACACAAAATTTATACAAAGTCAATGGGAATAAAAAAAAGATGCGGCACAAAATTGACATTTAAAATAATATCGACGAGTATATTTACAATCATAACGGTACTATTAATCATTATTTTATTTTCCATTCATGGATTCCTGCAGTCACATACTGTGCGAGATCAAAGCGTCAGAAATGTAGGGTCTCAATATGAAGTTCCATAGTGAACCGCAGAGTGGAGAACGCGAAACAATTTCTGGCTTTGAACCCCCACAATTACATTCACGTTAGACCCATCCACTCATTATTCTATGTTAGTACAAAACTTTATATAAAAGAAGTTTTTCGGTACAAATAGTTATATAGTAATATATAACATACAGACTAAAGTATTATTATACCATCGAGAATATGCTGGCAAACATACATATAATTAATAAATCTCACAAATGCACTGTAGATCCTATTCTCTTAAAAATCATATTTCAACTAACCCATCTTGATTTTTGCAAATCTATTTGTCCTTCTAGGGTTTTAGCTAGGTATATTACAAACAGCTGAGACAGGGCAATACCTAAAGCGACCCCGGCGATAAAATAAAGGTTGCGTTCAGTCCAAGATCTAACAATTTCGATACAGCCGGACGTCCATACTTTCTTACTCGCTTCTGCAACCTTAAAAAAAAATTAATTCTTCTGGACACAATATTCGGGGCAGTTTAAACCCCCCAACTTTTGACAGGAGGGAGTAGAATATATCGAAGAAAGGGTGCAAAGGTAATATTTTTTTCATACTCCACCTGCCACCCTTAATAATCCCTCCAGGCAAAAGTTAGCGGGTTTGAATCAGCAAGCTAAATCCAATCAAATCACAGTATGTTAAAAATATCCATGCATCTGGAGCTAATCAGGGGCAACTACTAACTTTTTATACTCGAGCATAACTATAATGATTACCAAATTTTTTTGTTTACCATTACTACTGGTTTTACTTGCTTTGACAGATACTGTATATTATACAGTCTGTTTTAACAAGATTTCAATTTAAGTTGGCACTATTGCTAACTTTCTTACTTGTAGAGTTAGGGAGAGAGTTAAATTACTACTGAATCCAAATCTGTCAATGAAGAAAACAAACCAAAATCGCATATTTCAGATAACAAAAATGTGACCTTTTAATATGGAACGCTCTGTATATTATTACATCATATGACAGCTTATTAAATTCTCTACAAAAGTTTTTAATGCGCTAGAGCCAAAATACTTTAAACAACCAGATTTTTCAATTACTTTCATTTTGATCTAGTTATCCATGAAAATGGTAAAAACCTCGGTAAAAACACACAATAACTAGTATTTAAAACCATAACCGGAACTAGGACTTATTGTATGTAGTAGGTTGTTAACAAAACAAGAATAACAGGTGACATTAAGTAATACCTCGAGTAATACATAACTTATAAGTTACAATGGTCCATATGAATAAAAAGTAGCTCAAGCATAAGGCTTGCACAATTCAAAGTAAATACTCGAAAGTGCCCCTCCACACTGGGCTGCTCAGTAGCGCTGCACTGCCTCCCGTCCCGCAGCGCTGCTAAGTCGCCAAGTGTGAAGGAGCTCTTACGAGTATAAGCATGTGCTCCCTTTTATTCATATGGGCCATTACCTACCCATGTTAAAGGTGTTCAAAAATATTTCCATTTTCTTCCGTGTAGGGCACATGCCACGCATATTTTCTAGGATATAAAACCTAAACAGCACTATGTAATAAATTTTAAAGTTAGTTGTCATATACTTTACAACAAACAAGGTTATTTTGCCAATCTTCATGGATAACTAGATCGAAATGAAAATAATTGAAAAAATCGTGATTATGTGAAGTATTTTGGCTACGGTGCAAGAACTCTTGTAGAGAATTTAATAAAATGCCATATGATGTAATAATATGTAGTGTTCCATATAAAAAAATTACATTTTCGTTATTATCTGGAAAACACGATCTTGTTTTGTTTTTTTAAATTACAGATTTGGTTTCAGTACATAAAAATTTTAGTAATTTAACCGTCTTTCTAACTTTGCAACTAAGAAAGTTAGATCCAAGTAATTGTAATAAAGAATTTTTTTGAAAAATGTTCTGTAAGGGGACTAATGTCAAGGAAGAGAGAAAAAAATCTCTATCATATGATCCTAATGAGAGGGTACATCGCTATTAAAAAAATTCAATTGTTTTTCGTTACTCATGGGCGTCCTGTATTATTAGTTTCCAGTTGTCCATCTTAAGTTCGTTGAAAAAAATTAGTTTACCGAAAACTAATGTTTATTGTCTTAACCAAGCTACTAAATGGAATAACAATATTAGCTAAATTAACCGATTGTCATTTCTCTCTGATGTCTTTTGTTTAAAATAATATGGCATTCCAACTAACAACACACATTTTATTTTCTTTGTGCCCAGATTTATTACCAAAACAAGTTTTACACTACATATTTGGCAATTGAATGTGGAATTTTTTGGGATTAAAAAATTATCTAGAATCATTGAAATTTTTAAAATACTGTGATTCATTTGGGCTTCACATGCATTGCGCACGATATAACTTACAGAAAGCGTTTGAACTCCATATCCACACATAATGTTAACAAGTCCCGAACTAATACTGGTTGCATTCATGCAACAAGAGTACGGAACACCGCATCTTTCACCGCTTGGCGATGAACAATTGAAGTACTCATTTTTGGCCCAATCTTTATATCCTTCCGAGCTGAGACCACAGCAACGAAACTAAAATAACATCTCATTAGAACCACACTATAATATGATACACAATCAATCTGTATTAGACGATCATAATGATGGACACTGTTTAGATATTAAGTTTTCAACATTTTGAAGATAGTTTAAAACACGATAAAGAAACGGTTATATGGATTTGTAGAAGTTAACATTTAGAACGGTCAGAGAAAAAATTTTGTTTTATACAAGGGACTTAATAGTTACTTATTTTTGTGATTATCTTTCTCAAAACAATGGCATTCAATTTTTATATTCATTTTAAAACAACTGAATTGATTAAATTGCTTGGAAAAAGGGAATGAGGAAGTATAACTGAAGCTATAACCGAAGGGTTGATCGTGATAAAACTTCTTGTTTATTGTACTTAAACAAAATTATGACTGGGAAAGGTGTACCCATCGTTATGTTGTACATTTAAGTAGTATATTGGAAGACGAGCAAATGAGTATCTTACCTCCTGTTGAGCAAAATCTACAAAATTTTGTAAATCAGGATCATCTCGATATGTGTGAATTATTTTGTCTGTAAAATTTTCTTCTAACATGGACTGCATTGTATGAGGAAAAACAAAGCCGATAATGGCAACAGCCATTTCTAATAAAAAGAAGATGAGCAAACATAAGGAATACTAAAAACAGAGAAATTATTAAACAAAATTGTACACCTACTTCCTATAAACTTACAAACTTCAGGAGACATGTGTTTTCACGAAGGGCACCTACACATCCCGCAAAGCTAACAACAAAGACTACGCCTCCCATCATTACCATTACCAGCGAGATATTTAAAATAACATCGTAAATATTTTCTAGCTTTACCCATCCTGTTAACTGCCACTTATCAACAAAGGCGTACAAGCCAATTCCTATTAATAATCCTCCAAATAACTAAAAACAACAGAACGAAGATTACGCACATCTAACTTAACGCACTCTATCTACCCAAAAAATAAAGTTGAGAATAAAAATTAGATACTTCACACAGGAGCTGACATAGCTAAAATTACTATGATGTGGACGACGGCGATGCATTGCTCCTCCAGTCCTTCCTTAATGCTTAATCACCATTTAATTAATACACCTACATTTACATGAAATCACGAAATTTGTCAACAGTCTCTTTGTGTAACTTTAAGGGAGTTGTAATAGGGAACAATAGAGTTTGTAATAACCATAATAAACAAAAGTATGACGCACTGAAACAAATGACACAATTAAACGACTAAAACCAGTAACCACCCTTTGTCTATGAGGTAACCACAGACCATCAGAGGTAACTGGTGAATATGACAGACGTCATGTAAAGACAACAAACACAAACATCACACAGGATATACAGGGTAATTCACTAAAACCGTCTGAGCAACCATTTGAGCAACACGACACAAATTCAATGAATATAGCACAATTGAGGCACAGCTAGTGTAGACAAAAAAATGAGTTTATTTTTGGGCTAATGGGTCAAATGAATGGCTAAGTGAACGGACCGTTTGGATCTTTTCCTACAGATTCATAGCTCACCCGACTGCCAGCCTACATATATGTGACCCGTTGTCCCGGATAACCAGAAAAGCGTCTGTAAAAATGCGACGTGGCAATAGATTTAAAAAATATTGCAACACATGAAGTGAGATGTCCTTTATTTTTACCAAATGAGGGCGTACACATTTTTGAGTTTCGATTACAACCTGATGAGACGTCGGATTGAATATTGATGTTTATTTTATGAATTCTAGAAGAACACTGAACATTTGCAGTTTTTAACAGCGAAACCATTGAATGGCTAACCCAATAAAATTAGCAGACGTCCCGTTCTGGGACAAAAAAATGGTCAGGTTATTATTAGTATTATGCAACAATTTCGCCATCTGTCATCAGTAAATTGTAAACCCTGTTTTGGAACTAAGTCACTTTATCCAACTCGCCCCCTGGACTCTACCCAAAGTATTAATGGTCGGTGGAAAAACAAAAGATGATAGGCTGTAACAGTGTAACACCACTTTGCTTTTTGTAACGCTTACAGTATGGGAAACACCTCCGTGTCTACCGTAACTAACCATGATTAAAGTCGAGATTTCCAGAATCCACAATCTTTAATCACAATCAGTGACTTGAGGGTCTGTGCAGCAGTGAATCATATGAATAGATTAAGAAGAGACCCTTTGAAAAAGATTGTGTAATTTAACATGATTCATGGAGCTGTTTTGTTTGTACTTACTTTGTGCATTAATTCCAAAGATGGTTTAGGGCTCAAGTCCCCTATCTTGGGTAACTAAGCAATAGTTTCGATTGGTTTATATCTCTTTTGCTGCTAGGGGTCCCATTCTCAGAACCAAATGAAAAGTGGAATGGGAAATGGTTTCCTTATTCTCCTATGGACGATGGTAACAATGTTATCCCGTCTAATATTGAAATGACTCAGAAACATATTCAAATGGGAGTTATTTCTGATGACTGTGATAATGGTAAAGTACGTAACGAGGTGGTAACTTGGTAATTAGGTTGTACTAGGGTAGTGCCAAAAACTTCCTGGTTCGACATAGATCGCAGCCAACCAAAATCCCAGTCTTATTAGCCTTGGAAAAACAAAACATGAAATTTATGTCAATTAGTATAATTTACCATATTTAATTTAATTGTTTGTGCCATTCTTTTCGTAGTCAGGCCGTGAATACTTGCCACTGCTCTTGTATCGTCAGCACACGAATTTATAGATTTGAGCTTGAGTTAAAACCACTGACCATTTTTTACGTAACTTTATTGCTTTCCCTTGGCAAATTTATTAAAATAAATTAATTATTACACTTAAACCAAGTTCATTTAATTCTGCACAATTGAAATAAAATAGAATCAACAAATATTTTGTAGGACAATATCACAGTAGACTGGAACGACTCTCCGATTAACTATACTTGTTTCGACAAGAAGTCTTTATACCTTCCCAACATAGACGTACAACCAATAGAAGTTGCGTACAACATACCTAAGGAATATGCTGTATGTTACATAGCATTACTGTACCTAATGAAAACATATTTATCTGTTTCGTTATTTTAGGCCATGCACGAATGTATGAACACCACCATTAAGTACAATTACCCAATACCCACCTTGTATGTACTATCATCACATCAGTCGATAGATTACAATGGGATTTTTTAGCGGACCACACAGGCCACTGTGGCCAAAGTACGGCGAATATTTATTTGTTCCCGTACAAAGATGGTTACATAATTTAGAACATGGCGCGATTGTAATGTTATATCATCCGTGTGCTAATGTTTGTGAGACCGAATATTTGAAAGAAATCGTGAAGAACTGTTTATATAGACACATTATCACTCCATACACATTGTTGACTATGGATCGTGTAAGTACTCTTGTACGATGTGTACTTTATACTTACATTTTTCCTAGCCTCTAGCTTTGTTAGCATGGGGCCATTCACTAGAAATGTCTAAAGTTGATACTGCTACAGTTATAAATTTTATCAGAAGAAGGGCTCTTCAGGGACCCGAAAGAATTTCGAGAGATGGTGATTATGATCACAAATTGGTAAATCCCGCCAAGGTAGTGTCAGACCAGGAAGACAGTGATCTGTGTATTGGTATACGAAGCAAAGAATGGTTTTAGTGTATTGCGACTGAGCTACGATAAAAAAATTTATACTGTTAAGGATTATTATTTAAGCTTTTCTTTTAAATTTCGGCAGAAACATTTCTTTTTATTCCAGTTAGACGCTTGGTTGTATGTTATTATATAGCAAAATTTGTTTGTAAATGAGATTTTAATTGATACTGCCTGTTCAAGCTGTATAAGTTGTAACTCAAAATAAATAATCCCGATGATTTTGATACTTTAGTTTAATATTTAAAGCCAAGAATGTCACAGGATAAAAATTGTATTTAGGGCGCCACTTAATTTGAAAAAGAAACTAAAAAAAAACAAGTTCAAGTAATTAAAATTTCATTACTGTATAGTACTACATGTTCAGGTGTTATTTTAAACTCGACTCACGTAACAATTTCCCAGCAAATCTTGATATTATTTTACATTTTCAATTTCATTCCGCAACGAATTAAAAAAATGAAGACTCCGTATGTAAATATACAGTGGAAGAATCACTTAATGTCTATTCTATTCTTTCTTTTCTTCTCGTTTAGACCATTCACATTCTGTAATGGGGGGACTTACATATACCACCTGTTTTAGAGGAAGAGCCTTATTTTTTTAGCCACACTGCCCTGGGTATTTAGATACTGCTTTTAAAATATTTTCAGGACCTTTCTTTACACGAAGTATTTCAAAATGGCGACTTTAACTTTTTTTTAAAAATTGGAATGCCATCATTTTTTTATTGTAGTATTTTATTTGTTTTGAAAATTCTAAATCAAATTCGCTATCAAAAAGTAAACGAACATTTTAATTAATTCCTAGTTAAAAAATTGATGTATCACAACTTATATTTTTTTAAATGAATCACAAATTAAAACCTTATTTCTTACGGTTTTTAAATAGTAGGCCATGGATTCACGGAGATTTTGTTTTTTATTGTATTCATGGCAGTCACTAGCAATCAATAAAAATGGCTGCAGGCTGATGGTAGAAACATGTCATTTCAAAATTTTGAAAATATGATTTAATAATTAATACATCTCTAATTGTGTACAAAAAATAGGTTGTGCTACATCAATGTAATTTGGAAAACAAATATAAAACAATTGGCTATATAGTGTTGCATTTAAAAAGTAGCAAGTACTAAGTAGTAACACTATCCTGTGTCAAATCACAGAAACAGTTGGGCAAACAATTTTTTTACTACCCCACTGGATTCTAGGTCAAAATATCTGATAAAGAATGGGTTTTTATCTTTTCTACCTTAAATCAAGGTTTTCGCGAGACGAAGGCGCTGAACGTGGGGTAAAGGCCCTGGGATTTTCCAAGACCATTACTCCGGAATTTCCTAAAGTCATGGTCCCGGGATTTCCCAAGCCAGGACCTTGGACTTTGACCTCGGTTTTTCTCCTAGGTCGTCGGGGTGTTTGATTTGGGAGTAAATTTAATGTTTTAATTTAGAATTCATCCTTTAAACCCTGAAACTGAATTCAGAAATTTAACGTTCAGTTTGAAGTTTAATTTTTGGTAGTTTTAGAAAATTTCGTGAATGAGTTTTCTACGCTTGATAGGAATTTAGATCCTCTCCAATGGTTTGTAGGTCACCTGTTCGGAGATTTCTGTAGGCTATCGTCGAGCTCTGAAAAGGGCGTGGAAGTGCTTTACTGGTTTAAGATAATCCAAGTTCATGGATGTGCTACTATAATGATCTCGTAAAGTCTTTATCAATTTGCTAATGATCTCCAGACACTTTTTCAAACCCATGGAAAGCACTTGAAAGAGTCTGTCCGTAAAACGCTAGAAACCCATCTGAGTGATTTTTAGCTGAAATAACGCTTAAGCCTAATTTACATTTGGCAAGTTTACTGCCGGAAAGTACTTTCCGCCAGTAAACTTGCCAAATGTAAATTAGAGGCTTTAGTTCGGGTTTTCGCTAATTAATTTATAATTGTGTTACGCGGCAAAACCAAGTTTTGAAACATTTTTAAAACAGCGTTTTCATAAAGCTTTTTACGCTTCTACCATCAGAGTTCTATAGACCCTTTCAAGGACTATGTTCACAAAAAAATTTGAAAAGGTTTCACATTTCACAAAAGGGAATAGGTATATTAGCGATAAAAAATGAGTGACCGTCGAGTCACCCTTGGAATTTTTGTTTACATATATGGGAAATCGAACTTTAACTCGAAATTCCAAAGGCCACTCGACAGTCACTCATTTTTGACATTTGTCGCAAACATGCAAGCCTGTTTCTAAGCCAATTTTCCGAGAGGCAACGCTAACAAACTATAACAGATGCTTCTGTTAGGGGGCGCTATAACATATCTCACATTGTAAACCTTACATGTGCGCATGCGCAGTGCCAACTTCCTTACTTATGAAGATATTTCTTTGTAATTTTAACCATAGATCCCTCTGTTAAAGAAAACCATATCGCATAAAACTACAAATGTCATTAGCAAAGGCAAACAGAACACACACAGTAAAAATCAAATGCGCAAACTGCACAATGTTAACTTTCTTTTACTTGTGAAGATTTTTACCACAGACGCTTCTAGTAAAAACAAGCATATCGCATATAGCATAAATTAACTGTGAATAAATTGTTTATTTTAATTCAAAACTATGGGAACATTTTAATCTATTAGCTAGTACCTAAACGATTGTTACTTTTATTTAAATGTATTTCTTTTTTCAGTTCTTCAAGGAGATTGGAGTGTGAGTGTTCCAGCCCTACTTTGGATTAATGGTTCTTCGTAGGAGAGATTGATTTATAAGGCTAAACGGTAAGTTTGTGTTCATAGACCGATTTCTTTCGGAAAACGATTAAACAATAGTGCCGATCTTTTATATATAACCGTGAATAGACGCTTCACTTTGTCTTGGCCATTCTAAGGTCAATAATTAAAATTTTAATCCTTTGCATTTACTGTGGTAGACCACAGACGTATTAACTGGCCCTCAAGATTCTAATTTTAAATAAATATATTTGTCAATTTCACCTTTTTTAACGTAAACTTTCTTTTTGTTACAGATCCAAGAAGGGCAGCCTTACCAAGGTAGGATTTTTCCTTTTTTGCATGTTGTATTGCATGTTATATTATGTGTCTTTAGCTGTGAACAGTGGGGGGGGATTACAACCAAAAGGATTATGTAGCTAACCTTCGTGTTTATAGTACAATACAAGTTGCAACAATCTCTTCAGTCTTTCAGCTGGGTAATGTAAGGTTGACCAACGATTCTTTAAGTATCTTTCGCAGTATCCTTTAGTTTCTCTTCATATTGAGGAGTATGTCTATGAATTCACAGTCATACTAGCTTTGTGAAAAAAATTGAGTTTATTTGCGAAGCAGACTACAAAGAAGTATTGTATAGTCATTTCTTGCGTTTCCAATCTGAGTAAACTGTTGCACCTTGATTTATTATTACACGAAGATTAGCTCAGAGTAAGGTAAGTGCGTGTTTGTTATCAATTAGTAATTCAGCCTTATACGGAGAATACATCGCACCAGGAAAGAATGTCGGTCACAGCACACCTGATGTTGGTCTACAATCGTATGGTTTACTATGAAAAATATTAGTTTCATAGTTTATTTTTCATAGTAAAAACCATACGATTGTAGACCGGTATCTCGTGTTCTGTGGCCGGAATTGTTTCCTGGTGAGACTATACAGAGTGGCCCAACGAGAAGGATACAGAAGGGGTGAAGACTTGGGTTCGTGATTTGTATTCCAAAAGTTGTCCCCCTCGAATACAAAATTGACGTGTTCGAGGATTTTTCGAGATTTCTAAATTTAATACCCTAAAAGCCCTCTGTATACTTTTCGTTGGGCTACTCTGTATTTAAAATTGCCCTATGTACATTTCTTAAATCACCAGATTTTGGTATCAATTCAACGCTTGTTGTTTCTTTGCTTATTTTATTGTAATATTGCACTCAAAATGACAAACTTAAAATTTCCATTATTTGTTAAAAGCTATTACTTATTTAAGCTGCCTCTAAATCATGTAATTTTGATCGTTTTAAATGATGCATAGAGTATTCTCTTAAAATCATATTTTCATATAATTGTTCGTAAGGAGCCGGTTGGCCTAACAGGCCTACTTACTAATCTCGTTGATTTTTACAGCGCGAGCTGCATCACCGACGAGGATTACATCACCCGCCCCCATGCGATGGACGAAAGCTTCAACCGAATGCTACTCATCTCGTCTTTGCTGTATCTTCATCATGGACGGAGATAGGGGAGGATTTAAGGGAGCTAAGCACCCCCAAAAAGATTAGCCCTATACCCAAGTAAACGGGTTGATTCAAATTCCAGGGCCACCATGGGGATCTCGGGGACTGTAAGAGATAGGTAGGTAGTTTAAGTTTGGCAAAGTTGCGTATTTTGATGCTTCACAAAATGCAGTTTTGAAACTGAAAAAATTCCACTTTCGGAGATATCTGGAAAAAAGCTAAATTTTGCACAATATAGTATTTATTTTTTACTGAAGTTATTTAAAAAAATTTTTCAAAATAAATGACACATTATTATGGCCAGTTCTTTCCCTCTACAAAAGATGCTACTTTTAAGTTTGACGTTTCGTCTCCAGTCAACCATCATCAACTTTCTTTTTACTTTTTATGGTATTTGATTTCTGATTTCAAAAATGTAAACATCACTATCTTTTAATCAGAAATAGCGCTATTAATTCGTAAAAACGCAAGAAACTACGTACGTACACTAACAAAGACAAACGTTTCTAGGCAAAAAAGAAGATATTTTAACAAATTTGTGATATTTTCTTCCGCATATCTCCGAAAGTAGTCGGAATTTTTTCAGTTTCAATTATGGTAAGCATCAAAATGCGCAACTTTGCCAAATTTAAACTACCTACCTATATCTTACAGTTCCCGATGGTGGCTCTCAATTTGAATCAGCCTGTATAACTCAAACATTCAGACAAAAGTACATTACAAAGCAAAGATAGCTATATTTTTCGGTTCTTTCTACAAATACTGCAACATTTTATTAATGTACTGCTGTCTGAACCACCTGGTCGCCCACTATGATCTACCCAAAATACAAAATACGGAAATGTGAGGCAGAGTTTTAGGTAGTACCTTACTCTCCCCTCAGCCCTAATTTCAAAAATAAGTATAACGTTAACAAAGGTAAAAAATTAATCATCATTATCAGAGAATCAAGGAACATTTTTGGCACTTATTAATTTTAATTTAAACTGGACATAATGTTTAAAAGGCCTCTAAATTCATTTAGCCCTCCCGGTTTTAGCTCCCCTAATAATGATCCATAACTTCGTCCATGACAATCATATAGGCGGTTCAGTACAAGGTGAGTATTCAATAGCATACCTATTATCGGAAAATCCCCACCAGATCTTAGTACATACCGTATTGTAAAGATCAAAAGAAGTAATTTTTGACCATATACCGTGAGGGTGCGGGTTTTCCAAAAAGTAGTTTTAAATTCTAATGATTTATTCAATACAAAAATTACGAGTTTTCGGTAATATATGCGTATATTCCTTTCAGTTGGGGAAGATGGAATTGGAGCAGAGTTACTTCAAGCAGCCCAGGGACGGACCTAGACAAAAAAATTGGGGGGGGGGGGGGCGGGGGGCAGCCATGACATTTTGCCAACTCAACTGTAAAAATTTCCAACTCAAACGGGTAGTATCTATTAAGTATTAAGTATCAGTCGTGTCAGCAGTATGCACTGGGAAGTGTTCTGTGTTATTTGAGCTCTTATCAGATTCCTTTAAAAAATTAACATTCCTGTCCAGTATATCTAATTCTTATTCTAAATAGATACAAGCATATTTTTAGCTTCCTAGAAAGCAGTTCTGTCAAGAATTTTTCACCTGGTTTTTTGTAAAACCTTTTCGTTGTCATTCCTCATTCCTTCAATAGTCGATTTATTACATTTACGATTTACCTACTTTCCCGGCATTCGCCAACTGGTAATGAAAATTATCAACTCTTGTCAAAATTGCCAACTAGTTAAGTATTGGAGGGACAGCCTACCCCCCCCCCCCATTGCTCACCCATAGGTCCGTCGCTGAAGCAGCCTGCGGTCCAGAAGTCCCGATTCTTGCGATGGAGAGATTGAACGAAATATATAAGCTATAGAAGGTAAATTTTTATTTTTTTTTTAATTGGAGCGTGTACAGGGCGTCCATTATGTATGGAATATGGTATATATCTCTGTAAATAACGACTGTAAGTACCTATACAACATTTTTCTATAAAATTGTTCATTATTTTATTATCCGCAATAAAGCAGTATTCATTTGTTTTTATTTCAGAAACCAAATGAGTAACGGAAAACAATTGAATTTTTTTAAATAGTAAATCCAACAACGGAAGCCTGCCTTATTACAGGAAACAACTTTTATATAGAAATATTTTGTATACACTAGTTATTTATCGAGATATATATTATATTCCACACATAATGCGGTCACCCTGTATAACCTCGAAAGGTTCTAATCTGCTTTCAGTTTCACAAATTTTTTTGTCACCTTTTTAACGCAGATTTGTTTTTCATTGCAGATTCCAGAAGGGCAGTCTTATAAAGGTAGGATTTTTTCTTTTCTATGCATGTTTTTTTCAGCAGTGGGGGCAAAGTGAAGTGCATAGTGTAACTAATAAGAAGATCGCGATTTATTTTAACCGTCGTACTGTAGGTCGCGCCAATCAGTTTGCTTGATACTAATCCAGTATGACTACGAATTCGTAGCCATACGTACCGGTTGTAAAAAGCGAACAGATTTCTTCTGCGAATCGGACTGTAGAGATGCAAATGTATTGGGGCATTTTTTGATTTCCAAGGCGAGCTACACAAAGATCAGCTTAAGTGGTTTTTCAGAAAAATGGGCGTGTTCGTTCTATAATAAAAATTTCTTCATCAAAACTCCTGTCTGCAGTTCAATCGATAAGCAAATCAACTTAAGAAACGATTCGGTCTCATCTGAGAATTTTTTTGCAAGTCGGAAATGGCTATGGATTTCGAATTGGTGTCTTAATCTCACTTTTTATTGGCTTTAGTGTCTTTCTCCCAATTCACCATTGCACTACTTCTCGACTTCTCGTTCTTTCCACTTTGTTAAAACTAAAATGCTATTAACTGGTTAAAATGATCACATTGAATTTAACGAGTAGGTAAGGTTGAAGTTGGTATAAATAATGAACTATATGAATAAACGATTTTTTTCTCAACAGTGGCGTACCTGTTTCAGTGCAATTGGATACGTTCCTCAGGGTCTTCACGTTACTTTTTATGCGTAGGTAGGTACTTGGATTCAGCACTCTGTTCTCCAAGATCTTATAAAATTTGGAGTTGTTACATTCTATTCCAATTTCGTTCTATTATTATTCCTTTCCGACACCTCGTTTTCTTGATATTCGTCTTTTGATGACTTCACCGATCGATTTCTGCTTTCAATTTTGCTAAATTGCATCTCTATCGGCTATCCTCTCTCACTTCCGCTTTGTTTCTACTGTCTGATGAAAAAACAGTATAATTATAAAGACCATTAATCATTATGACTTAACTGCAGACATTGTGCTCAATGTAATTTTAATTCCATTGACTAAAGTAATAAATTCTTGCATTCGGGAATCAATTTTACATTGACAAATTATCAAAAGTTATTCTTTTATACAAAAAAGGAAATAGAGATGAAGTGAACAATATTTTTGAAAAATTATTTAAAAAACAAATCATAGATTGACAGGGATTAATATGATTTTTAATAAACACGTTTATTTATGATGTTTTCTATTGCGGCTATCGATTTCGACCAGTGGTCATCTTCAGGTGATATACTGGTCGAAATCGATAGCCACAATAGAAAAAATCATATATAAACGTGTTTATTAAAAATCTTATTAATCGCTGTCATTATACAACACGTTTCACAGATGGAACAATACATCCTACGAATAAATCATAGATTATTTTGAAACAACTAATCTATTTTCTAATACTGCAACAACTTACAGATTATGTTTTGGATGCTTGCTGGCAAAGCTATCAAAGTATAATCACAGATAAACGGAGCTTTAAGCTTTATCTGTGGTATAATTTTGTAAACAAATCAATTGTTTTATTAGAGTCGTACCTAAGTAATCGCACACAATATGTTTATTTTAATCATTCTGAATCTAATCTTAAAGAAATTAATACGGGAGTGCCGCAAGGTTCGGTACTTGTCCCTGTAGTATTTTTGATATATTTTAATATTACAAATGTTAGTTATGAGAAAGAATTAATTTTGTATGTATGCAGATGGTGCTACCTTTTTAAGTAGATGTAAGAATCTTTGTGATTACACAACCACTTTACTTGATAATATTAAACGCTAAACGACAACAAATTGAACATAAATACAGAAAAATGTACCTTCCGCTTAAAAGAAATAAATCATTATTTCAATAACCCAACCAGCATACATTTTTTAGGAGTCCTATATTGACTCAAAACTGAATTGGAATGATCACTACTGTAATTGTAATACAATCGCTTCTCTGTTATAAATCTTTAAAGCACGCGCAACGAGTTTAATAAAAACTACTTCACCCCTTTCCACCCTCTGCCCCCAGGGTTATTCTCTTAAAAATTTTAAATAACAAGTGGTCTTTCGAAGTCCTTTATTTCGACGTTTGATTTTTTTAAATCCGTCGTTTTGTTTTCGAGAAAATGAGAAAAATCTTTATTTATTTAATCGACCTATTTTAATTTGTTTAGATAGAAAACAAAAACAAACGAAAGTATCACTTATTTGTTGCTATATGGGAAAGAAAGAATTTAATTTGCTGTCAGTTACATTTGTAGCAATCTTGGGGTAGTGAAAATGGTTCGGCTAGTGGGTAAACCATTTTGGAAGTAAAATTAGAATCAATAAATTAATTTTCACTATCCCAAGATTGTTACCGAGGTAACTGCCAGCAAATTAAATTCTTTCTTTCCCATATAGCAACAAATAAGTGATACTTTCGTTTGTTTTTGTTTTCTATCTGACCAAATAAAGATAGGTCGATTAAATAAATTAAGTAACGATTTTTCTAATTTTCTCGAAAACGAATCGACTGATTTTAAAATATCAAACAAGCTATTATTCGATACCACTTGCCATTTAAATTTTTTAAGGGAATGACCCTTAGTAGCAGAGGCTGAAAGGGGGCGAACAAATTGTAAAATATTTTTACATGTCATTTTAAGGACAAGAGAGGTATTGCCTTAATATTAATGCCATTCTCTTTTTTCTTTTACATAATAAATTGCAAAATCAAATATTAAGTATGCAATATTTTAATTTACATAAGTTAGTGTCGGCTAAAGAGAGAAAAACCAGTGCCATGTAGTAAAAAAAAAGGTTTATGGCCAAAAGTGTTATTTTGTCTCTGCCCACCTCCTAGTGGCGCTACTGGAAAACCGTACACGTAAAGGTTAGGTTATATCATCATAACCTAAAATTCTAACTCTCGGCGAGTGGAAATTTGCATCGCATTTCTCTATTTATTATTCTTTGAACGGAAAAGTACATACGTGGGCCATAAGAAGAGAAGCGCTTGTAACATACATCATGGCGTTTTTATTTTATGGAAAACTTTCCAATATCTGTAAGATCTTTTATGGTTCCCTACTCCGAAGTTAGGTAATTTTGTTTGTAGCTTTGTTGAAAACATTTAGTTATCTTTCCAACACGGAATTGATCTTAAATGGGAAACGATCGGGGATATTGCAATTTGCCGCACTAACAAACACTGGAAAGCGTTTTTATGCAACCGAAAAAAAGGTATATCAAAGGACAAAACCTCACTGTAACGTTGGAACTATTGGACATGTTGATCATGGTAAAACGACACTTACGGCTGCCATCACCAAAGTTCTTTCTGATCAGAAATTGGCAGAAGCGAAAAAATATTCGGATATCGACAATGCGCCTGAGGAAAAAGCGAGAGGCATTACAATCAATGTTGCGCACGTCGAATATCAAACTTCGGCACGGCATTATGGCCACACAGACTGTCCCGGTCACGCGGATTACATTAAAAATATGATAACCGGAGCTGCTCAGATGGACGGTGCCATCTTAGTAGTGGCGGCTACGGATGGAGTAATGCCTCAAACACGAGAACATTTATTATTAGCGAAACAGATCGGTGTCAATCACATAGTAGTTTTTATAAACAAAGTAGACGCAGCTGACGCCGAAATGGTTGAATTGGTAGAAATGGAAATAAGGGAATTAATGTCCGAAATGGGATTTGATGGTGATAATGTACCCGTTATTAGCGGCTCTGCACTTTATGCATTAGATGGAAAAGAACCGGAGGTGGGCTCAAAAGCGATTTTAAAATTACTAGACGAAGTCGATAAATATATACCCACACCGACACGTGAGTTGGACAAACCATTCCTGTTGCCAGTCGAGCATGTGTACTCCATTCCCGGCAGAGGTACAGTTGTTACTGGCCGATTAGAACGTGGTGTCGTAAAAAAAGGGGCAGATTGTGAATTCGTGGGTTACAGTAAAACATTTAAAAGCACCATTTCCGGAATTGAAATGTTTCACCAGATTCTCGAGGAGGCTCAAGCCGGAGATCAATTGGGTGCGTTGGTAAGGGGGGTAAAACGTGATGATGTTCGTAGAGGTAATTAACGTATTTATGAGTAAGCGCAAGACGAAAATAGCATTTTAGGTATGGTAATGTGCAAACCTGGTTCTGTTAAAAGCAATGATCATGTTGAGGCGCAAGTGTACATCCTTAATAAAGAAGAGGGTGGTCGTTCTAAACCGTTTACATCATTCATTCAATTACAAATGTTCTGTCGAACGTGGGATTGCTCTTGCCAAGTATTCATTCCTGATAAAGAAATGGTAATGCCAGGTGAAGATTCAAAGTAAGTTTTGCCAATAAAGAGATCGGAGAGTGACTATACACCACTGATGACTTGGTAAATGTCGGCTTAAATCCTGCTCACGGTTTTGATCTTGCCTAAGTAGCCAATAGTGCTGAAGAGTATTTATTTCTCAAACATAATTGAAAAGAGAAACTTTAAAGCAAAAAAATCATTCATTTGTTTGTTTTCTTTTCGTATTTTACATCTGAATGTTTCTTGGTTATGTGATTGAAGAATATGCAGAATACACTTCTTTATAATTGAAGCTACAAAGATGGGTAAATAATTATATACAGCATTTTTTCTCATGAAATTTATGGCCAGTCTGCAAACTGAATTTACGCATGATAAAAAATATAACTGAACAATACTCACTTCTTCTAAATCTACATTCTAATTACAGACCAGACCAGACTTTTTTTTACACAAATCTAGAGACAAAAGCATTAGAATAAACTCACTTTCAGAGTTCGCGGTTATTATTTTATTCTGTTACGACACTATTGCAACGATAAGAACCCTTTCTTTTTCTATTCTTTAGGCACCATCAGTTTTACTACTTTTTAGTCGCGTGAATTCTTTTTTGTCATGTATCTCACATGTAACCGAGAACTTTATCTCTTTATTAAATTTCTTCAGGCACCCCGAAATTTCTCTTCTGCAATCCGCATTACTCTTTCCATAATGTAGAAAACGCTAATTAATTATTAATAACTTTCTATGGCTACTACAAACATCCGTTACTTAAGGGTGGCTGTAGTAGAGATTTTCATTTTTTATTTTGAATATGTAATAATATACAAGATGTTCCATTTAAAAAAGGTTCTTTAAGGTCACTTTCCGATCACTCCATACGTATAGAAATATGCACAATGTCCCACAATGAGTGAGATTGCACGAGTTATTCCTATATTACTAAAGGTGAAGGTTTGGTTAAATTAGCTAAATTTTGTCGATTTATGAACTGATTAGAAAAAAATTTTTAATTTCGGTTCGATTAGAAGTAAATATTTGGCTTTGGCATTTTAATTTATTTCAATATTTTAAGTTCCCAACAATGCAGGTTCAAATTTGTGGCTCACTATTGAGAACTCTGTAACTGTGAAAGATACAGTGTATGTTAAATGGAGGCAAAGTTGCCATTTCTGTGACTAAAAAAAATATGAAATGAACGGTTCCTGTGAGCACCTTCTATGAGCCCGTTTTTCGGAGAATCTGAATTTGTTATCAGCATTTTCATAGCACGCTAGATGTAGCAGCTACAGGATAAAAAAAATAATGACGTATCATTCCATACTTTTACATAAATTTCCAAGAAAAACTTCAAAATCAAATGTTTTACATTCATCCATGGGTAGCTAGATTAAATTTTGAAATTTTTCTTGTAAATTTATGTAAAAGTATGGAGTGTGTCATGTCATTATTTTTCTTTTTTTGTTCTTTATCTCATTCCGTAAAAACCAATATGACACCCATAAGAAATAAGAAAGTAGTAGCCTGTAGCGTTTATCTAGTGTGTTATGGAAATGCTTATAGTAGATTTATCAATACTCCTAAAAAAAAGTGCTCATAGAAGGTGCTGTCGGGAACCGTCCATTTCTGACCATTTTAGTTAAACTAGGGCAAATGAAAACAAAATTTGGCATTTTCAGTTTTTCGGTGATATCTAAGTTATTTGCAGATTTTTTCAAATCCCTTTTATTAGTCAAAGAAAGGGACAACTTCACCCCATTTAACGTCACTGTATCTCTTACCGTTGTGGAGATCTCAATAGTAAGCCAAAAATTTGAACCACCCTGTACAGTACTCTCACACCAGCATTGACTACTCAAGATTCACAAAAAAGCATATAAAAGTTAGTGTCCTGCATTATTTGTGCACATTTTAACACTAAATAGCTGCTTTTATCCCATATAATAATCTTTATGCCTAGAAATCCGAACTCTATTCGGTAAAAAAGTTAACTCGTGCAGTTCTACTCCATCTGGGACACCGTATAAAGACTTTCTATGAATAATTTTGCAGATTAATATTGAAAATGATTCGACCAATGGTTCTTGAACAGGGACAAAGGTTTACTTTAAGAGATGGATCGTTAACATTAGGTACAGGAGTCGTCACAAACGTTTTACCGCAACTTTCTGAGCAAGAAAGACAAACAATTACGGAAGGAAAGAAAGCACGTGAAAAACGAATGGCAACTCAAAATACGAAATAATTTTTAAGGTTGTAGTTGTCGTACTATGCTTGCATGTAATAAATACATACATAAATTCCGCTTAACTTTCTTATATACAATTACCTTTGTTTTTATGCCATATTAGTTTCCAAGATTTACTTCTCAATGTTCAGCAACTAGCAAGATGATGGAATTTACGGCTGCGCAAAGTCAATAATCAAACTAAACAAGTACTATACCTACTCTGTGTCAAAGATAAGAATGTCTATCATGGGGATCTCAGAAACCATAGATGGCTCTATAGGGTCCGTAAAAAAGTACATACTGTATTGAGTAGCATTTTTTATTACTAATACGATGTATCGCACACAAAAAAATAACAGTTGGAAACTGTTGATTTCAACAGGATGGTGCACCCGCTCACAAACGCCCTAATTGTCTGAGAATACCTATCGAACAAATTTTCTGGAAAATGAAAAATTTTTTCAATAGATATCCTTACATGATTAGGGCGTTGCGCACAGGTGCACCATTCTGTTGAAAGAAACGGTTTCCAAATTTTGTTTTTTTTTGTGTGCCGTGTCACACCTTGAAACGTTTTTTTTGAAAATATCTCAACGATGCCTTGTAGAAAAAGTGATGAGAAAATTTTCTTGATTTCTTTGTATCTGTTTTGTAACATCAGTAAAAAATAGAGACGCAAATTTCGGTTGTTTTGGCATATCTTCGGAAGTAATCGGAATTTTCTAGTTTTTCTTTAAGCATGATAAATAAAGAAATCTTTAATTGCGCATTTTGACCGTCGTATCTTCTGTGGTTTGCAAGACCCCCATGATAGACATCTTCGAGGACATCTTTATCTGGGACACAGTGTATATAAGTTTGAATTCAGAGTTTATACAGAGTTACAAGGGTCTCAAACAAAACAAATAACGTTGCCTACCTGAATTATCTATTTTTAATTATGTAAATTTATCATTAAATGACTTTCATAATTTAACCGCATTTTGAAATGTTTCCGAAACAGAGATATGGCGAAAATACCCGTATTCACAAATTTAAATTGCAATATTTATATTCATCCAAGTTGGCTTTCAAACAAAAGAACACACAACAAGCGATAATTAAAATTAACACTCGATATAAGTTTTGAAACTATGAGCAACAAATAAATTATTCAAATTTTAAATCAATAAATTAAATAATAAAATAGAACTAATGTTCAAACTGTCTGCCATCACTTCCGATACAAAGCCGAAGTCCTTGCCGGGTCGTTTATTGCGTGTCTTTTGTTTGAAAGCCAAGTTGGATGTAAGATCTAACATTGCTATTTAAATTTGTGTATTTTCGCCATATCTCTGCCTGGAAAACAGACATCAACGTGCGGTTTTTACTGAAATTTTCACTTTTTAATTTTATTTGATAATATATAATAATTATATCGTTCCATTTGAAATTTCCAAGAAAACCTGGAAAGTGTAGGTTAATGTGCAAACAAAAATTCCAAAGGTGACTTGACAGCAACTCATTTTTGATCGCATAGTACAGTTCAGCGGAACTAGTACTCGTGCTACACCAGTGAAAATGTTCAAGTGCATCTGATGTCCAGAAATTTCACTTACGCCAGACTCACCATAATGGGTGTATGACGAGAATAAGTTTGGGTGGTAGAGGGGATCGATCAGATAGTGCTTCATTTGCACTTGTTTTCATCACAGCAGAATGAAACCACGCTACTTTTGATACTGTATTGGCCTGTATCCACAACCATTTAAAATAACACCCTGTACACACATAAGCAAAAAACTGTCACAATGGGCAGTTATTTTTACTTAAAAAACGCCAATCCTTAATTATAGTTATTTATTGAATTGCAACATAAACGGATCAATACATAAATTTCAAAACGGCCAAAGTCATATAAAAGTGAAAAATTGAGGAATTCCATTTAATAAGCTGACACAACTTATGATTTAATAAAGAGAATTTCTAAATAAGTTACACGAACGTAAGATTACGGTCTGAAAATGGTTTATCCTAAAAATGGCACAAAACAATGTGTGAAACCAAAAAAGGAACCATATTATAATAGAGTACAAAGTCTATAAATCATCATCATCTTCTGGTAAAGCAGTTTCTTGAGCTTCTTTAAGATCTTTTTCGATTTGTTGTTGCCAAGTGGGATCCATTTGGACTTCTGGCGGTACCAATGCGACCATAGCTACAAATTCCAGATTGGGATCGCCTATTAGCTTACGGGCCAGCCACAAGAACGGTTTTTCAAAATTATAATTACTCTTTGCCGATACATCGTAATACTAAAAAGAGAAATTAATTTAAAGATTCTAAACGTCAATAATACGTACTTGTAAATTTTTTTTTCTGTGGAATACGATGCTTTTTGCCTTAACCTTTCTATCTTTAATATCAACCTTGTTGCCACATAAAACTATTGGAATATTTTCACAGACTCTAACAAGATCACGATGCCAGTTGGGTACATTTTTGTACGTAACACGTGAAGTAACATCAAACATAATAATTGCGCATTGACCCTGAATGTAGTAACCATCGCGAAGACCGCCAAATTTTTCTTGTCCCGCCGTATCCCACACGTTGAAACGAATTGGTCCTCGGTTCGTATGGAACACTAAGGGATGAACCTCCACTCCCAAGGTGGCAACGTATTTCTTCTCGAACTCGCCGGTTAAATGTCGTTTCACGAATGTTGTTTTTCCTGTACCTCCGTCTCCCACTAGTACACATTTGAATGTGGGCATATCGGGTTCTTGTGTCATTTTATTATAAATACCTAAAAATGAGAAAATGTTTAAAAACCCGTTATAAACTACAAGCACGTTTCTTTAAATTTTAATTTGTAGGCGGACTGACGCTAAACGAAATCGTATCAAAGGATTTTCGTATTCGGGAACGCACTTTAATATAATTTATTCGAGTTAGTACGCTGTATGGAACAAAACTGTAAACAATGAAAGGAAATAAATAAAAAAATGCGCTTACCTTACGATTAAAAATACTGAAAAAACACAGATGGATGCGATATTCTTCGATGACACCTTTTACGTTGCGAAGTCGTTAGAGCTCACAATGGCGTTCCTTGCTGCTAAAGGGCATGATTCATACACTTAATTGAAAATTTACTTTCGATTCCAAATGAAGTCAAATTTCCTTAAAATTGACTAAATAAATTAGAATCAAAGTGATTTTCTGCAAGTACCACGAATTTAGCTATCAGATAACGGAGAAATAAATGATTTTATTAAAAAATTATTTATGACGTCACAGAAAACGTTGACGTAAATTGAACATGCGCAACAAGCGGAAGGCACTGCGGAGCACCAGTTGGAAAGATGTATCGATTTTTGCGGTTGTAGTTTTCGTTCCTTAGGTTTAGTGGCGATCCACGTAAATCCTTTTGAATGGGATTACTATTAAAATTTAATTTTTTGGAGGTCCGTTATTGTAGCTGTTGAAAATGACCAAGGATAGATTAGCGGCTCTAGTCGCGGTAAGGAATTTTTTGGAAAATTGTATCCCGTAGAAAATATTATCACACTTCACTTTAATTGTGCACCTTCCCGTTTAAATTAATTTGCGTCGATTCTTCATTTTAAAAGTGCGAAATTCGTATTAGATTTGTGTAGGAGTTTTAAGATTTTTTGAACAGAAGATTAGGTTAGGTAAGTTTAATAAGTCATTCAATTGCCCCACCCCTTTTATATCTGTCAAAGTACCTAATTCTGAATGATAATAATCTAACGATATTAATTGCCATTGCATTTGGTGTTAGGCTCAAAGTGACGATGATGATGTGGGACCTGACGATGTATCCGTCAACGTGGAAGGTCGAGATGGCTTTATGGATGCATTTTTTGCCGAGGTAAATTGAAATACCTATATCGTATTGTTCTGATTTAAATATTCGTGGTCTACAGGTGGAAGAAATTCGTGAGATGATAGATAAAATTCAAGCAAATGTGGAGGAAGTTAAGAAAAAACATAGTGCAATTTTATCTGCACCTCAAAGTGATGAAAGTAAGTTCCTTATAGAGATATTACTATCATTACCATAATCATAATCACATAAACTAGGCAATGCAGATCGCAGACACATAGTTCTTTCATTGAATTTATAATTTTATTATCAGAAGTGTAGGTGTAAGTATATGGCAAAAATTGTGATGGTTTTCATAAGGTTACATTGTAAAACGTAGATGTCTCTACCATCAAGCTACTAGTCAATATTTTACCTTTTACTACATGCAATTTTTTTCCATACAGAATTTTAAAAACTTTCCGTAATTCATTTGGCACACAAAATACATAAATATTCTCCATTTTATGACCTACATTCCTTAATGACAGATATTAAATTACATATGAACATGAAGCAGAAAACTATGTACGGATCCCTGATGAATGCAATAATACAGTTATTAAACAAATAAAATGTTAAATTAAAAACATAATTGGGAATTCGAATTTTGTTTTCTCAATCTTTTGTACATTCAAAAACTTTGTGGTTGTTGTAAGAATGGTTTTTTTTTCAAAAGAAAACGTAGCTATATATAATCTTGGTTTGGCACTTGTATGTTTAATTCGCGGCAGCCTGATTATTATTTTTTGTTTTTTTACAGTTCGTATAAAAATTTTTTTTTTAAGTATAAAAATTTATTGCTAAGTTAAGTGATAAATACATAATACTTTCATCATCTACAACTACACGTTTCTATAACAATAAACGTTCAATAAATTTACTTCTATGATAGAAGGCTTTAGGTATAACACCTTAAGATATAAAGATAAGATAGTAAAGATATGAAGATAAGATAGTAAAGATATGAAGGATGAAGGAAAATACTTTTTTTAAGTTTATTTCTAAACAACACAAAAACATTTACATCAAAAGTTATTATTATAAAATATGAAGGAATCTGGCAATAAAATGTGAATTTTTTCTGTTGGTATTATGCCATGTTTTTAAAAGACATACCTTCCTCTCATTCTCTCTAATATTTCTCTTCTTTGTTTGAAGTACTACATGGGAAATTTAAGGCAATTTTTAAAAAATTTCATATGCGTTTTTTTAGTTACAAAAAGGGGCAACTATGCCCCAATTTAACCTACACTGTATCTCTCGTTACGTAGATCCCAATGGTAAGCCACGAATTTGAACCACTCTGTACATACAGAAGGGGCTAATTTAAGGCAGTGCTAGAAATGTTGGGAAAATGAAGGGAAATGGTGGCCATTTTTAGACAATAAAGGAAATCTTTGTCCTCTAAAATAAGTAGTCGTCAATAAAATAGTTGGGAAATATGTAGGAAATGGACGAAATTAGAGGCAATTCGGGGGAAATTTTGGGGAAATAGGAGGACATTTAAAAAGAATGAGGAAATTCTGGGAAAATATTAGAGAATTTTGATGAAATTCTGAGGATATCTAGAGGAAATTTTAAGGAAATAGAAGGCAGGTGTGTTCTGTGTGTTTTCTTTTTTTGTGTTCATTGAAGTCTCATGGCGACACATTGATATTCTAGTGTGCATGTCTGGTTCAGGAAACTTGTGTGTGTCTTTAGGGCAACAGCATTTGTTATGATTTTTTGATTCAGTTACAAAACATTGATATGGTGCACTCTCATAATTTTTGCCATCTTTGCAAATTTAATTTTTTGTGAATTACTGCCACTCACAATGATTTGTAGTTTTAGTAATTTCAATGAAACAAAACACTAGTGTTCTGTAAAAACAAAACAATTCTGTTGCGGATTAAAACAAACCACACTTTATTCTACATACAAAACGGTTTTAAAAATTCAAAGAATTATCTTCATAAATATGAAAGTTGCCATCACGCGCTACACACTACGGAGTGACTGCATAATGCTTTTTAGAGGTGCCCCTACAAAAGGTCTTAACATCTGTGAGATTGCACAATCAGTTTTGCCAGTGTTGCCTATGCTCCTCTATTTTGGTATTTTTCGATGAATTTTTTTAATGTAATTTGTCGAGTTTTCTGTTTTTTGATTATTTTATTTGCTGAGGTTTTTTTGCGTTTTAAGTCTGTTTTTGTGTACGGCCAAAATTTAAAAAGAATTTATACAAATCTTACAAAATCTACAGCTTTTAATTATAAAATGAGTAGGCTAAATACACCTGAAAAGAATGAATGCTACCAAGATAGAATTGGTTAATGTTCTTATGTTATCCTGACTACTTAGAAATGTAGGCATATAAACATGAAAAATAATCCTTTGGATCATCTATGCCTTACAAATTTGTTTAATTTATTCAAAGAATTAAAAGACTGTATTACCACATATTGGAAAAAGATTTATCTTCTAATATCTGTCAAATGAATCGCCTTTCCCAAATTTAGACGCGTCAATTTTAATAAATGTAGATGTTACAAGTGCGTAAGTGTTGAGTAGGAGTGCAAGTTAGTACATTGAAAAAAAAGTATTTGAGGACTGAGTACTAAGTACTATAAAAGTACTTGAGTACTTGTACACAGTACAGATGTAGTAAATAATGTAGTTTTAAAATTTATGTCCAATCTAGAAGAACATACTCGACAGTTTTTCCTGTTGCATTAATCTCCACATTCGTTTCTCCTTCATAACATAGCTTTATAATTTTATTCAGAATTGTGCACGTTAATAGGCAACTGACTTTTTTTAGAAACTAAACAAGAGCTGGAAGATCTTATGGCCGATATAAAAAAAACTGCCAATAAAGTCCGTGCCAAGTTAAAAGGTAGGTACATAACAAGAAAATTGGAATAATTATGGGCAATATAATATTGATTTTTTTTAGTAATAGAACAAAGCATAGAACAAGAAGAACAGACTAATAAATCATCCGCGGATCTGCGAATAAGAAAGACTCAACACTCGACTTTATCCCGAAAATTTGTAGAAGTTATGACTGAATACAATCGAACACAAACGGATTATCGGGAACGTTGTAAAGGAAGGATACAAAGGCAATTGGAAATAAGTATGGCGGCGTAGTTTTATTTAAGTATTTTACAATTAATTGTTACAGCTGGTAGGCAAACTACAAATGAGGAACTTGAAGAGATGTTGGAGCAAGGGAATCCTGCAGTTTTTACTCAAGGGGTTAGTTATTATATTTAGTTACAAATATGTGTTAAAGAATTGTTTTTCATCATCTTAATTTTAATTTAACGCTAACCTGTTTTAGATAATTATGGAAACGCAACAAGCGAAGCAGACATTAGCGGATATAGAAGCACGACATGCTGATATAATCAAATTAGAAAATTCTATTAGGGAACTTCACGATATGTTTATGGATATGGCAATGCTAGTTGAAAATCAGGTATTATTACATGCAATTTATTTCAACAGCAACCGCATAAACTGTTCACTAGTTAAAAATATATTGGCAGTTATCGTGCAACTGTTTTGCATTAAGAGTATAGGAGTGGAAAATCTATGTCAGTTGTGAAAAAAAATTCACTGTAATCAATATTCTTGTTCGGAGAAGAGCCCTTTTTGGGTAGAAGTTTGGGAAAATTTTTTATAAAATCTAAAATCGCCAGTGATACACTGTTTTATCTCTATTATGGGGATCTCGGAAACCATAGATCGTCAAATTACTGAAAAGTTTCGTTTCGTTTCAGAGAAATCATCAACTTTATTTTTCTATATAGCTTATTAAAAAAGTACATACTGCATTGAATGAATTCAACAGGATGGTGCACCCGCGCACAATGCTGTAATCATGCCAGAATACCCATCTGATAACTTTTTCATTTCGAGGAAGTTTATCCAATAGGTATTCTCGCACTAGTGCACAATCCTGTTGAAACCAACAGTTTCCAACTTTTGTTTTTTTATGTGTGACGTATATTGTTGGATTCATAATAAAAAATACTCAATACAACTTTTCCCTAATTTGACTATCGTCATATCTGCTATGGTTTCGGAGATCACCATGATGGACATCTTTATCTTGGACACAAGTGAATTTTAAAAATGAATCATTTTGGAAATGTTTCTTTGGGTTCACTAATTTTTGGTCTATTTCCATGGAAATTAACTGTCTAATATTTTTAGTATGTGAACAATATTGATTTTTATGCAAATGTAGAATGTCATGTATAAATTCAAGTGTTCTTTATAACTGTAAACTAAAATACTAAATAAAATTAATCGGAACTCATACTAAAACTAATTTCTCTTTCTCTTCAAATGATATAATTATGAACGTATTTAAATTAAAACCATAAATTCATGCGTGCTCACTTACGAATTTTTAGAATGTATGTCTAACCATGCATATTTACTCTATAGGAAAGGGCCAGTGTCCCATACAGTGTGAAATAACAAGTTTTTAAAACTGGACCATCTGTTGGAAAATTATTATGGCATTTGAATTTTTATAAATGGGTTTATTTAACCACTACACAAACAATTAAGAAAATTGAGAGTACATAAATGAACCCGTTTATACAATTGTTTTATCAATCTGGATTAATACAATACAACAAAATTAATTGGCGCATTTTCTTTAATAGTTACGATAATAGTTGTAAGCAGAACCCTACTATAACTGCGAGCCATCGCCTGCAATTGCTGACATTACAAAAGGAGGATAAACAAACAAGCATTTAGTTATTTATTTTTTATATTTATTCAATTTTCTCATTTTAATTATAATGTAATACCTATCCGATTCTACTTTGCTATAATTATTTAGTAAAATATGAGACATTATAGTTGATATTAACACCTCACAAAGCGTCTTCTTGCAAACAAAACACGTTTTACAAAGTAACTCATTGTGCATTATTCATCGTTGTAACTTTGTAAAAGAAGTGCTGCGTTTATGAAAGATTACAACTTCGAATTATGCCCAAATAAATTTTCAGAGAATTATTTAAATAATTATAGCTAAATAGAATCGGATAGGTGTTACTTTACAAATAAGAAAATTGAATAAATTTAAAAAATAAATAACTAAATGCTTGTGTGTTTATATACCTGCACACATATAAGACTACAGAAAGTAATCGGTGGCTTTCGTGACGTCAGCAACCGCAGACAACGGCTCGTAAATATAGAAGGTGCTGTTGTAAGGCATTAAGTGAAGCCTATTTGGAAAGTCGTTTAGGGGGAAATCTGTCTCTCTTGTGTATACACTTGAATTTTTATGTGCTAATTCTACTTTACTAATTATACAGGCAAATTGTACGTGCGCAATGGGATCTTTATTGTGTTTTATTTATTTACGGATATGATAGCGAATTGCCCAGCAGGATGCTTTATTTGATTCTTAAGCATCTGTTGCCATTAACATCAATAACTTGGGATAAATAGTCATAATACGGTTTAAGATGCATGTTACATGTAGTTTAATAATAACATTAGAATGATCATCCTGTATGTGCCTTTAAGCTTCTGCTCACGTTCTTTTCACTGTCTTAACAAATAATTCCATTCCTGCTGGGACACATAGGGTGAAATGATAGATCGCATTGAGTACCATGTAGAACACGCAGTGGATTATGTTCAAACAGCTACGCAAGATACAAAAAAAGCTTTGAAGTATCAAAGTAAAGCCAGACGGGTGAGTTGTTCCATAAACTATATTTATAGCACAGTGTTTTTCTTGCTTTTAATTTTGTTTTGTTTCTTTTTCCTACAAAATGTATCCGTTTACCCTTTATCCCTATTGTTTGCTTATACGCAATACCTTTTGCATTTTTGGCACTATTTAACATACTAATTTATAATCTAACTCTATGTGCCTTTTGTCACTTTTTACACTAACTGTTTAATGTTGTACGTTGTACATATATATCGCTACCTGCATTGGTGTTTGGTATACCTTGGCATTTTCCGTTATTTACCACCCTTATCATCCATTCCTTCTGTCCCGTCCCAACTTACCTTAGGGAGAAATGGTAGATCGTGTAGAATATCATGTTTCACAAACAACCACTGCGGTGCAAGCGGGGCGAGTGGAAATGAAAAAAGCGCAAGCATACCAAAGTAAAGCTCGTCAGGTAGGTTTTGTAGGCATCCATTCTTAACCGTATCATCCTTTAAATCTTTATCACTTCCGATAATGCCATTACTTTACCCACATTTTTGTTTAGGTAACTATATTTATAATTTATCCATTGATGATGTACATCTCAATACATGCAGTTGTTTAGTATGCTATAGGCAACGAAACCTAATATGTGTTTCCTTTTTGCATGGCAAGTTGTGGCAAACACACTATACAGAAAAATAATATTTAGCAAAGCCAATACATTTCAGAAGAAATTTTATCATCAATGAATAGTACATTTTAAAGTCTAGGTAAGAAAAAAACGGAGATAGCGGCAGAGATTATAGGAAAAGAAAATAGGAACATAAGAATAATTTGACAAAAGCGTATTTATTTTTAATAACTCGAAAGACAAAATGTTTGTGGAGAGCGAAGTGGTAAATTTTGAATTGAAATTAATAAAAATTTCATTTCTAATAATTCTATTATATTTCATAACTGAATAGATCCTTTTTTTCATCCATATTATACAGGACTACACATACAAAAGGTATAATAAATGCTTGATTCAACACAAAAACAAAAAATTGAGTACATAAATTTCCTTGATGTAAATTGACAATACACTCATTTTAGCGAGTGGGTTCTTTAAGAAAATTTATAACTACTTGTATCACAATAGTTCAATCTCGGTTTAGTTAACTAAATGAGACAATTTTATTGGTTAAAATTAAAAAATTATCCCAATCAGATTTCTTAATGATCAGTGAACTTAATTGACGTTGAACTATTGTATAACCAACTTTTAGTCTCAACTTTTGTATCAATTCACTATGGACATTATAAAATTTATGAATATCAATTGTGATGTCAAACTCTAAATAAAGTTTTGACTATTTATTGATGAGTATCTCTGTATATTTTCATACAATGTTTTACTTTAAGCACATTTTAAAGGACTTTCTTGCAATTCAGAAAATGTAAATGAAAGGAGACAAAGGTACACTAGCAGTTTTCCAAGAGAAATTGTTGAACATTATTCAAATTTCCTCTTTCTGTGTTTGGCACTCCCATTTCAGTTTTTTTTTACTTGTAAAGAAAACAACATGTTTGGGATACATGAAATCATATAGGTTATAGAACACATTTATTATTGTTGGTGACTGGTTGATAATCGGTTCTAGTCCTGAAATCGCTGGTCCGTCCAAATGTTCAAGTGCAGTATGGGCTCTTTTTGACCAATTGTTTCTTTTATTGTGTTTTCATTTACAAATAACATCTTCATTGTAAAAGTCTGTTCCAAATGAAATTCTTATTGGGTTTGTAAAACTGTTTTTTGACAAATTCACTAAATACATTATTTCTGTGGGTAATATCTTTACTTCTGTGTACACCTTTTTTACGCTTTCATCATTTTGGAAATGCAGGTCACCTAAGTCCTTTTTTTTTCAAAAAAGGTGGTAATTAGGATAGTACATTGTTTATCTTGTTACATTCCCACGTTGGGGATGCGCGATATCGTAATAATATTATTCTTTAATAACGGAAATGTGCCCAGTGTGATTCTGCTTCTAACTGTAAATCCCATATAAAAAAACATTTGATCACACAGAGACTTCTAAAGATTTCAAATGAGCCCAGTGTGATTACTTAACCAATAATGAATTCTATTTAAAAAGACGTCTACTAGTATACAAGACTTCCAAGGATTTTAAATGTGTCCAGTGTGATTATACGAGAGTTTTAAAACTTTATATCGCGAGCAAAATCCCGATATAAAACACACTTAAAAAGTATTATTTTATTTGTTTACTAATGATAACGTAGTTCGCCCACCCGCGCGATATATCTTCTTTTAATTGTATCATTCTTTTATTTTACCAAAGGTCTTGTACGTACTGTCAAATTACTCATATTATTTCTGTTTTAGTTGGGCAAGTATGCACTGTATCCCCATACTGCCCAATTTTACGCTTGGACAGAGTATAGTAGCCAAATCCTTTTCATTAATTTAAATTCAAATTTACCACTTGTTCGAATGGAAGTATATTGAGATTTATGCAATTAGGCCTCAAGGATGTAGTTGTACCTTGAACAGTATTTTCTAACCAGTCAGATTTGCCTTCCAGTAATATACCCAATATGAACTTTAGTAGGTCGGAGAGGAAGGAGCAATTTGGGCAGTGAAGAAAAAAAATCACTACCAAGGTGATGGCAACTACTTATAAATATTATCTTGGACTACCTATATTTGGGAAAAAGGACACAAGGAGAACAAGAATTACGCGTTGTTGTATTGAACCTAAATTCATATCAAACGTAAGGTATAGGATATATTAATTCTTTTTTTTGTCAATGCCAAACTGAGACGTGATAAATGGAGTTCAAAAGTACAATTTTTCATTGACTTCTTGACAACTATCTCCTAAAATTATCATATCCACTTGTAAAATGTAAATAAATTGTAAGATTATTACTATTTATTATTTGCACTCGCTTGGAAATAAATTAAAGTTACAAATTTTTTTTAAATGAGCATTTTTTACTTTGGAAGTATTTATTGCACACATCAATTTGAGTTTATTTATGGTCGTTTGTGTTTTACAATTTGTAATTTAATAGAAATGGCAACGTAGTGTACATGCAAACTCCTTGTGTTCAGTCTTCTAAGTGTACATACATATTGTTCTCTTGCGGCAATATGGACAGTTTTTAATCAATCACAATAATATATACAGCACATGATGCTGGTAGTGCTCAATTTGCATGATATTTAATTTTATTTAGCTTTCTCCGTGCATGTTTCAGTAAAGGTTAAAACAACTTTAAGGTTTTCGATATCCTGTGTGTTGTGTTTGTGTAATGCAACAGTGTCATGTGCTTACATTAATATTACATTTTGTTGTGTAAATGTTTTATTTATTTATTTTGATACTTCGAATTTACTATGTTTATTAACTTGCCTTTTTTATTTTTGTTTTCAGAAAAAGATATTGATTATTATCTGCCTCATAGTAGCAATCGTCATTTTAGTTATTATTTTGGGCTTCGCCTTAGGTTAATTGAAGACAAAAGTAAAATGAGTGTTCATAGCAAATAATTCAAAGATGTATTTAGCTAAAATGATTGCCCATTTACAATCGCATGTAAAAAGTGTGCGCAGCAGTTACATGTTAATTTTTATATGCCAGAATTGTATCTAAATTTTTTATTTAATTAGAATATGATACTCTCGGTATGGTTACTACAAGTGAAAGAAAGTGTGATACATGTCAAACGATAAAATTATATAATGATGTAATAAAGAATCGTATAGAAGAAATGATAGAACGTTGACGGTATAAATTGTAATAATCCACGCTACTCTCTCTTAATTGTATAACAAAACATATTTTGTATTCTGAAAGATTTTGATGGTACTCATAAAAATGTACCCAGCTATTATTGCATATAATGTAAAAAAAAAAGTTTACAAATTTAGGACCACGATTTAATTATTGGAATCGAAGCAAAAGTAAATCCTTATGTTGTAACTTTTATTGTTACAAATATGTTTAATAGCTACTTACTCCATCTGTAAGTACATCTTTTTTGTGTGGTTAATGATATCATGTTAGTATGAAAAGGGGTGGTTGGAATGACCATAGTTGGTGTGAGTCGATTCTTAATGGGTTAGAAGTTACAAGTTATTGGATTTTCTTTCATCCATGTTTAGAGGGATTACAATGTGTCTTTTCATCGCCAAAACCATTGCTTTAAAAAAAACTTTCATAATAAATTACAAGCGCCTGTAACTTCAAAAACATTTGGAAAATCTAAATTTAGTTCTAACGGAAAGTCCCTAAGTTTTATTGGCATTGATGTATTATTAAAAACAACGTGCGATTGCATTCATTCAAGTGTGTAAATATAAAACAATCGAATTGATTGGCACTATCCCAGTTCACTCATTAGACATGACTGATATTTGTAACTACACTGTCTCTTTTTTGGAGTTTTGTAAATGTTCTGCTAGTCCACAGATATAAATATTGATGGGTTAGTTTATATAAAAACGTTGTAATCAAAGAAGTTTTGTTATACATTTTGATCAACATTTTTTGAATTTGGTAAATTTGAATTAGGTATTATTTTTATTTAACTTGCTTTATTTGTTTAGTTTATAAACCATTATTTTATATATTTTGTTAAAAATTAACACCATTACATGCCAAAGACATAGGTCAGAAGTGCATAATAAAATGTGAAATGGCAGTCAGGCAGGCTAAGTGTCGTTTAGTATTATATAATTCATTGGTTCTTAATGTTATACTGTAAGTGATATTTATAATGTTATTAAATTGTTATTTTTCTATCATTTTATTTTTTTTTGTTACTTATTTATCCTTGAATTAAGAAGTGACAAATGGCCTTAGAAGATGAGTTGACAGTAGTCATATCATGTGAATTTTCTGTTTTAACCATTTCTTTCATCTACAGAAGAAAATAATGATATTAATCTGCGTTTCCATTCTGATCGTCATACTCATCAGCACAGTCGCAGGATACTTAGTCTAAGTTTAGGTATGAATAGTGTACATTAGTATAAATGATTTGGTTTCAGAAAATAATACAATCCTTTAAATTTGAAAGTGTGAAATTTTATTGAGTAAAAGTTACTGTCATTATTATATGTTTAGCTGGCATCGTAATTTTAACACCGCTTTCAACTAACATTGTACAGTAACTGTTTGCTCTATCCACGTTGCAATCTGTATAGATATGAGAAATTGTTTTTAATTAAATCGTACAGCTTATATTCTCTTATAACGTTATAACAATTTTACACCGTCTTGTTAATTACCTACTTTACAATTGATTAATTTCTGAAACCGTATCTACAATATGAACGGGCAAGGTCTCTTACTTTACTTGAAGTATAGTTTATATAGTAATTTTCTCGTATTATAAAATATTTTTTCTTTAGGTACAAACACAGCAGAAGTTCAGCAGGCCGAATTTGATTGTCGCTTTTTTTACTTCAACAGTAATCACCTAAATAGTCTTTCGATATTTATTTAAAAATCTACGCAGTTTCGTATTATTTTTCATAGTATGTAGATGGTATAGCTGAATTGACAAAATATAGCTTTATTTACATAATGTAGCAATAATGTAATGGAGTTGGGTTCCGAAATGTGTGATATATATATATTGTTATCTTTTATTTATTTATTCAATGTGTGTCATATATTAAAACATAAATACTAGTGTACAATTATTAGCTACAGTAACATTAGGATAGGATTTCATCGATTATTTATATTCTTCAAACTATCTTGGTGTATTTTATAATGGTCTGTTTATTTTTTATGCGTAAGATTGCAATATGTACTTAGTTACCAGAGTGAACAAATACATATAACGAACGTAATTAAATTAGTTTAAAGTAGAACATAACAGTAGCAGAAATATAGGCAATAATTAGTATCATTTTTGATGGAGAGGTGCACAATCAGTAGGTTTCATATGATTTTTCTGTATGTACGTATCTTCGGTATCTATTTTCCTTATACGCGAGAGTCATAAAATTTAGATTTGTTTACTAAAACGATAAATTGTCTATAAAGTAAATATTTTACTAATGCCTACCTGTCTTCCGTTCAGTGTATTAATAACTGTGCGTAAAACAAATTATTATTTCTTAATATTTTGTTAACGATTACGTAGGCTTTCTAAGATCTCATAAAGTGAGTATAAATATAAAAGTCTTTCGTCATAAATATATTTTAAGTATGTCTGTAGATAATTTTGTACTGTACTTGAATGTAGATTAGTTCCAGTAAACTGATGTCTGGATTACTGCACCGATAACTTTCAAATAACTTATACATGTCAATTCAATTTGAACCATTAATTATAATGTGTACCTAATTATACTTCTTGCATCACCGAATGCTGATGTAACAAAGTGAGATTTACTGTTATAATGTAGTTAAATTTTGTAATTACAAAAATATTGAAGTTGTAGAAAATTAGGCTGTTATACTTAGTGGTGTTACACATTGTGGTCAAAATTGTTACTTCTCGATGATCTTTTAGGTATAATCGTTACAAAATATAAATTACCGAATATTGGAACATGTACGCCATTTGTTAAATTGAAATAATATAATTTGGTACGACATGAATAAAGAAGGTCATCGCGTAACTAATTCTTGACCATAATTACAGTTGTAAATGTTGTTTCAAACTAGGAATAAGTAATCTAATTGAATAATTGTACACTAACAAAAATGGTACCGACCATTAGTTCACTTTGTAATCCTCAATGTTGGTCATATTTTACTAATATTGTGTATTACAAAATTTCCTCACTCATATGTTGTGAAGACCTTGTTAGCTAGCTGCACCCCTGTGTCATGTTTGCCCCCTCCTTATATGTAAAAATTTAAATGTTCACCAACTCTGTAAGATTATATTTCTAATCATTAGGCCTCTTGTAAATACAATGTGTAATCAAACCTCTTCATACCTAGGTGTGCATCGAGATGTTAGACAATAATTCAGTAATACTTATATAAAATTTTATTTGTAAACTTGAATTCCAAAAAACTAATTCCTTTCGAGCGAACATAAGCAATCTTACAGAGTTTGTATTTATTGTAAATTAGAAAACTCCTGAAAACAAATTCTATATAGTGTACATTTGAAACCGGAAGGTGAAATATAAACCTCTTGCCAGAACCTTCTTTTCTTTAACTCGATAAAGTGAATTAATTGAAGGTGTATCCATTGAATAAGCACTTGCTTTTTCAATGGTGTATCTTAATTTTATATGCGATGCGATTTTTTTTGGTTTAATAAGTATGAATGCGCCAAGGTGGATGAAAGAGAATTTTCTTGAAAGATACACCGCATTGTTGAACTTTCTTTTCAAAGAAATTTTAAATGTAGCACCAGGAATAGGACAATATCTGTCGGTTGAGTGTCTGTCTATATTCTTATTTATTTCCTGCAGAATTGATTGGAACCAAATTTGGTAAACATATTCTTAGACGTGCAAAACTGTAAAAGTAAATTGTGCGAGTTTACAAGATCTTTATGACGACATCGATTTGAAAACAGTCGAACCAAAACTGTAGAAAAAAAATCACCACGTCAGTATAAACGCTCGGGGATGACGGCGATGACGCCAAGATTTCGCCAAGACGCCAACCCCGTTGCCCCAATTACGGTTCCTTTACAAAATACAAATCTACCCAACTCAACACATCACATACTTGTTCATTGAAACAAAAATATTCTATGTACCCACAGTATACAAATCGTTATGAGTTCGTGTATAAATCACCAACAGATTTTATGAACATTCTGAAATCGGTTTCATATTGTTTTAACTTGAGATATAAGTTACAAATTGACAGTTAGTGTATTTCATACGGGAAAACACTGCGTCGTCTGAACTTGGCTTTAAATTAAGTAGATACTCGACAGTCGACAAATTGTAATAGAACAGAAAGTTACAGTAATGCTTGTAACAATAATGAAGTTTAAATCTTGTTGATCGTAATCGATTACAAAGTTTGTGATTTGCCAAACTTTCTATTTATTGAATAGAATGGTAATTTTGTCGCCACTGCGAGTGATTGTGCGTCCAGCAGGTGCTTCCATCTCGTGATAGTCAATTAAACTATGACGATGACGTACCTTCTTGTAGAGGGCAGCATAATATTCAAATTAAGGGTGCAATTAACTGGGCGGGCTTTATGGATGCATGGCCGCTTTAACAGAGGAGGGCGGCAAAATAAGTAAAAATAAAAAACCAAAATTACAGTGTAATATTATTTACGTTTGCGGTGGGGTTACAAAGAGGGGATTAGCAAGGTGGCGTTTGATGAATTAAAGTCAGTTTCAATCAAATCATAAATATATCTACTAGTTTCTATAAGCACAGAAAACTGCGTTTTCACGTTTTTGAAATTTGTCGAATTATAACATACGGCGTAGGTACGTGTGTGTGGTGTGATAGTGGGCGAATGTTTGGTTAAAAAGAATGTTTTCCTATACTAGTGGTGTGTGAGACTGAAAAACTGGAGGAACGGCCTGACCGGGATAAGGGGCATGGATCCCCTGACATTTCTGTAAGTCGTGATACGGCCGGTATCATTAATCATTAGCTTTGAGGATCTTTAAATTTATTTGTTATTATACACATCGTCATTTAGGTATCTATATTCTGCATAGGTACTTCGGCACCAAAAAATATACTCGTACATTTCCTACATTTGGAACCCCTGGTCGATTTTTCAAGTTTCAATTAAATCTGCCTGAAGGATAATCTTCTATACCTACCTATGAATGCATTTGACTCCATGTAAATTAACTGTCCGATAAAAGACCGGATCTTGAGGTGCGTATTCCTACACCAATTTACCTATTCATGGTAGGTAAATCGTCATATAGGCACCTACACTTTTCGCAAAAAGCGCGCGACAAATTTTGTATAGGTAAGACGTAGATGGTTTATGCAATTCCCTTCGGTCATATACTTAGGTCCATAGGAAACGACATTCAACGAATTAATTTTAGATTTCAATATTTACTAAGTATACCGACACTCGTACTATAATAGTACGTTAGTACCTATACCATGTAGGTAAACGTTTGTATGGTGGGTACCGATATACTTGTTTATGTAGGTACATCGAATTAGAAGGTTTTATGTCTACCGGGCGCGACGCGGCATGGATTTATAATGCTATAACTCCGTAATTGTTCAAACATTTGCTTTACTAATTTAGACGTATATATGCAGTGTGGGGAAAAAAGTTATAAACACATGGTTTTCACTAACTGGAAAAATCCGAAAATAATAATTAGGTATACCTAAGTTTTCTCCAAATGTCAGTCTTGCCGGCGCGAAAAAATATTGCGGCGTCATAACGCATAGGTATACGTAATAATTGGTCATTATCGTGCGATTTGAGTAACCGCATTAAGTAGAATGTCTCTCTAACGGTTGTTTTTAATATTTTGGATCCCCAGCACCAATTGTAAATTATTTTCCTACATTACACACAATTTATTATTTTCATTTATTGCACATAGGCATAAGTACATATTATTTTCTTACATTGGTAAGGTATATACTATATAAGTATGCGATCAACAATGAGTTGCTGTCAAGTCACCCTTGGAATTTTTGTTTACATGGGAAAGTACCTACGATTTCCCATGTAAACAAAAATTCCAAAGGTCACTTGATAGCAACTCATCTTTGATTGCCCGGCGTTTAGGTACTTATATAGGTACCGATACCTTACATACGTAACATTCTAATTTAGGTAACTACCTTTGGCATAATTTCCCTATACAATTAACACCACAATTCATGCAGATGCAATTGTGATTTTTACCAATCCGACTAATCTGGTAGAATAATCGCGCTTTTTTGTACAGCGAATATGCTTGCTTAGACATATGAAATGAAATTATTCTTCTTTGTTGTGTTATAATCCATGCATACATACCTAGGTACTTCTGACACATGTGTGCAAAAAATAAGTATTCTACCAGGTGTTATCGAGACATACAAACTGCTTTAAGCATGCAAAGCACTTAGGTTAATGTAGCTTGACTACCTTATTTATCAAAAAAAATCATCGAAGGATAACGGAAGTTTGGTAACAATATACTTATTTAAAAAACCTAAATAAAGTTAAATATAGCCTAGATATAAAGTCACGAGTCAGATCTGTCGAACCATTAACTTTAACAAGTCAATGCTAGAACCCACAATCTTTTTGAACCGACGTTTTCGATATTCATACGAGGTTGATAAAAAAAAATTATACCTAATCATCGCATTTGCTATAATATGTAAAACCAGAAATGATTGGACTGACGTTTTTAGTCATCACCCACCAAAACGTTATATTCCTGTACCAATTCTGTCAAAATTAGGCATACGGGGGTGAACTTGTCTGGTTTACACAGTATACCACAAGGCGAAGGTGATTCTTAATCCTACACCTATCCCTATGTGTGACTGTTTCTTTCAACTTTATTGTTGGTAACAAATTGCGCTCTCGGAACACAAATTTCAGTTACGTAGTAAAAAATTGAATAAATTTTAACCTTTAAACAAATAATAATAATATACAGGGTGGTGACTTGCGTAACGCATCATAGGAATGTCAATGTAAAATTCATAACATGCGATTATTGGCTCCCCAAATTATTTTAGAGCAAAAATGTATTAGTTTTTTGTAGAAAAATTTTTTTTACGCCAATGAAGCGTATTAGTATTCAATTTTTTTCATATAAAGACGGAAAATTGGAAAAAATAAAACCCGCATCTTTTTCAATAATCTGCGATGCCATGGAATTTTCTAAAACAAAAAGATATCCAGTTATCAATTAGCAGCAGCTCGAAATGGATTTTATGATCGACTTGGTTACTGTATTGCAGTTAATGATGACTTATTCGAACATTTATTGCAAATTGTTATATATTAGGAAACCGTTTTTAGTAATTTGGTCTTTCTTTATGTTGAATTCGCTGTTCTAAATATACTTTTTGATAGAATTTGATTTGTTTTATAGCAGACATTCCATGGCATGACGGATATGGGCGTAGTTTTTGTATTATAAAATTCCATGGCACCACAGATTATTGAAAAAGATGGGGGTTTTATTTTTTCAATTTTCCGTCTTTATTATGCAAAAAATTGAAAACTAATACGGTCGATTGACGTAAAACATTTTTTTCTACAAAAAACCTTAATACATTTTTGCTCTAAAATAATTTGGGGAGCCAATAAACGCATGCTATGAATTTTACATTGAAATCCCTATGATGCGTTACGCAAGTCACCACCCTGTATATAGTTCTTTTATTATTGGAGATAGGGAAAAAGTGTAAGAAGCAAAAACACTCTGCTTTTAATTTGAAATAAAGCTACATATTCAAAAAACAAGTGATGTACCTAAAACAAAAGAGCATCGGAAAACAATTTTTTTTAAATATGGAACGGTTTCTTTTGTTTGCAATATTCGTAAACAGCTTGAAATTTTCTTTACATTGATATCAAATGTGTTATAATAACCTTATAAATTAAAGCTACGCAGTAATGTGAACAAATCGCAGTAGCTGTCAAAATCAAAATCAACAGGAAGCGAAGAAAACAAATGAAAAGCAGTTACAGAAATATACTATTTGCACTTGCATCCTAATGTATTAATATTACATCGAATAACAACCCTTAACATTTTTTTATCATTTGTGTAATTATTATTTTGTCGCATTGTGATTCTTATAAGTTATATTGTTCACTAAACTAGTTTTGTGACAGCATTGACAAGTGAAAAACTCTCTTTTGTTTTTGTTTAAATTTCCACAGTTACTGCGATTGGTTTTAAAAGCATTAATACTGTAGCTTTAATTTCTAAGGTGAATAAAACCCATTTGATATCATTATAGAGAATTTCAAGCACTTTAAGAATATTGCAGGAAAAAGTATTAAAGAAAAATATTTTGTTTCCTGACGCTCTTTTGTTTTTTTTTAATCTACAGCTATTTATCAGAATTTAAAAGTAAGAGTATTTTTGTTTTTTACACTTTTTTCCTATCTTCAATAATTGGACACGCAAAATCAATAACGCACAAAAAATCGAACAAAAATGAAGGTATAGTACCTATACTTGGTGTGGTTTTGTATATGACCAAACAATCCCTGCGTGAAA